ATTTTTATGTGTGTACTTAAATTACACAAAAACTGTTGTAGGGCTAGGCTATGGGTCTGGTAGTGAGGATGAGGCAGATGAGAGCACTAGGGAAGAAGATAATGATGAGGAAGTAGACTCTGATGATGAGCTTCAAGAGACAATTCGACGCAGGTTGATAGAAGAAGAAGAAAGGCAGCTGAAGATGGAACAAGCAGAGGCAGCTAGGTTGGAAGAGGAAAGGCAACTGAAGTTAGGTATGTACATGTCATGGACAGGAATAGAAAAAATGAGCCAGATTTCAGTTTTGGAATTCTGGATTGAATTCTGTGATCTTTTAAGTTATTTACTTGGAAGAAAAAAGGTGATTCCAAGCTGAAAAAAGGTAGACATATTCTTCTCATTAGATCAAAGGCCAGTAAATATTTTTATCATGTGAGTCTGAATATTAATCTGACCATTTGCAAAAGCATCTTCATTTTTGGAATTTTGAGGAAAAAAATTTAACATACATTGATGACTTGTATATCCTTTTTAGCCAAAGGAGATAGTACAGAGCATGGAAATGTTCCTCCACCAGAAGTTCTGGCTCCTGCACTGCGTCCATTTGAAAACAGATACAGTAACATCCCAGGTCTTGATGTCAAGGATGAGGAGAAAACCACTGAAGAGCAGAAAGACAGGAGTAAATCCTATAATAGGCATTTTTCTAGGGAAAAAGTTGATGGCTCTCAAATAAAAAGTTCTAGGCTAAAAGACGAAGTAATGGAGAAGAAAAGGAAACACTCAGAAAGTTCATCTTCATCTGATAGTTCGTCTGATAGCTCTGATAGCAGTGGGGAAAGTTCTGATTCTAGTAGTAGTAGTAGTAGATCGAGTACACAACAGAAACTTAAGGATAGGAAAAGGTCTCGTCAGAGTCACCAGTCAAGAAGTGAAAGTAGGGATAGAAGAGGTAGCAGGGAAAGGAATATAGATGGGGATGAACATAAGGTTAGAGACAAAGGCAAAAGAAGGGATGGTGGAAAAGACAAGGACAGGGACAGACATAAAGAAGACATAGACAAAAAATATCGAGACAGGGACAGAGAGAAAGAAAGAGATAGGGACAGAAAAAAGTATCCTGAAAGAGAAAGGGATAGGTATAAATCTGACAGAAAAGGTAGTAGGGAAAGACACAAGAGCAAAGAAAGGGAAAGGAGTAGAAGTAGGGATAGAAGGCCTAGGGACAGAGACAGAAGTGGAAGTAGGGAGAAAAAGAGACGTAGGGATTCAAGTAGAGACAGACGGCATTCATATGACAGAGACAAACACCATAAGGAGAAATATTACAACAGAGACAGTAGTTCAAAAGACAAAAAGCCAAGAAGGCATACAAAATCAGTGTCAGACTCCAATGAGAGTCCAGGCTATGATGATTCCCCTCAGAGACACAAAAAGAAAAAGAAAAATAAACACAGTGAAGGCAAGGAAAGAAGTAGTAAGAAATCACGCAAGGATAAGCAGCAGTCGAGGTCTGAAAGTGATGAGGAGTCAACAGATGGTAAGAGATCAAGTCGGAAAAGCAAGTGAACTGCTTGATAGGTGGGACAGACTTTGGTAAGCTTAAAGAATATTTTAATACAAATGATTTAAATGATGCATCATAGAAGATGGCATAGATAGCCAGTATTTGCTGAAATTGTTTCATTACTATCTGTAGAACTTTGTCCCTTGAAAGAATTTGAAGGAAAGGCTTGAACTTAAGAACAGTGTGTTGATTTTTTTTTCATAGAATGAAAGATGGAACATGACTAGAGTATGCTCTGCTACACTGAAAAGTTGATTGGTGCCCTTATTTAATGAGTGCTTATATTTTTTTAGGGTGGAGATCAGCGGGGACACATGCTTCAAGTGGATATAGAGCTTATATGGTCTGTGAAAATGTGCTGTGCAAATCTTTAAGATCAATTTCTTTGAAATTTTGTAACTTTTAATTATACATGTATTATTAAATTTTATTAAGCAGTTGTCCTGTTGCCTTTTTGTGTCATTGGTAATTACACAGGACGAGGGAAGGGTGAAACTTGAAAATGTCATGGTTAAAACTGGAGGTTTGATTTCAAAATAATGCAAGTTGAGATTGATCAGCACCATATTACTGAAATTGGCCATGCCTCAAGTATCTGAAATGAATGTATTAGCAGTAAAATGAACATAAATCCTTTATTATTGTAGTTTTGAAAGCCACTGAATTAAAAGCAGAGTCAAGTAAAAGAAAATGTTTGAATTGATTATTTGTTCTAATGTCCACTATGTATAAGTTTATGTGATGCATTGAATCAGATAGGGAACATCACATGTAACATTTGAAATATGAACTATGCATTTAGTTTATAAAGCTGTAACATGTTTTGTATGCTTTTACTTTACACCTTTGACCAAAAGATACATTTTAACCTTGATTCATAAATAATTTGCAAATTAATATTGACAATAACTCTGCCTAAATCACTGAATTTGTTTGTGTAAAAGTATGTAAAATTCATCAGGGGTCCTGTCCTAAACTGTTTTTATTAGTAAAACAAATTGTATGCTAACTTTCTAAGCACTCTCCACCATAAAAAGTAAGAGACCCTCCCACTAGTCGCTGACAGTGAAATCTAGACAAACTTGCATGTTATGTATTTATTGTATAAAATTTAATGTAATTGCCTTGAGTGATCTGAAACCACACACCCCTCAATAAATGAAAGTAGGAAATGATCATAAACAAAATTTGTTAAACAGTGTAGAAGGATTAATTGCAGAAAATGCCACAAACAGAAAATTTAAAACTGAATAAGATGGATGGCAAAAGACATTTAAAATTGGTGAATTTTGGGGCAGTTGTTACTTCAGCAATGGCTGGTGTTAACAAATTTGAAGTAAATGTATGGAACTATATTCACAGAGTACTGATCAACCATCAATACACAAATATATAAATGCATCAGCACTAATACAATGTTTAGCTCCTATCAACTGAAACAATGCTGGCAGTATCTTATGGGATTAAGCCCTTAGCCACGAGAAAATTTACTAAGAAATAATATAAATACCTAGTCTACATAAAGAAAATTAAACAAGCTTTTCAGAAAAATATGTATGGTGTACACTAGATTATTGTGTCGCTGTTGAGAAGCAGTGCACATTGCTTCGAAGAAGAAAAAAAAAAGAGGGGGGAGGGGGATGTGTTTGAACCAATATAAAGTAGTCCTACAATTACCACAGTTTTAACGTTTCAGCCTATGCACATGGCCCAATGTACTGAATAAAAGCTTATATAGGCCTACTTGTTTGATGGGCATTGCATTAAGTTTGAACATTGAATTATTGGATAAAATATTTGAAATTTAAGCAATCATACGGATTTGTAAAATTCGACCTGTCTTTACACCTTTTTGCACTTGGAACAACAAAAAAGGCAGTTGTGGCATTGAATAAATGTGTTGGACGGCAACGGCATGGATGGACACGCTCGGCTATCATCTTGGCCCGGTTAATAAGCCTGAAAACAACTTAAGAATACCGTAATAGAAAAGAAAACAATGGTGTGTTTTTGTATATATATTGTTGAATTCAGATTTCATATAAACAGCTTTTGGATCACCCTAAAACCAATTCCAGTTACCTTAAATAGCCAGTTTTCTATTTATCACACAGCCCCTTTATGGTAATTTAATTATATTTGTTAAGCGATTCACCAATTTATTTATTTTTTTCATGTGTGGTAGAAAAGTTATGTATTCTTAGGTCGTTTCTATGGTGTTTAGGTTAATTATTCGATCAAGCGGTGACAGCTGAGAGCATGGGAACCATGAACAGACACAGATAATCATGTATATAGAGACATAAAATGTGTAAAATCATTTTGTTCAGATGACAAAGAGCCATTAAAATGTCTTAAAATTAGATTTTCAGGTTATGAAAGCTAATTCTGCATTCCAAATAACGAGGTAATGTACAGATGGGGGCGTCTCGATAGTCCGAAGGTTCATTGGTCCGAAGGTTCATTGGTCCGAAAAGTGGTAACATTTTTATCGATTTTTTAATCAGGGGTTCATTGGTCCGAAGGTTCTATAGTGAACATTCGGACCAATGAACCTTCGGACTATTGAACCTTCGGACTATCGCTACGGCCCCGTACAGATTGTAGGACCTGTGTTCATAATTGGAGCATGGAACAGATAAAATGCGGGCTTACTGTTTAAAAAATGAAACCTCTAATGTTATGATGGTAAAACCCCATTAAAATGCGTAAAAACACTTTTGTGTGGGTGACAAAGAGCCATTAAAACTTTTTTTTAGATTATGAAAGCTAATTCTGCATTCCAAAATAACGAGGCAATTTATGCAATAAACCGCCTTAGGACCACCTGTTATAATTGGAGCATAGAACAGTTGAAACACAGGCTTCCTGCATTATGACGATGTATAATGAAAACTAATGTTATAATTATAAAATTCCACTAAACAATATTTTGTAGAAATTCATGGCCTCCAACTACAGCTGTAAGATATAGGCATCATACATGTGACTGAAAGGGGCCGTAGCAATAGTCCGATGGTTCACTATAGAACCTTCGGACCGATGAACCCTTCATTGAAAAACCGATGAAAATGTAACGACCTAATTAAGACCAATCAACCCTTTGGACTATCGAGAGGCCCCCGATTCACACACGCATGCGCAGAGGTTCTGTATTCCGCAAACATTTTATCCTCAGTAGGGTTTTTCCGAACCCCAAAATAGGAGTATAACACGTCAATCCTGTCTGGCCTAGCTTACGTGGCAATCGAGGAGATAAACTTTATTCGGTGAATCGAGCGAGTCGGATATATTGAACATGTCTTTTAAGAATGAAGTCCTGGAGACGTATTTCCGCAACCATGTCCAAATGAAATGCGATGAAACAAAAAAATCGGTGGGAATTGTTATGCCAGTCATTGATAAAATTTTGAGGGAAATCAAGAAAAAGGACTCCCGTTTCACTGTGCAGCCTGTCTATGCTGGAAGTCATTGGCAAAATCTTAAGGTTGAAAGAGCTGATGAGTTTGATGTTAGCGTCATCCTGTCCCTGCCAGAAACGTCTTCGCGATGCAGCGACCCTCTGCGATGCTTTGGATTCGATCGCGATGTCGATGACCCGCTGAAAAGCATCCCCTACGATTTGCAAATAATCAGGGGACCCAGAAGCCTTCCAAGTCCACCACCAGGATATTGTTGTTGGAAGCTGCAAGAGAATGAAAGCCCGCCCATGCCAAGTTGGAGTAACTTGACAAACATGACCTTTGACGGTTACCTCGTCCCATTTTTGGTCAAAAAGCAATTTCATGGGCTTCTAAACGAAGCGATTCGTGATTTGAATTTGCAAAGTGAGTCAAAGTCTCTCTCTCTCTCTCTCTCTCTCTCTCTCTCTCTCTCTCTTTTCTTGAAGAAGAGAGAGAGGCGAAATTTTATTTCCCAATTCTATTATTTCAAATTATAATATTTTTTGGTTTCATTTTGATATAAGAGGGAATAGCTATCCTAATCAATCTTTAATTTTTTTTAATTGTTCTAGAGACCGTGAGCATGAGAGGACGAGTAAATGGACCGGCGCTTACAATCCGTATTGCACAGCAGGGCCATTTCTGTATTGACGTAGATTTCTCGGTGATAACCGAAGCGTTTCTACCTTTCCCATCAGAAATACAGTGGCCCCATCGCAATGCAAAGTGGCCCTCCCTAGAAAAGGTAGTAGACATCCGCGGGACTGGAGTGCAGACAGTTGCGAAGAAAAACTTCGATTGGATAATTTCCTTCCTGAAAGCAGAAAAGAAACTGATAGAAAACATCGACAGTGACGGTGGATGTCGTAAGAAGTCCCACCGCATCATGAAGAAACTTAATGAAGATGTGTGGTGTGATACGACCAGCCGTGTTATCACATCCTACTGTCTTAAGGTATAATGTGAAGTTCTAAACAGATTGTGAAATAAGCCTCATTTAAGGTGATCTCGCCAAAAAAGGTAATGGCGGTGGATAATAAACTGCAGTCCTCACAGATGCAAACCCACTAATCTTTATAATGCATTATATTTGGAGTAATCATGTGCTACGTTTATTTATGGCGAAACATACATGTTCAATAAGTTGTGATGTGTTGTTTTTTTTTTAAATTTTATTTCAGAATATCTTATTCTGGGAGTGTGAAGACAGCCCTTACAGTGAAGACTGGTCAGTTGACAAACTAAGTGTCCGCGTCACTAGCATGATAGAACGTGTGAAAAAGGCAGCACAAGCTCGCAGTCTACCTATGTACTTTAACCCTGCAGTCAACCTTCTTCAGGACAAAGACTGCAGAGAACTGGACATAGCGGTCAAGAAAATCAGCGATTTTATGAAGTGTCCAGACAAGTCTTTTATGAAAAGAGGGGTGCTTCCTATTTCAAAATAATATCATTCTTAACTTGTAAAGCACGGACGAAGGCGACGAGGTTTCTAAGACTTCTAGATTATTCTTTGAAATGTGTGCCAATGTTTTAAAAAATGAAAATTCGAAATAATAATCACTACGATAAATGAATAAATAATAAAATAATAACTTCAAGAAAGAATTACTGCCAGAAAAATTCAAGCAGGGTAGTTTTTATACGAAAGTGCATGGTGGTGAAGGCGACGCCAAATGCAGGTGATGGTATAATGGTTAAGGGTTTCGAACTATACCTGCATTTGTCTTAAATATCATTCTTGTAAGTTTTACAAAATTAAGACAGTTTTCTTATAAATGTTAACAAGGAAGGTACACGACGACGTCAGATGCAAGTTATGTTAAAAGTCTGCTTAAAGAAAAAATAAACACCAACACTTCATTGTACAGGAGCATTACGTGATTCATGTTGATAAGCTACTATAAGTGCGTTCGTCTAGTATGATAATCCGTTATTTGAGCATACCGCGCCGGGCATGATGCCCTCTTTTGCTAATTCAAAGTTAAATATTTAACAACATTCTGCTGCTTTTTATGTGATACAGATGTACACCACTTAATTATAGTATAGCATATTTCTATAGAAATATTATCCACAATTAAAGCGATGCCAATAAAACCGATTTTAAACGAGTCCATAAATAAAACTGACTGTTTAAAATAATTTCATCAAATGTCAATTCAAAGTAATTATCTGGTACGTCACGAATTAAACTATAGGACATAAATTGCAATTGTCTACTAAAAATAGAATAAAAATAAACTGAAATGTCCTTTCTCCTCAATTTTTGTCGAATTAAGAGACCTACATGTACATATACTTATGTTACGAACCATTAGTTTTTTAAGGGCGATCACTTGAAAATTACCCCGTACATGTATATGGTGTATTATCACAATTTGAAGCCAAATCAAATATTAGTTTTCAGTGAAATAAATATCAATTTAAAATCTATTTAAGTTTGGCGGTCTGTGTATGAAAACGAGGTTACTACGCGGAATGTTCCGTTGCTTATATTGGCATGGGGAATCCCCATCGTAATGTGAAAAATAAAACTCGGAAAGCAAAAGTATGAATTTTTCCACTTGCCATTAATAGGTTCTATTGTTAGGACTGGCGACAGACTGCGTTGTATTCTTATGTTAGAGAAGATAGCCTCGGTGTATATATATATACATGCGATAGCGTACGTACTAGCTAGAAATTGGACACGCACACGACAGAAATGATGGATCTTACGAATGATGTTCTGGAAGCCTATTTCCACAAATGTGTTCAAATGAATCGTGAAGAGACAAAGAGATCGGTGGAAATAGTTATGCCTGTCATTAACCAGATTCTGAAAAAGATCAAAAGAGATGATGAGCGTTTCAGTGGAGAGTCCTTCAAAGCCGGCAGTTACTGGCAAAATCTGAAGGTTGACAGAGCAGATGAGTTTGACATAAGCGTGCCCCTGTGTGCTCTACCAACACGATGGAATTGGAGTCAACATACGCCTCGATACTTTGACTTAAACATACCAGTACCTGATCCTGCAGAAAGCATTTCGTCTGACGTGAAAGTCGTCTCCAAAGCCGTAAGTCTTCCGCCCCCACAGCCAGGATATTGCTGTATCCATCTAAGCAGTCCAACATATCCTATATGGATAAATTCCAGCGACATGATCGTGGATGGACACATTGTTCCAATTTTGGTCAAATGGAAGTTCCAAGAGCTACTCGTGGATGCAATCCGCGACTTAGGTTTACAAGGTAGGCTATCTCTTTCTCTCTCTCTCTCCGTATTTGTGTTGCAGCTTTTACATTTTCATGCTAAAACCCATGTTGGGAAAAACATATTCTTCGAGAAAGAAACTTTGATCGGTGTTGAGAATAAGGACTAACTATCACTTGTTATACATTCACGAAAAGAATTCCTACCGTGAAATTTGTGCCGTTATAAAACGACAAAACATCGTTATGTTTTGAGTATAAAGCATATTTTACTTAAATCAATAGCTAATATTAAAAATGTTGTGTAGGCGATTCCGCGAATGTTCCAGGTAAACAGCGTTTTTACTATTAGCTGTTTAGTGAATGAAATGAGTACACTATACAGTTGATGAAATCATTCTCTAATTATGTTTTACAGTGCGCAGTCTGCAGATAAAATGTTTAGGTTAATTACACGAAATATTATATGCATCTATGATCTATTTTTTTCAGACATCGTGAAAAAGATTAAACGGGTAAATGGCCCCGCACTATCAGTTCGCATCACAGTGGATGGTCATTTTCCTATCAGTGTTGACTTCTCAGTAATGGAAGAAGGATATACACCCTTCCCATCAAACATACAATGGCCTCGTCGAAATACAAAATGGCCCTCTCCAGCAAAAGCAGACGACATACGCAGGATGGGAGTGCAGACAGTTGCGAAAAAGAACTTCGACTGGGCGATTTCCTTCGTGAAAGCAGAAAAGAAACTGATAGAAAACATTGACAGTGACGGTGGATGTCGTAAGAAGTCCCACCGCATTATGAAGAAACTTAATGAAGATGTGTGGTGTGATACGACCAGGCGTGTTATCACATCCTACTGTCTGAAGGTATAATGTGAAGTTCTAAACAGGTTATGAAATACACGCCATTTACTGTGTTCTCTTCAAAATAGTAAAAGAACAATGACGGTGAACAGTTTACAGAACCCCTGGCCTCTTCCTCATGCAAACCCACTCATTTGCACGTCTTTATACTCGTAAATAAGAAATAAACACGTATAAAATTTATAATGGTGTAAACATGTAAAATAGGTTCTGCTGTTCAATTAATCATGATTATTATTATTATTTCAGAATATCTTATTCTGGGAGTGTGAAGACAGCCCTTCCAGTGAAGACTGGTCAGTTGACAAACTAAGTGTCCGCGTTACCAGCATGATAGAACGAGTGAAAAAGGCAGCACAAGCTCGCCGTCTAACTATGTACTTTAACCCTGCAGTCAACCTTCTTCAGGACAAAGACTGCAGAGAACTGGACATAGCGGTCAAGAAAATCAGCGACTTCATGCTCCGTCCACAAAGTTTTTTTGAAAAGCTATGAACACTTTTTATGTCACAATTGTTTAAACACCTTTGGTGGTGCGGGAATTTGTGCGATTGGATCGTCGAATATTGGATGATTGAATATTTATCAAGAAACATAAAAGAATGAAAAATTTAATTGTAAATAAAGCAGGTCTAGTTTAAGCACTTTATAAGGTGCTTTTTGTGATCGGGCGATATCTACTAGCGCAGTACCACTATACTTGTAGCAGGGATCAAATAAGTATTTTCTTGAAGGCCTACGGTTACAAATGATAGGCCACGCGACATTTTCAAAGAACTGTAGTGCAAGGACAAGCTGTTTCTCTAGATAAGAGTCGAACATTTCAAATTATTTTTCATTGAGCTAAGTTACTTATAAAACAGCTAGTGTCTAACAGTGACTAGTACTATTAGCGATAAAGGATCGATTCTAAGAATGTTTGGCCTATTCCGGTATTTCGTTACGTGTTCGTTAATACACAAACCACAATTCATATGATTGTGGATAAATCATTGATTATAAATTGTTTTACTGATATTAAGTAGACGAGCGTACGTGAGTAAGTGCACTTGCCAAATTTATGATGTTACCTTGATCTCCTGCATTCTATTTTAATGGTTTTTTTGGGACTTTGCCATCTTAACTGGTATATCGAAATGGATAATTGATTCATATTATCTAACTTGGCATTATGCTGATTAACAATGGAAATTGCATCATCATCATTCTGACATTTATAACTGTATAAAATGATGACTGGATGACAAATTATTGACAGACAAAAGAGGAGTTTGAATACCAGCTTAAAGACGGAGAGGTGTCTTCACTCATTGCAAAGATTCATGGTGCAGCCAGAGAGGAGAAAGTGAGCTGTCTAAGGGAGGACCAGAGGGAGGACCACCTGTGGAACATGTGGACTAATAAAAAAATCAACTGACAAGCCTTTGACGAATGAACTTTATATTAATTTTTAAATTTATTTTTAAGTAGATTTTAACACACCAATATTGTGCAACACCATTGTTCATAACCCGTAAAGAACCATTATTTAATTTGCAGGTTGCATAACTTGCATTCATTTGAGACAAGTAGGGTAAACGTAATAATTTTATATTTCATTTCTTTAAATTTTGCATTAGGCCTACGTTCTTTTCCATATGTTTTAATAAATAAAGAATTGTGATAAGCATGTTTGTTAAAATTAACGTGTTTTATACCTGTACATTTGCTTAAAGTATTGGATAAAATACTTCAAATTGAAGAAAATTGAAGTTCTTCTCTGTGAAAAGTGGGGATAACAACAAAATTTGCATTTGTGGATGCTTTCTCTTTTATTTTGTCCGTTTAAGACAAATTAAAAAGATAGATGAATGTTTTTTGCTGGCTGTGACAGTGACTGTAGTAGGGGAGACCGGGGCTAGTTGGACCCCGGGGTAAGTTGGCCCCCCGTCAATTTATGAAAAAGTAACTACGATGTAAAAAAATTGGCCACATAACCTTGTAAAGTGACCGTAGCCTACAATGCTAAGGAAGTTTCGGACGTTAAAAAGTTTTACTTAAGCGGTGAGTCGAAATAAACTTTTTTTGCACCTAAAAGTAATTTTGTTTAAGAGATTTAAAGATCTATTTTCATATGCTTTTGATCGAATATAAGTTATGTATAGGGCATCAAACTGAAGCTCATTGTTTCAAGTTTCACGGAGATGTATCATCGTTGCTCATTCTAGCACCATAAATGGCTAACATCCTTTAAAATAAATAATGTGCACCCGGGGCTAGTTGGCCCCCTTGACTCGGGGCAAGTTGGACCCTCAAATTACCCACAATCCTTTGTGCGCAACGCTGTTTGATATAAACAAGTTGGTGAAATTAACAAAGCTTGCCGGTGTTTACCGTCTGATTGATTTGATTTAATTTGCTCTCTGGTGTTTTTTTTGAAAATTTATATTAGAAATGTTCTGTTGATTGTATGTATGTATTAAAAGGCGAAACTTTCTTTAGAAAAACATTTATTTTGCCTTAATTCATTGTAAGGGGATTCAATTTGTATTTACAGTGTTATATGTGGCTCCAAGGGGATTTTCCACCCCTCCCTAGCTAGAGACCATTGTTGAAACAAACTCAGTGGTTTAAAACTGAATTTGTTTCTTTCTTTTAATACGAAATTTATTATTCGTTTTCAATTATTAAAAACCTGCTTTATACCAATATTAATTTATTCTTAATTAAAACAAAACGAATTTTATTGATAGATATTTTGGTTCTTGCAACACATACCCCCCCCCCCCCCCACAACAACGTGAAACCTCAATAAATCTGCCTCATTTGAACTGTTTATTCATCAAAGACTCTCAGAAATCAATTANTAACAGGGCCAACTAGCCCCGGTCTCCCCTAAATTAGGTTTGTTTATTAAACTTGTAATCGGCCTAAATGGACAAATGCCCCCCCCCCCCCCCCCCCCCCCGCCTCAAAAAAAGGAATCTGCCATAGTAGTCTTTACATATTGTTGCAACATAATATATTATATGCAATACAATGTATGTAGGCCTACGGTATGTAGGGACCCACTTCACCATTTCTTTCTTGTCAGTTTAACACGGTTTTAGGTATCCTATCCATGATTTTTGGACCAGTTGACTTCTCCTCAAAATTCTCCTTACACTCACAAGTTATACTTTTGAAGTCCCCTGGATTCAATACTCCACACCCTTCCCCTGCTCCCCTTCTCATCAACCCTCAACCAAGCAAACCGATTTCCATGACGCGCCGAGCTCATGTATAGACTCTACCGGAAGTCGAAACCTGGGAATAAAAATGGCGGGTAGCTCAAACCCGGCAGGGGAAGTTTTTCGAAACAAATGTTTCTGTTCACGATCATTGATGTGGTCAGATAGCGAAACAAGTATTTTTCATTGGAATAGACACGTATTGTCGTATTACACCAGAACACATTTGAGACAAGTATGTGCTCTCAAAGACGCTTTATCGTTAGCTAAATAATCACAATTTACCCTACACAGCTAGGCTGTACTGTAGAACTAACGTTTTTAGTTTGATCATCTGATTGAAATATTGTATACTTCTTCAGCAGCGGCATCATCCTACATTAAAAACCCTTCTGTAATAGTTGTTTCTTGTTTACTCTTTCTCCAACTTAGGCAAGATTTCGCGTAAATGTGGAACCACCTGTTGACATTGTGGATATGTGTGGCATTGAGTATTCGGGGCAAAAGCATGTGCTATTTGCAACAGAGGAGGGCAGCATATACAGAATACAAATGCAAGAAAATTTGTTAAAGTAAGGTACTTGATATATGCATTACGCTAATTTTAATAGAATTTTACATTGATTTTTAAGGGACTATTTGGAAATCTTCTTATTATAATTTTACATAAACAACAAAGCACATTTATTGTAGTCATTATATATATATATATATATATATATATATATAAATATATATATATATATATATGCCAAGTAATAATGATAGGTGTGTTAAGTGAAATAAATGTTTTAAAAGAAACCTATGTAATTAGCATATGAACTTATTTGGGTTACTAGTACTTGGAGTTAAGAAAATGTCAGAGAATGTAGAATTTGCAATTATTTCTCACTTTTTCTTTTCAACAGAAGCTCTGCAAGTAAAGGGTCTCAAAGCCTTGAGTCTTCAACTTCAAATGGTGACATATTCAAGGAATTATTGGTAGAAGAAACAGATGAGGACTTAGTCCTACCCTCATCCTCGTCAGTAGTTACAGTGGCCCAAGACTGTAGAGTTCACCAAATAGAAGGTGTGGCATGCATAAGGGCTGTAAATAATATTGTTATTATTATAACACACAGGTTTTGGAGCTACCACATACATTTCTTTTTGCAACAAGACCTTATGAAACCAGAGAAGGTCTTGGTGGCAGTTACTCCAATATTTGTAGAGTCGTTACGTGCCATCCCAACAGGACAGAACCATTTGAGTGATAAAGTGAACTGCTATGTTATCTATCCAGAGTCATCACAGTCAGTCCTAACAGAAGCTGGTGTAACAGTGTCTTCAGCATTATATAGCCAGTTGTTTGGAATGGACCTTAATATGTGCAATGCCCCTGTGGTTCTTCTCTGCCTTCCAAGTGGACATGTGTATGCTGTACCGACAAAGGGTCAGTCAGGCCATGATTATAAGATCACAAAGCATTGCTGGCTATTGTATGATCTTGGTGAAGCAGTCACCTCAGTATGTTTTGTGGAAAGAGACAAGGGGTCGGAAGAAGATGGAAGAGAATCTGCTTTGCTTTTAATAGGTCGGTGCCTCACTGTTAAATCTTAACAAAGGGTCACTTCTTATTAACTTGTCATTGAGCTTATCAAAACTCAGCCAACATATACATGTATTTAATTGACACTTGTTATTAATAATTGGTGTCTTAGAGTAGGGCATACTTTGAGTAGTACTCAATAGTTGATATTCTGTTGTACTGAAAATGTAAGTAAATTCAGCATGATACAGAAAGGAACCTTTGTTTTGGAATGAATTGTCATTTTTCCTGCCTATGGTATTCTTCCATAATGAAATCTTCTCTTTTGATAGGTTGTTGTGGCAAAGTAGTGTCTGTCCAACCAGGAGAAAATGGTATGCCAACCTTCACAGAGCATGTTATTCCAGGACCAGTTGTATGTTGCTGTGTTCATAAAGGCAACCTAATCTTTTCCACTTACAAGGACACATTTATGGTGTCGGTTAAAGACATTTGTGTGAGCAGTTGTAAAAGGCTCCCTTATTGGGGAATAACTGGACTTGCATGTATAAGTAAGCTGTCATATGTAGTTTTACGAAGTGGTAAATGAGGTATATATATATATATAGTTATATGATGTTGATTGTTGATTTAAACTTCCCTTTGACTTCATAGATGGCCGGATAAAACATTTCAGGCCAATTTTGTGAATATGGTTGGATATGATTTGATTTTTTAATATGAAATAGTTTTCGTTTTTTTATGAAACGACGTAAGCAATTCTGATGAAATTTAATTCAATGGATATTAATTCAGTATATTTATTAAGGTTGACTCTAATGTTTTTTTTTTTTTTTTTTTCAAATTAAGACTCTCAAGGTGAGGAAACCTCAGTGGTCGGAGTCAGACTTAAAGGACAGCTGTTACCCATCTCTTTGTGTACCCAGACAAGGCATAAGATACAACCTGAAAATCGACAATCTGTTAGAGAACTTCTTCCTAGGATTGACTCCATGTATGAAAAATCCAAAGAGTGGCAGGTGCTCCAGAGGGAACAAACAAGTATATTATCACAGCTTAACCTAGCTGCCCATATTGTCACTGGACTCTCATCAGTATTAACTTGCGATATAAGAGCAAAGAATTGTGACAGTGGCTTATTTGTTCAGCACAAAGTAGAATGTACATTGAGAAATCAAAGTAATTTAGTTATGCATAGGGGCTGGAGTTTCATTGTGATGGTCAAGAGTGAAAATCAACGGTCAGATGTCCCATTGGATACAAAAGCAGTATCACTGAATGAATTTGTAAAATGTGGATTTGTGACATTGACTTTGAAATTTTGTGATCAATTTCTGAATTGGTTACCATTAACTGTCAGTCCTTGCTTAATCTATGAAGTGCCAAATGTAGAGGTATTGTCAAAACAAGTGAATCTCAAAAAATCTGTCTCGAACTTAAAAGAGAAAACAATTACAGTGCCTTTACCAGAGGTGTCACTTGATATAGTACATTTCATGCAGAATTGCAGTTTACTGCCAAGTTTTAAGTCTCGACTGCATGGAAGGGATTGTGAATGGCATCATATTTTGAAATGTATGGCTGGAAACCGTCCATTCTCACATGACTGTGCTACTCATGTGGGCAGTTATTTTAGCCAAAACCATTCAAACACATTGACTGTGCCAAGAAGTGAATTAAATCAATTGCTGGATGGAAATGAGAGTCCAATAACAAAAGGTACCACACCACATATTTATTTGTACTAAATTTATTTGTCATGAAGCATAACTAACAAAGGTGCAGACTAAAAGATCTGATGGACATAGCTTAATGAGAGAAGTGAGATCAGTTGGCACGTGCAATAGTGTAATTTGCTTGGATGAAACCTTTTGATAGTTTTAAAGGTTTTTAAGGAAAAAAATGCAATTCTTGAGTTTTTTTAAGGTTTGATATAGAAACAGATTTTTTGTTGCTGCACACAGCATACTTAAAGAAAACTTTTTCACTGCAAGAATTCATTTTCAGGTTCAGAATGCATGCAATTACTTTGGCACCTACTAAGGGACAGCAATATAGATCTGAAAACAATTGATCAACCTCAGGTGGGGTTTGTAACTCCCGACTGTCACACTGGAACCCTCACAGTACAGGAGACTGAAGAGTCGGGGACAGAAAGATATCAAGTGACCATACAGACAACTGATTTACCCACTCTGTGCAAGATGAGAGCAGCTCTCCTTGTCAGATTGCAGGTAAAAATTATGGCGTTTAAAAAAAAATAGGTGATCAGACATGCATGCAGCTGTTACAGCTGTTATGAATTTGAAAGCTGCCAAATTGTAGAAATGAAATCAAAAGTGACAAAAATTATATGTAACTAGTCTTTGTAACAAAATGTAATAAGACATCACAATCTAACTGTACATGATATTCTTAAAGAATAAGGTAATAATCTTTGTAATAAAGGATCAACTTTCTTTATGTTGTAGAACAAAGGTCCCATCATTGGCCAAGCAGGTGTACCAACAGCAGAGTTGAGAAAAATTTTGTTTAAGATCCAGGTTGGTTGTTCTGCATATTTACAAATTGTCTAAATTACAGCTTGATTGGTATAAATTGAAACTGCAAGTTATATTTTAGGTATGTATATAAAGTTAACTCAAAAAATGGAAAGTAAGCAGACTTAACACAGCTTGTTCAATTTGTAGTTGTAATTCCAAGGCCTTGCATTCATATGATTGATAATTGTTAACTATACAAGTAATACACGATTGATAAAAGTGATGTCATTCTGCTTTCAGGATATCAAAGATAAACTGTTATCGCTGATGGATGTTATGTCAGAGGCAAAAAGGTGGGAGCAGGCAGAAGAACAGATCATATCAGTTTATAAAAGAATACGGGATCTCAACCTGCCCTCATAACCAATACTGCAGTCTTTACAAGGACTAGAGATTCTTTTAAAACAATAAATTACACTGCCAATTTTTTTTTCTTTTAATCTTTTTATTGTTAGATATTTTAAGACAAATATGTCTGTGATTGTTTTGACCAAATTTTGCAAAAGAATGCTACAACCATGTTACACTTGGATGTAAAGGTTATCACATTATTGACTATACTGTCTGATGTGAGAAGGGAGAAAAATGCATTTATAAAACATTAATTTGCATGAAATAAACCAACATTCGCTAATTTGAAGTATTGTGTTATTTATTACAGTGATCTGTCTGTAACATATTACACAAAGTTTTCATATATTTTGTACATTTTTACATATTTGCACTTAATGCTTTCACAGAAATGTAGCTGTGGATGTCTGAAGCAAAGGATTTTAATGTGCCATTAACAACAAGCTGAATGCTGAACCCAGGTTTAATCTAAAAATCACTACAGTTTATTTTTAAGGTTTGCTTTGTTCTTGTTATTCCTACAGTGCAGAAGCTTCTCTTTTTCTATATTAATTTAACTAAATTAAAAACCGACATTGTTAAAATGTTTCATTTTAGTGAAGCTGAACATCTATATAGTTTGCATGCTTTAGAAATATCTAATACACAGGCATCTTTTTTAACAGCCCAATTAAAATCAGTCCTCATAATTAACAAAAAATTGTTATTTAGAAGACTAATAATAATTTAATCAGATACTAGTTCTCTGCAACAATCAAAAGCTTGCAAAGGGCACACTGGTTAGGTTTCGGGTCTGCTCAACTTTCATGCATATGTACACTTAAAATTCTTGACATTTATAAAACATTATTCTTTTCCGTCTACCTCTAACTTCGTAACAACTTTTATTAAACATCATTATTATTTCATACTTTTTCTGGCACAAAAAATACTGTTGAATTTCATATTTCTTTATTTTTTTCTTATCAGGAAATTGTCTCTGGATCTTCAGCAAAAATAAACACAAACCTGCTAAATAAAACCTTCCCTTATTGTCCAAGAACCATTAAATAATGTTCAACACCTGTGATATCAGGCCTACCCAACTACCAGACTCGGCACCTAAGGATCCTGAATTAACCGGTATATCGGACCACGCTACCCGTTTTCAAGGTGTGTGTCAGATCGCATTTCGGAGTATCATACTCCAGAACAAATTTTGTAGCACGACTGCGGGCTCATCCACGCTTGGCTGAACAACCTTAAACTGTACTCTTACTTTAGAGTACTCTATTCTATTGTGTCTATGGGGATATACGGGGACTTTACGACATTCGGTTTGAATGTTTTAACCACTTTTGATAGGGATTTTTGCATTGTATTAGATTAATGTGGCAGTCTAAGGTTCATCTAGGTGGCTTTCAAATTTATGCACCCGGTTTTAAAATCATATAGCGATTTTACGACACTCGTTTACTATCCAATCAAGGTGACAGCCGAGCATGCCAGGGCTCATCCTGTCGGTGTTCTGGCTGATTCTACGAAATGCGATCTGACACACACCTTGAAAACGGGTAGTGTGGTCCGATATACCGGTTAATTCAGGATCCTTAGGTGCCGAGTCTGGTAGTTGGGTAGGCCTGGATATGTCAGCTCTATCTGTAGGTGCTCCTTTTATGTAAGTACTTAGTTCACTCCTCAAATGTAACATTTTACCTTTATTAGCAATCTTTCATCCTATGCTCTCAGATTATTTGAATTACATCGGTACATATGAACTAAGAAGGGCAGTGCTTCAAATACTTGATTTTATCTTCCTCTTGGTAAGATTAAGTCTAAGAACACTGTAAATGTAGCACTGCCAAACAATTCTTTTTGTATAATTACTGAACAATGAAATGATCTAAATCCATTATCAGATCTACTGATATCCTTGTTGGCTAGGATATCCTGGCCGATAACCAGCTGGCCCTCTGGAGTAAGGATTGCCAGCAGCACCAGGGGCCTGTGGGGGCTGAGGGGCACCACCAGGTGGAGCATAACCTCCATACTGCCCAGCTTGTGGTCCATAGCCCTGACCCTGAAAGGAGCATAACAATAAATCAGAGATAGATTCAGCTTGAAAAAGACATCACTTCTTATTAATAAGAATTAATTTTAATATAAGTATATATCTTATTCAATTTTTTTTTACTTACTAGTAGTGCATTGTTTCATAACTGGACAGTTTCAACGTTAAAAACCTCCACCGTTATAAAAAGCCTACCAATAGATAATTCCTCAAAAAAGTGAATATTAGGGTCACATAATGAATCATATATTTTGTGTAATATTTGCACAGCTGTTTAATCAGTTGTATTATTTATTTGGAAATTTCTTTAAGTATAAAACAGCAAAAATGATGGGGTAAGTCAAAATTATGCAAATATAACACAAAATCTGTGCAACTAAAAAAAAAAAAATTTTTTTTTTTTGGGGGGGGGGGGGGGACGACCCTCATGATCTTGTATTGTCTTGTTTTCAAAATAGTGCATTTTACTGAATTACTGAATTCTCATTTGCGAAATCAAATCCCACCTGAGCAGGATATGGCTGTTGCTGGTAGCCTTGTGGAGCATATGGAGGCTGTTGCTGCATCTGCTGCGGTGGCTGTTGCTGTTGGGGAGCACCTGTCATGTTATATGATGGTTGGGAAGGGAGTGGCTGGTTATAACTTGGTTGATGAGAGGCAGAGTGTGGAGGAGAAGGTCCTGCTGAACTCTGTCCTGCCTGTGGAAAGCCATAACCTTGTGGCTGACCTAAACCTAGACAAAGTTAAGGTATTATATACCAAAATTATGTACATTTTTTTCCAATCAAAGCTTTCATGAATGCATTCCAATGAAAACCAATGGTATGACTGTAAATATTAATTAAAGTAGTAAGACATGAATTTTATTAATATTGGAGGGATTTATATTTGTTGTTCTAAGAAATACATACCTTAATATTCTTTAATTACTGTAACAGGTGTGGTTCTTCTACTGAGAAACAAACTAAAAAATACATTGTAAACAACCTGTATTCAAGTAAGAAATGAATTATTTGTTCATACCTTTGTTCTGTGACATGTCTTGCTGTTGCTGCTGTCCATAACCAGCCTGCTGTGGCACCTGCCCCTGGGATTGAGGTGCTGGTCCCTGGGGTGGCTGACTTTGACCCTGATGGGATGGGGTTTGTCCCTGTGGTGGCTGAGCTTGCCCCTGAGCATAGCCAGTAGGTGCTTGATAGCCAGGCTGTCCAGGGGGAATGTAACCACCTTTTTGTTGCTGTTGTTGCTGCTGCTGTTGTTGCTGTTGTTGTTGGCGTAAATGATGGCTACTTGAAGATCCCACACTTGATATGCTGTCGGGTGTTCCAGGCCTTGCTGCATCACCTGGTTAGAAATAAGATTCCTACTACATGAAAACGTTGTTTTTTTTTATAATTTCAAAATCAAGGTTTTGTTGAAATGTCTCATAAATGCTTTGTAATGCTATAAACTTTAAAAAAATAAAAGCCTTCAAATAAATAAATAAATAAATAGCATTCAGAGGAATCTTTCATAACACTTTCAAAATGTTCAATAAGCTTAGTCCTAAAGACCACCTAAACAAATAAAATAACAACTGGACATTTTATCTAGTAGGGTGCCTTTCAGTTTCATGCAGATTTTTCATCTTGAGGTGTTCATAGTCTTCCACAATATAGTTATGTATTGCTCGTTTATGCTGTCTTACCATCATGAGTAATTCCAAACGAAGACATGACTTTGTTCTGTGTTTCTTCTACAGACTTCTGACTTGACAAAGGGTCAAATTCTTTGCTGCCAACAGCATTACTGGCTTTAGCAAGCTGAGGCTGTGGGGAGCCCTGGCCTCTTGCTTTGTTACTATCTGCCATTTTGACTGTAATAGAGATCCATTTCCTTATTTTAATTTCATTATTTTCTAAACTTTACACTCAAGTTATTAACAGACAAGGGAAGATTATCAGTTTTCAATAAAAATCATAAAAGTAAAAAAAAAAATAGGAAGATGTTTATATTTCAATTGCTCATGTGACACAGATAACTTACCATGTTCTGACTCAGCATCTATTTCAGTGCTTTTCACAAAAGGTTGAGGTTCTAGTCTATCTAACAATCTGTTTGCTGTGTCTCTTATGGTTTGGAGTTCTCTTCTAATATGTTTAACTTCATCACTTTCAAGGGGCCTTGGCTGACCATTAACTGAAAAAAAAAATAAAAACACATTACCATCACAAACACAGACTTGGCCATTTAAAAACTTTTATGATGAAAATCAATCTGATTTAAAAGCACAGTTCTTTGAAATGACAGGAAGGATGTCTTATTATTGTTTCTTTTAAACAATTACAGTTTATGAACTAACTGCTGTTACAGTTGTAATCATGTACTTTGTGTGTCATTGATCTAACCTACCAAAATCATTGATCAAACTTACCAAATAAAGTTATTTTCAAGATTCTACTGCACTGAATGGCAAATGATAAATCAGAACTGTCAAATATTGTTATAAGATCACCATCTGAAATTCGGAAAATGATTGAATTAAGATTTTTAGCAGATATTTTGTTATTAAATTTGCAACTAGATATATGTAGTAAATATATCTTTTAGTAAAAAACTGTGTGCTCATCCTTAATTATCAGGAAAATAGCCAGAAAGCAGTTATGTTAAAAGTTACTGAAACTTAAAATGTAAAAATTGGAATATACCATCAATTTCCTTCATGTGTCAGTTTATCTGATCTACTGTACATTGAATATCTTTACAAAAGGTAGTTTAAAATAGCAATTAACTCTTACCTTCATCACGATATTTTATAGTTACTTCATCATTGCTGTCCAGCCTTCCCCTGAATACTCTCTGCATCATCAACAGAAGTTCATCATATGTTATATCTTCATTGTGGATAGGAATTCTGCGAATATCATCACCAAGCTGTGCTTTTATGATCAGCTTACCACTTAGATCAAACTGAGCAAATGCATCATTCAAGTTGTTCTCATTTGTTGTCATGATTTCTTATTTTTCTGTAAAGGAAAAAACTTTCAGATATAATAATACATAATCAAGATTTTTTCTCCAATAATCATTCCTTCCAGACATCCTTTTTACATGCAATAAATTGATAAAATTCTAGCTAGCTCCTTCATCATTAAATTTGATAAATGTGACTCATGACAGATATTAGGACGAATGACCAACACCCCAATGTGGTTAGTAATAAATCTCTCTGGGGAAAGCTGGGGCAACTCTTTTTACATTATGAATGCATAAATCATGTGCTGAGAACAAAATGATATCACTGACCAAAAACGTCAATCATGTAACTTACTGAAATATAACACTCTTTCTGTTAAAAAAACAAGCTTCACCAAAATAAAACAAACTTTCACCACAACCTGACATTTCTGACATAAAAAGAAACTATTTCAGAATGCAAAGACAATTTTGTTTTTTATAACATTGGACTCACCCTTCATGATCTTGACAAAAAAGGGAAAGTACATATCATTTCAATCTTTTCTTGGCATGCCTAGTGCAATGACTGTGTTTTCAAGTGAGCTGAAGCATCTGATACAAAGTGCAAAGTATCAAATACAGTATTTTACTGCCTGTTTGTGAACGAAGTTTCAGAGTAAAGTAGGCCCATGGCACAGTTCTTTCACATTCACAATTCAAGGTTCGAGATGTGCTTTTTTATCTGTCTAAAAATGCTCTTAAAAGTTTTGATTCCAGATACTACAGTCTGCCCATTTAGCATGGTTATTTTCTTAACATTTGGATAAGCTTTGAAGTCCTTCTCATCAGTAAATCATCCAGCAGCTTCTTATATACAACTGAATGATGTCACAATGCAATGTTTCATCAAGATTTTGAAGATGAAAGTAGTAGCATTATAGTTTGCACCAACTTTGGAGCATTCCATTACAAAATCTATGCAACAGTTTTAATTGAAATCCAGTACATAAATTACATATAATTGCTATGCTAAAAATTTAAGAGCTTCAGCATGCCTGTAGCCAGGGGGAAGGGGAGTGAACAAACCACCCTTTTTTGCCAAGAAAAGGTCTGCTCTGGATAAAAATGATCAAATGTTTCCTGATAAAATGTCCACATTTTCAGAAAGATAGCCTCCCCTTTTTGATACTGTTCGCTTTGGGCCTGTTCAGCTCAATACTTTTTTCTGCAATCCCTGTTCAAATGTGTATCCCTATTTCCTCAATTTCATAAAATGTGAGTTTATCTAAACTCTAGTACTACTTGTTAATCGAAAAACAATGTGACTAAATTAAACTGAGCAATAGAAATTCAAAGACTAAATTAAAATTGCCAATAGAAATTTAATACTATTATTCTGACAAATTCTATCTTATCTCATATACTAAACCAAGACACGCATTTCAGTAAAATAACTAACACAATGAACTTGTATGATATCTTGACAATGTAAAATATTGAAAGTTATACTGAGCGAAAGCTACAGATGTGCTGACAGTGTAGTGACTACTGCTGCTTATGCTCATTCCTCACCAGGGCACCTTTCAGTATCCTACATTTTCTGGCTATCTAGACCTAACCAAAGAGGGTTGATAATAAATTTCACATTTTAAAGGATGCAAGAGAATCGACAGCTCAGATTTCCAATCTTACCTAATTCTATCAGCATTAAAGAATAACTTATTGCGTCTACCGGCGGACAGCTCGGCACTCTGTCTGTTCGTCTATATACCGCTTAGCACATTAAATACGTTACATGTATACATTAAATCCTCGTATAATCTATCTACAAAACATTACTCAAAGTAGTTAATGTGCGTAACAACATATTTAAGTATATCAATACATTAAGAAAAATACATTACGTTTGGATGTTTAATAATGTTTTGAACGTCCTTCCCGGAAGTAAACATTACTCCACGTGGACAGAAGAGCAGCCCACTTTTACCGTCACTCTATCTTGGATCCATCATATGCAGGTCAAACGTGGTATGATGGGTCTGAGCTGTTATTCATAAGAATTTCCTGGTTATTCATCCAGACCATAAACCGTTTCTGGCCGTCTGTACTGTTGTATTTATTTCACATAATGATATATGCTAGAGACTAGGCCCAAGTAAGTTTCAGTACACTCTGCGTATGGCACTAATCTCCATTCAAATCAATGGGAAAATTGGTGTTCTCTCACCTATTTGTAATATATTATAATGCCTTATTTTTTTTAAAATTTTTTGTATGAAGAGGCATCAAAGTGCATTTAAATTTGCAACAACAAATAAATAATACAAATGAGAGTCACCGACCAAATAAGAGAAATACAGTACGCCAAGTTGAAGTGCATTACACCCTTCCTACCACACAAGTCCCCTTTCAAATCACTGAAAAAATGGGTGTTCTTTTACTAAATTATTTTTTAAATGTTCTTATGCTTGAATTTTTTTATTTGTATCAAGAGATCTTCAAGTGCATTAAAAATGTACAAAAAAAAAAAAAAAAAGGGGGGGGGGGTCACCAACTTATAAGAAAACTAGGACCAAATGTGTTTCACCCTGTGTATCACACTAGTCCAAATTCTAATCAGTGGGAAAATGGGTGGTCTTTCACTATTATTATTTTTTTTAGTTATGTTCTAACGTTCAAAGTTTTAGAAAAATATCGGTATAAAAAAAATCCAGGCATTTTGGAATTTTTTTTCCGAAAAGATCAGCAACTCCTTGTTGACAGTTTCTGTCAAATGCTACTTTTATGTGTTGCAATGCGAGACCACTGTTAGCAATCTTATTGAGCATGACTTCACCAGCCAACTTTTAAATCGGACCAAGAGTTGCTAGGTTGCCAAGGCCACCAATGATTCTTTCACAAAATTCAAGTCAAAACTGTGGTGCCATATCTTCAAGACTTGGTCTAAAAGGTGTAGCGTTTTTACTATCTTAACATCTTCAAGGGCATCATAAGCAGAGGGCGTAATTCATTGCCAGCTGCAGACAGTCAGCAACTAATGCCTCTCGTCTATATACGATTTTTTACTTGGCAAGATCTGTTTAAAAGGGAGTGTCAAAAAGAAAAAGAATTTTTTTCCAAGTGCTCCTGGCATTGGCTGCATTACATGGCACCAGTGAGTCGACTGATCGAATGTTATGCCCTACCAACACAACTTGTTTGCCCTGGCCAAATTTAAAGTTTAATTTGCAACAGGAATGACAATAGTGACAAGTATGTTATCACTGCCCATATTCTTAACAACAAATTACACAAAAGAAAACTAAAAACTAATACAGTTTTTAACAATAAATTGTATTATTCTATCAAAAATTAAAAAAAAAAAACAAATTCATATTTAGAAGTTGACAACAATCAATTTTCAAACTGAAACTACTGTGACATGTCAAGATTGTACTGGTAGTGTAGACAAATTTTAATTATACTATCCATATACTATATTAACCTTCCCAATACTGACAATAGATAAAAAAACACATCTTTTTTTTGCATTTTCCTTAATAGTACAAAAACAATAAAGCAAACCTCTTTTGAACACTGCAGTGTGGAACTAACTTTTAACATAGTAGCCATAACTGAAAAATGTAGTAGTACTTAGTTCAACCTCAGTCTTGTTAAGTTCAGCAATAATATCAAGATTGAAACAAAGTGGCACTTTTTCATTTCATATCCATCATGAAGCTGAAGCCAACAAGCTAAGCAAAAGTGAAAAATGACTCTGAAAAGAAAAAAAAAGTTTCAGGTAAGTATATTGACATAGGGAGTGTGAAAATCTCATTCTCACAATAATGAAATATTTTATTTACTACAAAACATTATTGCAAATGTAAAAGCAATCAAACATGATGCTAATCAAAATAAATATAAACTGTTTTACTGGGAAAGAGTGTCTTTAGCTAATCAATCTGTAATGACCATCTTGGTGATTTTGTTAAATTACATTACCTGAATTTATGAATGCTTTTTGATTTCAGCAATGATAACACTAGCCTCAGGGAACTTCAGCTTGCGAGGTGGGCCTTTTTTGATGCCACTCCAGATTTGGACAACTGAAAAACATAATTATCATCATAGATTTACCTTGTTAAAATTTATTACCCTTAGGTAAAACTAAATATCTTAATTATTGCCAATAAAAAATGAATAAAAACACTCATTTTATTATTGTATGTCAACTTTAACATGTCGTAAGCTAAATAATAAATAATAGAGTAAACTATGTTTCATGTGTCTGACTCATTCAAAATTTCACGTTTGAATACAATAGCTTTTCACCAAAAAAAATACCTTCACCATTCTTGAAAATCATGGTGACTTCAAAGGTATTTCGGCGTGGGGGGTCTGGATTTAGATCTATCTTAAGATCCCCAAATTCTACGCGCAGAGCCTCGGACAGTTCCACAGCTCTGCGCTTGTACACTTGTCAGGATTTGCTGGAAAATTTAAGTATTATTTTCAATGATTTTTTAAACATTCATTAGAGAAAATTTTCAAACTGAGGAAAGGCTTGTAACATTAAGGTTTGAGTTTAGGAAACTTTATATAATCTATTATATGATCTAAACGAGAAAATAAACCAAATTAAACCAAAATTCCCAAATATACGCCATCCTCCTAAAAACCTCCAATTCTCTTTCTTGTTGTGTTCTTGTGTGTTGTTAATTCTTATGTCTCCTCATCTGACTAAAATATGTTGACTTACAAGTGTTTCATTTTTTTTACTCAAACTTGCGGGCTTACCAATGTTCTATTTTTAGCCAAAATGTATCGCTAGCGTGGCTGGTTTGGTTCTCAGATTTGGATTTCTTTTGAGGGTCAGGCAACTCTGCCTCCGACTTTTCCTGCTGAGCTGAAGCTTCAGCTACCGACTTTCTTTTCCTCCCGCGCCTCATCTCGGCCTTTATCCGTTTTATGACAAGAAATTCAGAATCGCATCGTACTTCCAAACTCTGACACCGGAGAGCACGCTGCGTAACTACACTTGCAGGAGAGGGTTTATAGAAAACAAAGAACGATCAAGCTGCTCCGCCCCGAGATTTAGGGGACACTGGAAACTTGCCTCTCTATCATCAACATGCCTTTGCTGTTTTCAGATACTGAAAACGACAGTTTAAGTTATTATCTTGTGTAGTAGTCAGATTATTAGGTTGTCAATTTCTCACAACATACCGCTACGCTTGTATCGCAATTTTCACCCTAAACAAAGCTGTACTTAGGGTGCATTCCCAGAGATTTAGATCGATCCAGAGATTAAGATTTAGATCGACCTAACTCCCTGGGGGTTCACGCTAAATTGCAGTCAGCCGAGCGGGCACCATAGTTAATAACCCCCTTACAGCTTTTAGTAGGCGGGACAGACGCTTAAGCCGGCTAAGCTGACAGTAGGGGGCCTAATCTAGTGAGACTACCCACAGGGATAGATCGATCTAAAATCTATGGGAATGGGGTCTTAGATTCGATGTTTTACACCATTTACAATAAGAAGATGAAGATTTTATTAAATATATTTATGGTAAGTTTAAGATAACTGACCAGACATTTAGACCACCATGTATGTCATCCTGTGCATTTTACAGGGTCCCATTGGGTGTATTCTTTACCCGTGAAAGACACTTTATAATTATTTCCCGGGATATAGAAGTAGATGCGTGAAACGTTCATTTTTATGTAGGCCTACAGTCACCCTGAGCTTCAGAGATAACTTGACACTAAGCTCTTCACTATAGCCTATCTTCATCGTGTCAACTTGACACGATGAAGAAAGGCTATAGTGAAGAGCTCAGACCCCATTCCCAGAGATTAGATCGATCCAACTAGATCGACCTAACTCCCTGGGGGTTCACGCTAAATAGCTGTCAGCCGAGCAGACACGAAAGTTAATTACCCCCTTACAGCTTGTAGTAGGAGGGACAAACATTTAAGCCGGATTATCTGACAGTAATCAAGTGAGACGGCCACGGGGATAGATCGATCTAAAATCTATGGGAATGCGCCCTTAGTGTCAAGTTATCTCTGAAGCTCAGGGTGTGAACAGCAGGCCTAACTCGCAAATGCGGCTTTGTGTTCTTTGCCCTTCGTGAAAAGAAATCATTATATACCGGGTGATTTGTGATTTTCAGGATGAAAAAAGTGTTATTCACTGTGAATTGATGGTTTTATTCCCTTGTAGGCTACTATGATTACTACCCCCCCCCCCTCCATGGGACCCTCATTTTAGAAGGACATGCCGTCGCCGTGCTGGTTCTTTTACTTAAAGGATTTGTTTTATCGTTTTTAAGGTCTTGATTGGGAAAGGTACAGTTAGAAGCTTTTCATTAAAAATATATAATTATTGGGGCATATTGAAACGTATCCTAAATTATTTTCTGATAGGCTACACGTTTTCGCTTGCAAAACACACGCACGTAGAAAGTTTGGTTGGGTGACGGTGGGTGCAGTCGGGGTTAGAAAGGGTGCACTGCACAGCCTGGGAAGAAATAAGAACAATTCCAGGATTCATCATCCAGGGTAGAATTCATTCGTTTCGATTCGCTATTCCTCTTTATTTCTGAATCTCTGGGGCACATTGTATTTTAATATAACAGAGGTATTTCCCATAATTTAAAACATTTTGCACATTATTATTTAACTTCGAGATAAATCTAAGACATCTAAGGAACCACAGTCATAACTAGCAGATAAATAACAAACAAACCAGTACATATAAAATACGTCAACCTATTAAGATTAAACGGTTTGTATACACGAACCACAACCAAATACCTTTTGAGCAAAAGTAAAATAGTGTAAAACGCTATGTAAGAAAGTAATTGGTGGGTTTGTTAACATTTATTTAAAATCATTACCCTTTCACGTTTCAGGTTTTACGTCTAAACATCACAACCATCATTTTTTATATTTATGTGCAAGTCATAATCATTGCTTTTAAAGCCAACAAAAAAGCAAAACCAACAATGGGTAATATAAATTTACTACAAGTAGACTGAAATAATTAAAATGATTTTTATATGTGCACATTTTTAACGTAGGCATAACACGTACAGCTTTTACAGCTTTTAACACAGTACGAATTAATACAAACGTACCTGGAAATACAATTAAATTATCGAATGGCAAGATCTTGCTAGTTATAGGTCTACGCTTAGATAAAGAATTTGTCGTCGAGGCGACTGATAGTTGGATGACTGAAACTAGCCTGTCTAATACTTCATAAATCACCAGTGATACAGCACCACAGGGAAATAAGACACGTACAGCACCATAAAGTGAGCTTTAAGGGACGGTACTGAACGCTACAGTCTAAAATCACGTGCATTTTCTTTCTAGATATCTCGTACACAATTATGGTATTTCCGTTTCAAATAATAAAATAAGTACACCCTGCTAAATTAACACTTCTACGCAAGGTAAAAAAACGTTCATCCTGCTAAGGCCAAATGATAAAAAACAGCGCTAACAAAATGTAAATTTACAGAGTATTTTCGAGTTTTGCGTAAGAGTCCTGGGAAATTTGTTGATGTAGATTTTTCGAGCCAAAATATTGTATACGGTCCTTTCATTCTCAAAAACAATATTCATCCCCCTCCCTATGTATTCAGTGTGTTATTGTAGTAAAATCTTGGATGCAACATGAACGATGAGGCTAGAGATTCTGTCTTCGAGATTCTAATTATCTAACTAAAATGAATGGTATAAAAATACATGTTTTTAATTGAACTGTAGAATGCCACGTACACGTAGAGTGAACATGAAGGGCCTGGTTGCCAAGTTAAGCATCAGAGGCAAGTTTATTTTCAAATACATTTGAAGTTGTCGTGTCATGAAGTGCAAAATCTTCTGGACGCATATCTATTTCCTCCATTCCATATAAAACGTTTGTCATCTGCAAGGTACCATCGCTTGTCTCATTGACTATCGGCGATACATCAGTATGAATCTCAGATTTTTTCAAGTTTTGTCTTCGCTTCGCTAAACAGATTGCGCTGAATAAAACTATTATAAGAATCAACGCTAAAATTGGAATGAGCGTTGCCATGAGAATGGTGCTTTTTACTGAGTCTTGTTTTTGTGCAACTGTCGTGGAGGATGGCAGCAAAGTAGAAGATGGAAAAGACTGTGATGATGAAGCTGGAGATGTATTTGGTGAAGAGGTTGCCGTCGATGATGTTGATGACGTTAATGACGATGTAGTAGAAACTGGCGGTGATGTTGATGTGAATGGTGTAGTCGGAGTTGTTGAATATGAAGAAACAGACCATGATGTGGTTGTTGTATTAAAGCTGACAAAATCGCTGGTCGTTATTGCAGTGGTGAAGTGAGATGTCGTAGATGAGCTCAGTGTCGTTATCATTCCCGTGGAGTGAGGAGCCGTAGTAGAGCCTAAAGTCGTTATTGTTGTGGTAGGACGGGGGGTCGTTGTGGTTGTGGTTGTCGATGGGATCTCTGTGAAATCAAAAAATAGCATTGGGGCAAATAAACATGCACTTCTTTCATCAATGCTTGCTATTACAAGTATCTCCTTTTTTATTTCTAAAATATCAGGATTTATCAATCATATATTTATATATAGAAGTGCTTCGTCACTTAACAGAATTAAAGTGCTGCAATTCTGGTAGCCTACAATTTAAAAAAAATGCCCTTATGCAAAATCGTCGACAACTGTACTAGTAATCTTTTCAAATCATAACTTACCTGAACATTTAACTCCAGCATCCTCTTGATGATCACAGTTGTGTATGCCAACGGGTTTGTGCCTGCAATCTTTTATGGTGGTTTCGTTTCCAATACATTGCATCCCGTCTAACCATATAGCACTTGGTGTTTGCCCGCCATATCCTGATCCCCGCACAGCCTTGCCCAAACCGTATCCCAGTTGACGGCATACCACTGTGGCATCCCTGTCGTCCCACAGGTCGTCACACACAGTCCCCCAGATGTTGGACTCGGAAACGTTCACCTCCACACGCCCATAGTTCGGCCCAGGTGACAGACGAACGCTGACTACTTCTGTAAAATGTAATAAAAATGCATAATAATGTGTTGTTTTACTTTTGAAGATACATCAACAGTTCAGGCAATCTTTACAACGAAACCAAAACCTGATTCAAAACGTACCGTTGTAATACACAGAGAACCCATCGACAACCACATTTATATTTATCTCTTTAAGCTAAGAGCATTTAAAAATCCAGTCGATATAATCTGTGTATCAAGACAGAAGAGAGAGAAGAGAGAGAGAGAGAGAGAGTCTGCAACCTCTGTCGTCCAACAGAAACGGGTATTCTATAACTCGGCGTGTTACCCACCCATGGAGGCATTAAAACAGTGCACTGCTGCCATACTGCGAAGAGAGTTGCCGTAGGCACAGCCTGAGGAGTCCCAAGCTCTCCACTCGTGGTCTGTAGTCTCACACTCAAACAGAGAGCTTTCTGTTCCCTTGCATTTCAGAACCGTCATCATTGCTGCCTCAATGCGGGCCGTCCCGCCGCAAACAGCTGTGCCCTGGTAATAGTTTTCTCCCACCATACACGTAGGCACACCATCGGCATATCCCATGGTTCTACAGGCTACTCTGGCCTCCGACTCCTTCCATTGTTCCGGGCATAGTGCTCCTGTGACGCCATCTACACTGATTTCAAATATCCCCGAGCTTGTAGATCCTTCAACTCCAACTAACTGGAAGTTTATGTCTGCAACAAAGCATTAATTAAGATTCTACAGCATGTATATCACTGGAAGATTGTCTACGTATAATTATGTCAACTTGAAATCTGTTGAAAATTTGTAGTTGGAATACCAACTCTTTATTTTGTTATTCGAGTGATTCAGACCTTCAAGTAAACTAGATAAATATATTACCATCATAAACCCAAAAAAGCGTATCATTGCCAAATACAGTTGCAGCAAAGATACCAGCTTCAAACCAAATCAAGAAAATATACCTTTTTTATAACAAGCAGCACCAGGAGTTGATCCACTATATGGGCATCCTGTTTGTTTTTCTTTTAGGGAAAACCTTGCACAATCTCGCAAAGACTGCTCAGTTCCATTGCAGCGCAAATTACCCACTACGCGTGGCAACGGGATGGCAATATCATTACTGTCGTCGTCGAACATGAAAGCTTTCCCTCCGGCATACTGCCAGCTAATTTCTCTACAAGCAATTGATGCTGCTGCGTCATTCCAACCTGTGGGACAAAATCGGCCCCAGACACCATCCACTCTGACTTTCAGTGGTTTCGCCCATTGATTCTTGTTGGTTATGAAATTTACTGCAAAATCTTGCCAAAGACAAGAGACGAATGCATTCAATACAAGTGAGAATAAACAAAACTACATTGAAGGGTATTAAAAATGAAGCTCTTGACTGAAATTATAATTTCATCTTTAAAACTTCTCTTACTAGAGCACTCAAATTATCTAGATTATACATTTTAAATATTTCAGTTGTCAGGACTGTAAAATTTCTACCTACCGGTTTCTATAGGCAGACTGCTAAAACACACCACGGATGCATAATTTCCAGATGAACACTCTTTGACCGTGTAGGTACAATTAAGCCTCGTATTGTCTGTCAGATTGCAATGAAAATCACTCAGAGGAATGGTGCCGTTAAAACTCCCAAAAGCTGAATGAAGAACTGCCTTCCCGCTTGTATAGCCCAGTTGTTTGCACGTGGCTTCAGCTCTCTGGTCTGTCCAGCCCACATCACATATTCCAACCCAATCACCTTCGTAGCTGACCTCCACACGCCCCATGGTGCCGTAGGGACCACTGCTTAAACGAACTGAAATTACGAGAACCTCCATAAACTGCTCTTCGCCACAATTGCTTTAAATGATGCACATTGTGTAAACTAAGGCGTTTGATATAAATGTATCTTTTCATTAAAATAATCAATATTTACCTTGGAGGAAAAAACAGCTGTACCATAATAATAATAATGCACAACTTGTCAGTATAAATGCATACACCCACTTAAAAAAGGACTCACTTGTATCAAAGCAAACACATGTCGCCAGATAAGGACTATATGATCGGTAACAATAATTTCTAACTGTCGACGCCTCTGTATGTGCTGTCGAACTGGTGAGTATATCCCATCCGGGATGCGGGCACCCCAGTATCGAATTCTCACTGCCATTACACTGAAGATGGCTCAGCCAAATTTTGTCCACGTCGAAGCGGGAACCAATGATTGCCGTTCTTCTGTGATACGTTGCTGCCTGTCCGCCAGAATAACCGACAGTTTTACAAAATACATCAGCATCATTGTCGTCCCATAACCATCCACATATGTAGCCGGTAATACCGCCTATGCCTACTTCGGCAATACCTTCGTTTTTAGAGCTGCCACCATGGCGCAGGAGTCTGAATTCTACGTCTGAAAGAAACGAGATAAAGCATATAGTGTAATATAATAGCAAACTGGGATCTAGTGTATTATCGATGGTGGGATTGGCGCCATAACCTCTTGAATACAGCGGTGATCTCATATTTATAGGAGATTTTGAATATCTTCAAAATGCCACACAGTGATGGTCAAGATAAATTTTGTGCCATAATAACAATATTGCATACTATAAATCTTTCATATATTGCCGGTACGATATGCACAAAACTGCCAAAACAAAACAGTTATCATTTAAGGTACATTACAGCTTTATGTAAGGTATGAAAGCTTCATTATATATCATAAACAAAACACACACCAAGAGTTTCAGTTGATAATTCATTTAAAAGCCGTGGACAAATATACAATGATAAACAAATACTTACTAGAATCATTAAAACACATGAAGCCTGCCTTCAAATTCCTGGGACAGTTCTCTGTAGCGTCCGAAATGAGACATCCTTCTAAACTGGTTTCATTCCCCTGACAACGTACTGCAGCAAGCACTGGTTGAGGTATGGCAGAGGGCACACTGTGGTTGTATACAGCGCCATTTCTGTACCCTAAGCTCCTGCAGACAACTTGGGCGTTGGCATCATTCCACGTAGTAGTGCACACCCGACCAGTCAGGGACATATGTGAGACAGATACATACCCTGTGATACCAGTGTCAGGCCCATCACCTATGGGACGTTTATCCTCAATAAGGATTGTATATCCTGGAAAGCAAGGTTTCGTAAAAAGTAAAGGAGCCAACACAGTTCGCTTACTGTATGAAATAAATTTATTTAGTACCGGATGGTTACTTCAAAATATGCACAGTTCAGAATCGTTCAGAATTCCATTTACACTAGGCCCACAGATGCAACATCTCGCTCATACCTTTGATACCTTTGGAATCTTTTTGTTCTGTAACCAACCATAAGTAGATTTACTTCTCGACCAGAGTTAGTAAGGTCCTTTACCCAATATCAATACATCTTACCTTCTGTCAGCTGTCCGTCATTGCAGACCACTGACGCATATTCCTCGTTCTCACATGTAGTATTAGTGATACAGGAGTCAAGTGTCTCTCCGAGGGCCCCCTGACATTCGACTGTCCTGTTAAGAATACCGACTTCTGGGAGGACACCAAATGCCGAACAGCAAAGCGCTTTTCCGTCATAGAACCCAAGCTCTCGGCAGACATGTCTAGCCGACGGGTTACTGAAACTCGAACTACACACCGCGTACCAGTGCCCGTTGTGATTCACCTCCACACGTCCTGCTTTGGTGCCAAAGGTGCCACTGGAGTTGCGGAGACGAACTGGAAATATGAAACATTTTTTGAAGTAATTCATCGAGATTCATTTAAGAGTGTGATTATATCTATTGCTATATAGAAGAAAAATGTAATAAATTGCTTTTTTTAAAACTAAGAAACTGGCATCATGCATTGAAACTTCATAAAAGTGAAGACCAACTGCTTACCTTGGTTAAAACAGAACACCCCTACATCAAGCTGGTGACTACTACAAGGTCCATCTAGCATCTTTACCAGGCCCTGCTGCGGACAATCATGTAGGGAAGCCTCTTCACCAACGCAGTCATAGCCCGCCTGCCAGACTGGGCCACTTCCTCCACTATAGTACGAGTTATATGCAGCAACGCCGTCGGTGAAGCCCTGATCCTGTGCCTTGCAGAATACTCTGGCAGATTCGTCCGTCCACTGCCCTGATGACTGCTGGCATAACGTGCCAACCTCTCCGTTCACAGATATCTCTATAAAGCCTTGGTTTGATTGATTTCCGCCCAAAGTGTAAAATATTCCTACCATGGTAATAGGCATTGGATAAAAACCATGAAAAAATATCGTTGCGGTATGATGAAGTCAAAAGTTAATTATTTTCTGACAATTGAGAAATGTACGAAAACAACCACTTTCATAGGAAATATAATCAAGAATACAAAAACAAAGCATTTATCAAAACAGACCAAAAACTGACTACAGTTTCCAGCATTTAAGACCCCATTTCCATAGATTTTAGATCGATCTATCCCTGTGGGGAGTCTCACTAGATTACTGTTAGCTTAGCCGGCTTAAGCGTCTGTCCCGCCTACTGAAAGCTGTAAGGGGGTAATTAACTATGGTGCGCGCTCGGCTGACTGCAATTTAGCTTGAACCACCAGGGAGTTAGGTCGATCTAAATCTTAATCCCTGGATCGATCTAAATCTCTGGGAATACACCCTAAGATATGCACTAGAAACTACCCACCAGTCAGATATCCAAAAATATGAAGGGCAAAAAGTACAGCAATAGTACAGCATCATAAGTAATTAAAAGACATAAACCACGTATCATTACCTTTTTCGTTCGTGCAAAATACGCCAGCAATGTAATCTTTCTGGTTACAGGTATGCATCTCGCCCGGGCCAGTGTAGGAGCAGTTTTCAAGCGTGCTTTCGTTTCCATGACACTTGACGTCGGACATCCACATGGGAACTCTATCCAATCGTATCCCCGCTATGCGGCGCTTTAAGGCTCTACCTTGCGTAAAGTTCAAACTTCTGCAGACGACATTTGCATCACTGTCATCCCACTTATCAGGACATATATAGCCCTGCGGACCAATGTTCTTAAAGCGGACCTCGACCACGCCTGTATAAGTGGTGCCATGGGCCAGCTGAATCGTGAATCCTGAAATATGTTTCATATTATATAAGATCGAACGGAATCATCCAGAAGCAAAAGGGGTTTTTTGAACTTAATTCAGTATTAGAAAATAGACATCACATAAACCATATCACCAATTCAGCTGCCTATTTCACAAAGTAACTTTAGTCCTAAAATTGGAGTAAACATTAGTCCACTTTGACCTACTGTAGTATAATGCATTTGTACTCCAATTAAATTAAATATCGCAACATATATAACAGGAAAGACTTTGTTAATACTTTCTTTATTTTAATGGACTACTATGGGTTTTGAAAATAAGGACTTATTTAGTTCTTTTGTAAAACCAGTCCAGGTCTTTGTGCCCAGTTTTATTTATTTTACTTTGACAATAATTATGAATGCGGACTTCGTAGACGGGCTTACCTCCGATCGTATCGTTTGTGCAAAAGACAGCTGCCGGAGAACATTTGGTATCCCCAACCACTTGTTCATACGGGCATGCTGTGATGTCACTTTCGTTTCCAGTGCAAGCCACCCTAGTCATAGCAAAGTTTGCAGGTTGTACGGCAGGAAATATGTTACAACACATGGGGAGACCGATCTTGTAACCCATTGCCCTGCAAACTACCCCTGAAATTTGACATATTCAGTGATATATATATATTTGTTTTGTTTTGCTTTGAAGTTTTATGTGCTATTCAAGATATTATAACACGGGACCTTAACGGTTTAAAAGACAACAAGATTATAAAATACAAACACAAATGCAATAAAGGGCGCCACCCTTCTACGCTGCAAATAATTTTTGAAAATTGGGCATTACTTCTGTGACTCTTGCTACACTCTTTTCTCCTCTTTCCAATGGGTTTGGGGCTTAATCCGCTATTTTTAATATGCGGTCGGATTTATGTGCATAGATACACAAGTCTGTTAATATAATTACAAGATGTAACAATCGATTAGAGTATTTTTTTACGAATTCGTTTCATTTCACTGCTGAAAGTCAGCCTAAGTTTGGAACAATCTGATGTTCAAATGTCCCCCAAATTGCGAGAAAACTTTGTTCTAATAGAAATCGCATTATGCTGTATAGAGCCCTGAGAGGTTCCAAGTGAAAACAGCAACTTGTTATACTCTGTGTTGACCGTTCGCGCCATGTTGCATGCATTTTAACGGACACAAGTAAGGTCATGTTGAAATAGGCAAAATTATTACCGTTTGTCCAAAAAGGCTACAATTCAGATGTGACAAAGACAACTGAAATGGCTGTGTACAGATTTAAGTACAGTTATTACCTGCATCGTTTTGGTCCCATCCATCATTACACACCCCTTGCCACTCCCCCTGTTTATAGATGTCAACCACACCAAATGTGTAGTTGGCCTCTGCAGTATTTGATGAATACACATCAGGCGTCAACCGAACTAAAAATTGAGAAAGTGGGACAAATTATAGATATTCAAAAAGCCAACGTTAAAAAGACGTCAATTGCAAGAAATTATAAAAACATTTTTTCTGATGTACATATATTCATACATCTGCATTACATTTATCGATTAATCTTCTCACTTTTTAATATTCTCTTTCACTATGTGGTTTGAATAAATCATTCTTACCGTTAGTTTTCAAACAATGCACTACGAATTGCGCTCTCGAGCAGAAGGAATACATTTCTTCCACACCGAACCAAGAGTTACGGCATTCCAGTAAGGAAGCCTCTGTTCCTTTACACACACTTGATTCTAACCAAATTGGTGGTGTCATAAAGAAGGGGATTTGTACATAATCAACCGTCACTCCCGTGGTATAATCCCGTCCGAGACCTTTGCAAAACACGGTGCTGGTTTTTGTTTCTCCTATAGATAGACACAGTTTTCCCCACGTTCTGTTAGTGTTTCCAATTTCAAATATGCCTATTTCAGATTCTCCGAAATGTTCCTTATAGACGGGAACCTCTGTAGTCCCAAGCCTATAGCTCAAACCTGAAATAAAGTAACAGATAAAGGCAATGGCTGTTGGTTAATATCAAAAGTGGTTACATCTCTCATTTAAACAGCTAAAATAAATAACTGCTAATTGTATATTTCAACAACGCTTATAAATGAACTAAGAACCACAGAATGTCTTTACGAAAGAACGTAGGGCAAATATAAATTTTCAATTGTTACAAATTCTTTCCCCTAGCTTTCTATCAATATAACTGATAAAAGTAGTTTGTACCTGGCAAATCATAACACAACACCGACGCCATATCTCTGCACATGGGGTCAGTGGTCTGCCTTAATGCACCAATCTCACAATCGGCCAACGTCTCTTCGGTTCCATTACACCGGACCGCACTGACGGCGACTATGCCTTTGTCCATCATGCTTGGACCAAAGTACTTGTATCCACCCACAAACCCGAGCTGCTGACACGTTATATTGGCTGCAGTGTTGTCAAACCCCTGGTGACATATTCCAATCCAGTCTTCATCGCTTAATTTCATATTGACATAGCCGTTGTATGTGTTTGACGGACCCGTTAACTTGACAACTTCTCCTGTGACATTTTGGAAATAAACATAGTTTTATAAACCATTCACTGATAGGCCTTAAGTAATGCATATGTACGTTTTCATTATATAGCTAAAATAAACCCGCCACCTGTAAACTATATGTGGTTAAGTCTTAAAGNTATATATATATATATATATATATATATATTGTTTTGCTTTGAAGTTTTATGTGCTATTCAAGATATCATAACACGGGACCTTAACGGTTTAAAAGACAACAAGATTATAAAATACAAACACAAATGCAATAAAGGGCGCCACCCCTCTACGCTGCAAATAATTTTTGAAAATTGGGCATTACTTCTGTGACTCTCGCTACACTCTTTTCTCCTCTTTCCAATGGGTTTGGGGCTTAATCCGCTATTTTTTTAATATGCGGTCGGATTTATGTGCATAGATACACAAGTCTGTTGATATAATTACAAGATGTAACAATCGATTAGAGTATTTTTTTAACGAATTCGTTTTCATTTCCCTGCTGAAAGTCAGCCTAAGTTTGGAACAATCTGATGTTCAAATGTCCCCCAAATTGCGAGGAAACTTGGTTCTAATAGAAATCGCATTATGCTGTATAGAGCCCTGAGAGGTTCCAAGTGAAAACAGCAACTTGTTATACTCTGTGTTGACCGTTCGCGACAGGTTGCATGCATTTTAACGGACACAAGTAAGGTCATGTTGAAATAGGCAAAATTATTACCGTTTGTCCAAAAAGGCTACAATTCAGATGTGACAAAGACAACTGAAATGGCTGTGTACAGATTTAAGTACAGTTATTACCTGCATCGTTTTGGTCCCATCCATCATTACACACTCCTTGCCACTCCCCCTGTTTATAGATGTCAACCACACCAAATGTGTAGTTGGCCTCTGCAGTATTTGATGAATACACATCAGGCGTCAACCGAACTAAAAATTGAGAAAGTGAGACAAATTATAGATATTCAAAAAGCCAACGTTAAAAAGACGTCAAGAAAGTATAAAAACATTTTTTACTGATGTACATATATTCATACATCTGCATTACATTTATCGATTAATCTTCTGACTTTTTAATATTCTCTTTCACTATGTGGTTTGAATAAATCATTCTTACCGTTAGTTTTCAAACAATGCACTACGAATTGCGCTCGCGAGCAGAAGGAATACATTTCTTCCACACCGAACCAAGAGTTACGGCATTCCAGTAAGGAAGCCTCTGTTCCTTTACACACACTTGATTCCAACCAAATTGGTGGTGCCATAAAGAAGGGAATTTGTACATAATCAACCGTCACTCCCGTGGTATAACCCCGTCCGAGACCTTTGCAAAACACGGTGCTGGTTTTTGTTTCTCCTATAGATAGACACAGTTTTCCCCAAGTTCTGTTGGTGTTTCCAATTTCAAATATGCCTATTTCAGATTCTCCGAAATGTTCCTTATAGACGGGAACCTCTGTGGTCCCAAGCCTGTAGCTTAAACCTGAAAAAAAAAAGTAACAGATAAAGGCAATGGCTGTTGGTTAATATCAAAAGTGGTTACATCTCTCATTTAAACAATTAAAATAAATAATTACTAATTGTATTTTTCAACAACGTTTTAAAACAAACTAAGAACCACAGAATGTCTTTACAAAAGAACATAGGGCCAATATAAATTTTCAATTGCTGCAAATTCTTTTCCCCTATCTTTCTATCAATATAACCGATAGAAGTAGTTTGTACCGGGCAAATCATAACACAACACCGACGCCATATCTCTGCACGTGGGGTCAGTGGTCTGCCTTAATGCACCAATCTCACAATCGGCCAACGTCTCTTCGGTTCCATTACACCGGACCGCACTGACAGCGACTGTGCCTTTGTCCATCATGTTGGGACCAAAGTACTTGTATCCACCCACAAACCCGAGCTGCTGACACGTTATGTTGGCTGCAGTGTTGTCAAACCCCTGGTGACATATTCCAATCCAGTCTTCATCGCTTAATTTCATATTGACATAGCCGTTGTATGTGTTTGACGGACCCGTTAACTTGACAACTTCTCCTGGAAAATAACATAGTTTTATAAACCATTCACTAATAAAGTAATGCATATTTACGTTTTCATTATACAGCTAAAATTAACATACCGCCTGTAAAATATATGTGATTTAGTCTTAAAAGTATGTTATTCAATATTCAATACATCATCTTGGATTTGTTAACCTTTTTTCTTCGTCATAATATGATTCAGTGGATTTTAAAGGATAATCTTGCTTTACAAGTTAGCGATATTTTTTCATTTTATTTGTTGAGGAGCCCAGGCAAAGTGTCTATTGTACATGGAATGCGTAAAAAATAACCCAAGCCTACCTAGTCTATCGGTCATAACATTTCTGCTGCAATACAGAGATACGTATTGTCCACTAGAACAGACACTGACATCGTAGTAACTGCAATTAAATAGTGTTCTCTCGTTGCCAGTGCAATTAAATGTCCCGCTTGTTATTCCATACGACTGATCTCCAAAAGCTGAACAACAAAATGGAATCCCATCTTCATAGCCAACATCCCTGCACGCAACTCTAGATTCGTTTCTACCGAAGTTTTTGTCACAAATCAGGCCTTGTGAATCCTGATGGAAATTCGAGGTGAGAAGTACCCCGAAATTATCGGATGGACCGCCTAGTAGATGAGCTGAAAATAAACAAACTGAAATATTATGACAAAAATAAAAAGCACCAACCATAATCATGAAATGGGATAAAACATTTTTCCAATAGTTCTAAAGAAAATTCAAAAGCCAGCAAAGAAGAAAAACACAAAGGAAATAATAAACATTTGCACACCAAAAAAAAAAAGTTAGCAATTTTCAAATTTTTACTGACCTTGCGAAAAACAATGGACGGTTGCCTCCATGTCACAAGCTTGAGAGACGACAGGGACAGCTAATACACAGTTCATAGGTGAGGACTCGTTGCCACTGCACAGGAACTTGTATGAACTTGGAGCAGCAGCGTCCTTTCTTTGCTGTCTGATAACGATTAAAAAACAGTAAAAAAATAATTAGCGTCGATCTGAACTAACTGCTGCGTGGATTTATAATAGATTTGTTTAGCATTAAGGAAAGTTATTTGCATCACGTATGACCCTTGCTTTCGATTAATTGATTTAACAACTTCGATCTATCACGGCTGCTTTTGCGTTCTAAATTTTTAAATGTTAAAACATTTTAATTAGGTCTTACTTATCATTTTCGGTGCTGCATCATTATCATAATTAGCATGATTAAAACGGGTTATTTTTTCTCAGTTTCTTCAATTTGAGAGAGAAAATTGTACTAACCTGCCAGCTCGGCCTCCGTGTCTAAAACCCTTATTCTTGCACAGAATTGAAGCGTGCAAGTCGGTCCAAGTTGAAGTGTCGTTGGCACACACTGCCTTGTGAACTCCACTGCCGTCATCTACCCAAACTTTCTTGAATGGAGCATGACTGGCAGTCGATAACAGGAATACGCCGCTGACACCTAAATTTCACTTTTCATACTTCAGTTGAGGGCATGACATTAATATAAAATTAGCGTAACCATGGACTAGTGCTTTGTTGCCTACGCGAATATACTTTTTGATTGATTTTGAAATGCCAAATGCCACAGAAGTTTCGTTGTAATATACAACTTAACAATTTCATTGTTTAACAAGTTGAATTTTAATATCATGTTTTGCTATACACAAACCTGAACCAGGTACGTTTGTACAAGAAACGCCTGCAAAATAGTTGCCTGTGCAGGACCTCACGCTGGTTTTGTAATTACATCCACCCATGTGGAACAGTTGACCAGAACAGGTGACATTGCTGGCCCAGAATGGCTTCTGTGTGTCACCTTGCTCAGTGTAGAACTTAAGTGCCACGCCCTCTCGGTACCCATACTGAGCACACATCACAGTCGCGGCATCATCAGTCCAGCCCTCGGCGCACGCGTATCCAATCTGTTGTAGGTTGTCAACTTTGACATTGACTGGCGTGAATTTGTATTTTGCGATATCCGCTAGTGAAAACTGGACGCCTGCAAAATAAATAAATACTTCAGTATACGAAATAATTAATTTTATCGGTATTTCGAGGATAACACCTGCAAAAAAACATATGAAACAAACTATGAAAAATATACTGGAAAATTGTTTGTTTACCGAGAATAAGAACATACCTGATCCAGGAATGTTAAAGCACACCACAGACGCTCGACGGCTGGCGTTGCAGACTCTTGTTGCCAGACGAAGTGAGCAATTCTGTAGATCTAATTCTGTTCCAGAGCAGTGTACATTCGTCCACTGTCGGATACTGTCCGATGTAGAACCATCCCCAAATGCGCCACAACACAGCGCTCTGCCATCTGAGTACCCTTCCTGGTTGCAGATTACCTTAGCATCCGTGTCATCCCAGTCCTCGTCACAAACTTGACTCCAAGTGTCACCATTGTGAATCTCAACCAAGCCGTGGGACAGCTGGTATATCGAACGCTCGGAGCCCGGGACACGAAGTCGAACTTAAAACACACACAAAAGATTTTAAAATCTGATGAAATTTTGAGTTCCTTAAAACAACTGAAATACATAATTTTTGTTTTATGTGAAGATCATATAGATATCAAAATAATATAAACATTCTTTATTTCATATTTTGTTCATGTGACAGTTCTTTAACTGTAATATAAGTTTAGAATGTCGCTAACTCTCGAACTGGTTATTTTACAATGTGCAAATCTGCAATGTTTGTATTAACAGTTACAGTCGTGTTTTTATTGATTTTTCACTACAGAAATTTACGCAGCAGTAGACTGCTCTCACCTTGCGGATAGCATCGCACAGCAACATCCATGTCATGCGTACACGGGTTATCTGCCTCCTCCACCTGCCAGCCGTTTTTTCTCCACTCGCCACTGGGACATTCCAATATGGTGTCCTCGTAACCCGTACATTTCAAGGCCCGAGTCCAAATGGGACCCGTGCCACCAGACACCACTCCTGACACCTGGACGCCGTCTGCATGGCCAAGCTGACGACACAGCACTCTGGCTGTTGTGTCAGCACTGACGGGGTTGTCCTCACATACTGTACCCCAAACACCCTCATATTGGATCTCAATGCGACCATATATGGTTGTATTGTTCTCAGCGTTTAAGTCTTTGGCAAGTCTATATTTGACCCCTGTGAGTACAATGAATATGATCATACAATTGATCGTTATATTGCCTCTGTAAACAGTTCCCGTTTTAAAAGATTCATTACATTTAATCATTCGAAATTCATCAATACTTACAGTTTAATGATACTTCACTCAGTTGTTATCTCTGTTATGCCAAAAGGATCGTTTTCCAAAAGCCATGATACGAATGCATAAACATCTTTATGTTTTCATGAACTAACACATAATATTTAGCGCATGCTAAGGACGTGATCTCGTTTCAATTTCTGAATTTCTTAGTAAAATGTAGATAATACATATTAGATGTATCTACAGTAGTATGGCTAATGAAGCTAAAAAATGTGAAACTTACTTTCAGAGATAATTTCAACGAGTTTTTTTATAAGACAATTATTTGGCATTGTCAATGCATGGACATAATAAGAGACCTTCTCTTATTATGTCCATGGTCAATGGCATGTTTAAAAAGCTATTGGATCAAAACTTTATCTACCGAAGACAATATTGCGTAGAGCACAAAGTAATATTTCAATGAAATATATGTGGTAAATTTAGATGTCTGGTGCATTTCTTTTCACCCAATTTATGTTTTCCTACTTAGAAATAAGGACAAAGTTCCAAAGCATGACCATTTATTAGCTGCTACTTGTTTCTTTACAAAATAACTTTATAAATGAATTTAATGGTGTACAGACCTTGGGCATCGTGATAACACAGGACTCCTGCGTTGTCTGTTGAGGAGCATTGCCCGTGTGGATGATAGGCGTCTGTCACATTACATTCTGATATATGGGACTCGTTGCCGTGACAAACAGTCTTGGCTATCCATATAGGAAATGTGCCTCTTTGTGTCAGCTGGTAGGCCACACCCCCGCTAAACCCCAGGGAGCGGCAAACCACCTGTGAAGCGTTATCGTCCCAATGAGTGTTACATATCCTCCCGCTTATACCGTATCTTTTGACGCGCACTCTGCCGGTATAGTTGTATTTACTGCCAGTTACACTGACTCCATAACCTAAAGAGAAAAATATATTTTTGTACATGGAAGAGGCGTTTGTTTCCCGTGCTTTACGTATAAAATCGATTGATGTGTACGCCAAGTGTATGAATGCGGTAAGCTAATCGGCATTCTTCTGGATAGTAGGCAACGGGATGCTGTTGGTGCTAGGGGGTCCGTGGTACAGTGTACAAATAACCTGTTTGCATGTATTGTAGACCTTCGTTCAACAGCTCCCCCTTCTTCCAAGTACCCTTTACCAGGGCAATAGATTAATTATATGCACTTTTATCACAGTGTAAAATGTGCCATATCTATCAATATATAGTGGAAAATCAGTCTGTGGCTCTGGTAGAGGGTACCTGCCAAGCATTTGTCAGCCTAGGGCCCTGTAGTGGAACTTTTCTGACACATGCATATGACAAGATATTGTTTGTCGTCAAATTATCTTAACCAATAATGAAAACCATTAGAAATATAATAATAATAATAAATAAGTTGACAACAAAGATCATTTTAACATTTGACAAATAATGTAAGACATTTACTTTTTAACTATTACATAAAACATCACACATCCACATTAAAGCACTAAAATACAAAACACGCATTTGCACACCTCTAGCTGAACGCATCTACTACTCCATATGCATACACTGCCACACCATGTTCTGTGGAAAAGATTTTCACCTTTTCTCTCTCCCTAGTTCATCATTTATTTTGATTAAGTATCAAAGTATGCGAATACTTTCATGCACTTATTATGTAGTGAACAGCAAGAGATGGTGTTTCAAGAGCGGATGGAAAGATCACAGCACTACACGCATTTATCAGATCGGGTTCCCAACCAACTCCTTACTGTTGCCAAAAGTTGCCTTCTCGCAATGGGGGTTTAGGTAAAATTACATGGTTTATTAGAAGTGCAAGAACGTCAACTCATAAACCGATAAACGTAATTACTCGGGGAAACAGCGCAATAGGTCTGCAGCGTCAGTTATACAAATCGAAAGATCCGTACACTGTTTCAGAATACATGTATTACAGAGGTGAAATGCTACTAATACAGCAGTGTCTTACGGGACATTGTAAAGATAAGGGAAGCATTTTGTTAATATGCTTTTAGTGTAAATGGATTTTTCGAAATCTTCACTGCATATAGCCCTGTTGCAGGCAGAAAAGAACATCCGTTAAATGTTATTCCACAAACAGATTCTACACCACGAGCACAACCAAATACAATAAAAAGGGGGTGTAAAACATCAAACTTGGTTTATTGACTAAAATATACACATGCTACTAAGGGTTTGTGATTTCTACTATTTGCTTTCAGTGTACTATATCTTATCATTTTACGTTACCTTCTGAAAAACTGCTATTGGAGCAGACGGCAGTAGCATAGTTCATGGCAGGATCTGAACAGAGCATACCGGCGTCATGGCTGTAATCACACTCAGCCCACTCTCGTTCATTGCCACTGCAGTTGACTCGACTTATTTCAGTGACAGCAAAATTCAGTGCACCAAAGAATCCCCCAGGGAGTGCCTTTCCGTAAAGATAGCCATTTTCACGACAAACAACCTGGCTGTCGGTATCGTCCCACTCGTCTGCGCAGACTTGGACCCATCGACTGTACCGAAAAAATTCAACCACCCCGTAACTACTTGTTTGTCCGTTATTGATAAGGCGTGCTGAAATAAGGAAACAGATGGAAATTTGTACATTGTTGCCTAATTCGTAAAAAATCCTAACAGCACTCTTCAAACATTTTGCTTTATTGCCAACTGCATGTGCACATAGATTCAAGTAACTTTCTCTATTACGATTTTCCTGTCAATAACAATTTTCTTATTATAATTATAGTATATATTAGAAGGTAGCCATAGAAATGTTATTGCCATAACTCCTGAAATTGAAAGGGGGTTTAATCCATTAGGTTTGGTAAGTAAAGTGCTTACCAAACTGCGTAAACAAAATGCTTTTCTCCCGAGTTCGCCGATTTGAAATTACAGAACAAATCCAATTCAGTGGTAATTAACTCTCCGTTTAAATTCAAGATGTATATAAAAGATTTGCTTAATGAGGTCTAATTAGGAGATTTGCTAAATGATGTCTTTTCTTTTGAAACGGACCTTTTTTTCTTTTTGATTTTTAAACAAAAGCTAACAAAGTGACTCGGTATCATGAGGCTTAGCGCATCATCCAGCCGAGAGTTGAGATTAGGGCGTGACCTGCAGACTACCAGGTCCAGTGTGTCTTAGTCAACACTGGTCGCTCCAGGTCACAGGTGTAGGATGGCGTCTCTGTGCGTACAAAATACCGGTTTATTTTGACCTTTATTTGCAACACAATAGTCGAAAAAATTTGCACGACATTTTCTGCAGTTAAAGCTACATTAGCAAGATGTATTATTTCAAACAAGGGCTAAAACGCCCTTTGCGCAAACAAGTAACTGTAAAAATGTTCAAGTCAAAAGCGCCGGTGTGAACAATGACAGTGAAGATGAGACACCTTAATATTATTGAAGACAAAGATGTCATATAGTCATCAAGCGGTCACATTACGCAGATACGTGGCAAAATGTTAATCAAATATGCAGCGTGATGACAAATATAGATGTATAACCTGATTAATAGCCATAGGGAAGGGAAATAAACGAGTACATCTGTCTCAACTTCCGCGCCCCCCCCCCCCTTTTCTTTCTTTTTCCTTTTTAGGATAGGCAACGATTCCGCACGAAATCTGTTGCTCGCGACAGTTTTCGATTACTCTGTAAACATTTTCTCTTTATCAACGTAATTACGAATTGCTCCTTTAAACAGATTTTTAAGGTATATATTAAGATTAATACTTTTCGGAAAATATAATTAATTGAATACAGATAATACAGGGCGAAATTTGGATAACATAAGTCAGTACACTTATTCAAAGAACAAACCAGAGGAAGTACAGTTGAAGTCTGTTACAAAAGGTGCACCATGCCTACTTGTCAGCTGTCTTATACGGAGAGCGCACTTATGTTATGTCCAAAATGATTCTATCAGATAGTTTAGAGGTGTCCAAGAGAGAAATGTTTGATATCTACAGTCATCAGCCTACGGGGGAAGTTGCCATATATCAAGATTGTGTTCAGCGATAATGAATATTCGTGGAATGATGTCATTGTCATTTTTCTTACAGAGTCAGTCCTGATATTTCGTTTTTCAATAAAATACCTCACCGTTTATTTATTTCTGATTATTCACAAACACAATTCGACTGCTTTTCTACAATAATGTGACCTCTCAAATATTCAGATATGCATACAAAGTATTTGCGTACCATAGAACGCATATAATTCCCTAAGATAAGTCATTAAATCACATTGTCATGCAAAAGCTATTACTATTACTTATATTTTCTCTTTACATGTATATTTACAAATTTTACAGCCACAAAAACAAACAGATTTTTTCTTTTGATTTTGGCAAACAACATAATTATAGATTTGATTTTAAGTAAAAAGATCTACAATGTGTATGTAGGCTATGTGTATCAAACGACTCCATTTGTAACACCATTATTCATAAACAAAATATGGTATTGAACATTTCACTGTTAACCAATAGATTGTACGGTTTAACACACGTCCAGACACATTATTTAAACCATCGCGTGAACAGCGTAAACAGGACAATCATGTTTACATTAGTACGCTTACCTCGCGTGGTTTCATTTGATAATAAAACATACCTGAACAGACAAACTCACCTGTCGGTGTCTGTGCCCCCACATCAGCACAGTGGAGAGCGATCACAATGAGAAGAATACAAATCGACACCAAATACATTGTTTATGTGGCTCTGAAGGTTCCCACACGTTGCTGAGATATCATACGGTTTGCTGGAGTCCCTTTCTACGACATATTCAATAGTTAAAGTATATATAATATCCTCCTTCTTATGACACAAGTGTGCAGCATCCATCCGTGTGGTAACTCCGTAATCACCTTCCTGAGGTGACCCAGAAATCTAAACCGCAACTCGCAGTCCTAAGTCGAGGCTACTATTACCTGAGATAGTGAGAGTAGAGAGAAACAGATTAATCCACCCTTCCCAAAAATACACCTAGCACGTCATGCTAATCGAGCAGTGATATATGTGTATTTGTATGGAAGTCAGCAGTCACATTCCACTGTGATTGCGCTGAACTCTCCACCTTAATAGCTCACCTGGCGCATGCTCACGCGGGCAAGCGTTCGGTAGAATGGCAAAGATCAAAGCTCTATAGCACAGTCGCTTCACTATACGAGGGTCGTTTTACCTCACTTAGTATAACAAGTTGTTACGTTATAGAACAAGGTTTCATAGAAAACCTCGTTCGTGAAGCGGGATACATTTCATCAATATTTGAATCTCGACTCATGACATTTACAGAGACGCATCTTTATCTGCATTTTGTTTCACTCGAAAGAAATTGAGTTTTGAGTGCTTAGCTGCAAGTACTCTGAAATCATTCCCACGGCTAATTGGATGCAAAATGATGTATCTGGGCGAATGATTTATATCTTTCCAGATCCTTTGTAAAATCTTTTATCGCAGCTTGCAAAAAGAACCCGCTATGGTGCGATTATAGTCTTCATCAGTGGTTGCCATAGCAGTAAAATAGTATTTTCCGCAAGAGAATATATTCCTTTTATGAGAAGACTGTGAGCGGTTCATGCGACGACACAACGATAAATGTCAGCAACAAGAGCGCTTTTATAGTAGTTGAAATTCAATATTGCCCCCTCCGAGGCAAAGGCTTGTGGGTCACATACTCATACCTTTGCGGTAACACTAAAATATCCAACGCGTTTCATAGATAAAGATACTTTTATTGTCAAACACGCTTGCTTTTAATAGATACAATAGCCTGATATGTAAAACTTAATTATACAATATATCCGCTAGGAAGTCTCTTGGCTAATAAAAAGTTCTAGCTCTGTACAAAAAGTGCACCCCAATATCCCTAGAATTGAATTATATGCTCTGATATTCAGAAATGTTTACTGAAACCGAATGAAATGAACCAGTGATCACCTTAGTCTCCCTTGCCATTAAGCTGATATGATTAGCTGAATGAAAATATTGGATAATGGTGAAGATATACTTGGCAGGATGCTGCTTCAAATTTATCTAGCCATCTTCTACTTTTAGTTATTTCCCAAAAGAACCTCGAATATGAATAACAAATTGGCTCTATATATATACGTGCACAGAAGTAAAAAAATGAATCTTGAAATATAAGTCTACTCAATGCTTTGCAAGCAATTTTGTAATAGACTTACAATGGACATGACTATTAAACAGTATCTGGCCCTTGGGGTCCCTTATACAAAAACGGGGTATCTATGACACTTCTACAAGATAATCACGATATACCATCCCAGTGAAATGTGGATCCATGTGTTTCTCACGACACACTGAAACATTTCTCAATTTTTGATTGTGAAAAGTTGCACTTTGCTTGTGTAGTTCAATGGTTACTAGTATATACATACACATGATTTCCTGTACAGAAGTGCAACATCTAGGTTTTGTATTGATGTACCAAAGTGCATTAAATCTCTTGTGTTTTACATGCTTCTTTTGCATTAAATATTTGTAAAAAGAAAGTGGTGGGACTCTTTTTCTATCATGCTGCATTCAATCACTGAACAACAGATCCCATTTCCAGGCACATATATCTACAATTATAGCATTAATTGTGATATGTAGTGAGCAGATTAAATAGATAAAAATTACAATCAGAAAATGATTGTATTTCTATATACACTGCCTGCATAATAATAATAAAAAAGGTGTGTGATTTTCATATTTCACATGTGTACCAATTAAGTTCTGCAACAGTATGAATATGCAGGGTCTATATAAATATGTAAGATTCACTACACCTCTGTGGTGCTGTAGCCACCCCTAACCATACTGCATGAGACAAGAGAAGCACTATCCACATATTAGACAAGGCAAAATGGTTTTATGATTATTAAATAAGGTCTACAAAACAGACAAGCAGGGAGGATGATTTAACTGCATCAATCAATTAACTATGATGAATAAACCTCATCCAGTTGGGCAGTATTCCCGTTTCAAGTCCCCATCGATTGTATTAGCTCTACATAGTATCAATTCATAGCTAAGTACACACTATTTACATTTCAAATTCATCCTTGAGATTACTGGACGCTGAGTTGTAATGCAATTAATATAGAGTTTCATCTCAGCAGGTTATTGAAATTTAACCCTTTATGCATACCAATGTATCCCCCAGGCTGGAAAAGTTTGGGTTATACTCTGTACTTGATAATACAGACAACTGACTGTGCAATGTTCAATAGCATTTATCATCAATTTCTTCCTTTTTGACTTTAGTGAAAACACAGTAGTTCTTCATACCAGTAACATTTCCTCTTTCTTATTCTTTTTGTGCCGAGCAGCATCAGTTCCTGTGTTCCAGTTTTTGAATTCCTGACACCAAAGAGCACACTATTTGCCACTTCAGCCCAATTCTCAGTGTAAGCACATGATTCTTCTAGGACAATAGTTCTGTCAGTAAGCAGAAGATAAGTTAAGATGGCATAGAGGTAGCCTGATATGCAGTATCTCTTACAGGCTGAGGATAGTAATTCGACTTATTATAACCCACAGCATATCCCTGTATGGCTTCATAGAGGTGTCTACACCCAGGAGTCTGCCCCTCCTCCGCCTCCACTACTGTCTAGCCGTACATGGTTGCTATGGCCACCAAAACTGACATTGACATCGTCCTGCAAGAGACTGCGCTGGGATGAATCTATTTCCGAACGTCGCTTACTTCTCTTGTCCACTTGTGCATACAGAGGCTCTCGAGGTTGTTCTAAAGGCTGTGGCTGCTGGCCCTACATGAAGAAATAAAACAAAACATTGTGCTTATCATACTGAAGGAAAGTGACAAACAATCAAGCAAATTTTAGGGAAAAGACATTTTATCAATCGTAAACCTTTACAATAAATATTTAAAATCATCCAATCTAAAATGTGAAAATGTGCCACATCTAAATTTTCCTGATATCAATCCGACTGACCAGTGGTCCTCTTCCATAGTCAAGCCTATCCTCTCTGTAATTGCCATGTCCCCTGTGAGAGTTGTCTATGGTGGCATAGCCTCCAGACTGGCCTCGGTGAATATCATTCATAGGGATGTGTTCTGGCTGCTGGAGTGAAAACAGCATTTAGATTCCAGAGAGAACTATGGCTATTGGCCAAAAAATAAAACTACTATTACAAGTTTTCTTATCCTGTCAACATTTTTGTTTGGTGTCCATGTCATAAAAAGTAAAAGAGCTTCACTTTCATCCTAGATATCATAAACTTAAAGGAAGTAATACCAACAGCATATAAAATATCAACATCCACTATAATGTGCTCACCTTCCTATCATGTGGTCTGTATCTGTCCTGCTCAGGACTGGAGGGGAACTCCTGCCTGTTAGGCTGCCTGCTGACTGGGGGCAGGGTCTGGTCCCTGTAACCTGAGCTCACACCACTCTGGTCACTCATAGGGCGACTTAATGTGTTGTTTGGACTGCCATGGAGGGGACTCCTGGAGGGGAAAAATATGTAAACAGAAATATAAAGGTACATTATCTGAGCAAAAAAAGTAAATCAATGCTGAATACCTTTAATATTTATATTTATTTGTGATACTACTGACTTATAATATTACTGACTTCAATGTTTAGTATAATGACATTTACCAAATAATATTATTTGCTGAAACTGACATAACAACCAAATAAAAACAAGATATATGGTAGTCTTTTTTCTGTGATATCATAATCCTTGAAAACATTATAAGACTCGCAAGAAAAACTGAAAAAATCAAGGAGTTGTTTAGGCCTATAAGTTATTTTACTCACTTTGGCGTTTTTGTGACAAAATGTTGCTCCTTCCATCCATTCTTTTTATACTCTACTTTCAGTTCGCTAAACTGCCACATTAAATTAAGGATCTGCAAGGAAAGTAAAAATTTAACTTGCATAAAAGAAATCCTTTACACACAGGGATGAAACTCAATTCACATTCAAAGTTTTTGCATCAGAATAAAAACAAAAATTAACACTTGAAGATATCCAAACAATCAGTTTTGATATTCACAAAATAAATACGTCATACTTACTGCATAAGTAAATTTCATGACTTTTTCATTATATCTTCCCCTGGAGCTCTTAATCTGCATTAATCTCTTCACCCCACCTTCATGAAGAAGAGACCTAAGTAAAAAAAATAATTCTAATCAAACATAATTTTCGTTACCTATCTTTGTGAAAGAAATATAAATATGTCAGGCAATTTTGTGTCCTTTCAAACTAGACACTAGAAGCAGTCTGAAATAAATTATGTACATAACATACTACTCATTAGAAAGCAACTTACTGAGCAAAAACCGAGCTTCCTCGTATGACTTCATGCAGCGTTGCTATGACAGCACCTATTGTGTCATCACTGGGAGGGCCTTCCTTTAACATCCCATCTGGTGGCAACTTCATCACAAGCTGACGCATGGCATACTTGCCTAAAAATAAACGGTACATTATAGACATTTAACTGAACTTTGTATAAATATTTATGCATTAATGAGACAATGAAAAGTGCCTTATGACATATAACACTTAACTTTTCATTTCTAGCTGAGGCACAAACTGAATACATATATTGTTAACACTACATCAAACTTTCCATATCTAGATGAAACACAAACTGAGCACATGTATTGTTAAGTTAAAACATTTCAAAACAAAAACGGAAATCATCATTGAAAGTAATAATAACAATAAAAACATTTCCTACCTATTAATTCTTTATTTCTTGTATCCAGTGCCAGGTTCCTGAGAGCTATGGCAGCAGCAGACACCACTCTGTCTGCCTCTATGCCCAGACACTCCACTATGATAGGTAACCCTTTCTCTTTACGCACTTTCTCTCTTATGTCAATAGATGGCTAAATATAAGAAGAATAGAGTTAATATCAAATATTTCAATCTTAGCAATCTGAATATAACCCTAAATTTCCTACAAGGTAAAGAGACAAGAACCCTAGAGAGCTTACTGAAGAAGAAACCTCTAATTTAGATGTTATATCTATGTCACTGAAGTTCCAATATAATGAGCTGTCACCTACCTGCCAGTCACAGGCACACAGGTTCTGTATGGCACCAGCTGCTGCCTCTAGGGTCTCAGGATTAGAACAGTCTGATAACAGAGGCAGGTACACATGCACTATTTCTGGTTGCCACAGTAACTCCATGCCCCTTACTGGGTCTGTTCTGGGCCTGAAAATAAGTTAAAACAGATATTAATCGCAATGTTGATTGTAACTGCTTAGTGGATGTCTGCCTATGTTAAGACATCTTAAATAACGTGAAGTGAGCAGAAAATAAGATGTGTTGATTTTACTAGGTCAAGTGCAACAATGCAGTTCACTGTTTTGCTGCTGCTTTTTAAGTCAATAAATTACATTTGCAATTATTTTGATGTCATGCTTTTACCTTGAATAAGGCCCACTGGGCCCTCTGTTGTCCAGCTTGAAAGGCTCTTTTTTCTTTTTACCCCCAAAGCAAGACACGGATTCTTAAAAAAAGTTAAATATGATTATACATAAGTGTTGAATATGTTTTTAGATCATTTTTAAAGCAGATCACTCCACAATTCTTTAAGAATTTGATTAGATTCAACTTACTTTTAACAATCATTATGTAAGGTGGTATACAAACCTTGCTGTTGTTGCTGTCTCTGCAGCGTCCTCTTTCTGGCAAAATCTGGATCCTCTACTTCTTGGCATCTGAAGGAAAGATTCCTCAAGACACAGACACAATTTTCCACAGATTTGTTGTCAATATCATTTTTCCCAATAGCCGCCCTAAGTAGATACAGTATGGAGTCAACTAGACCTTCACATTCTCGTAACTTTTTCCTGGCATAATCACCTTCTGAGCTTACATTTCTGAAATATCATAAAAGAAATATAAAACATGCTTTCCAGATGTAATGAATCCTATTACAATAAATGCTCCATAAAACAGGCTTCCATCAAATTATATCTTCAGGTATGCATTCTACTTCAAGGAAAATCATGTATAAGCAATACATGTATTATTCAGCATGTCTTTGTTAAAAATTCATTGCATTTGTGTGACAAAACACTTAATATGTATTTAACCTATGAATTACACAATGAAGCTGATATAGTGGAGAGATGGCTGTTATTTCTTACAGATAAGGGAAATTCAGAGCAGAGTACTATTTACCTTAGAATCCCACTAGCATTTCTGAACACAGTAGACCAGTAGATGTCTTTTGGCTTGCTGTCTTCGGTGTCAACATTTTTCTCCCAACCTGACTGTGGGATCACCACTGTATTCACTATTACTGTCAAGGCATCATCTATGATTGCCCTCTTCAGATCCTGAAAGTGTCATGACCAAAGTTATTCACTTCTTTAATATAAAAACTCTATATGATAATGATCACAAAAAGCATTAGTGACATCTATTTTCTTTAAAATTGATGATGTTTTTAATGACGTTTTGTTTTTAAGACAGAAAAAAATGCATACCTGACAAGATGAAAGATTCCAAATTATTCCTGATACAAGTTCCCTGACATCATTATCTGGTGTCCTCCTCAGTAGCCTCACTAGAGCTGGGATGCCCCCTGCATTCTTTATTGCTCTCTGGAAGAGTACAAAAAGTATTAAATACAAGTCAATTCAAGCTATCCCTGTAACATATACAGCCTGCATGTCAACAGATGTGGTTTTCAGAATACATAGAAAGCTAATCATTTCTGATGCATGAAATTGGCTTACATCACAAATACCAGGACTAAGACTATATAATATTGAAATAAAATTAAATAGTACATATTTCATCCCACTAACACCCCCTCCCCCAGTTCCCTGATCCACCTACCTTATTTTCATTATTAGCCTTGCCATGGGACAGATTGAGAAGTGCTCCACAGGCATTTCTGTGAACTTCTGGAATCTCTATGTTCAACAACTCAACCAGAGCTGGGATTCCTCCAAGAGCCCTGGAAAATAAGAAAATTATAGGAATGCATCACAACTCTTCCAAATATTTTTTTTTCATTTTTTCACTGATAAACCAGAGTATCATAAAGCTAAGCCTTTTACAAATTTGAGAAACCTACATACCCTAAAATTGTGGAGATGAATAAAAAGCTAGCTGCAAAACAATTGTCCAAAATTAACTTCAAACACTTACTTTTCTCCTTAATGCCTTTTTTGACAGTAAGTCTTTCACAGATCAATCTTACCTTGTCTTCCCTTTCAGTGGATCATCCATGTATGTCAGGTGCTGCAAGTAGGCAGCAGCATTAGCTTTGATAGCATCATTAGGGTGTCCAAGGAAATCTATCACCTCTGGAAGATCTGGGTTCCTCCACCTGTCCCTAGTTTGGCTGTCTATAGATGGAGACCGCCTGGGGTCATAGTTGCCCCCCTGGACTGGGTATGCTGCTTGTCTTGCCAGGTCATCAGGTGGGTAGCCAGGAGGCCCTGCAGAATTCAGAAAAGGCAAATAAAATTTCTGTCATCCAAGTTAATTTAATTGTTCAAAATCTTGAATGACTCACATGCTTGTAAAAGAAAAATGATTAGGAGAGAGCAGACTGTAGGATAAAAATAAGGCAGGATGTCAGAAACATATTTAGAAAAATACCTACCATTTCTGTCACTCCCACTGCCCCCAGGAGATGGTGTCCTGTATCTGTCCTCTGGTCCAAGGTTTCTTTGGAAAGAGGTATCCACAGGATGGTCACTGGACACATCCTCATCATGTGGAGGGTAGTAGGAGTCACTGCCCAGCGGATGGCCATAATTACCCTTCATTGGTTTACTGTAAGGATCTTCCTCCACATGTGGTTTCCTGTACGGATCCTCTTCCACTGGGTCCTCCCTTGGGGGCAGGTGTGCAGGCATAGGACCTCCATACCTGTCATCATCTTCTGGAGGGATGGTGTAACGGCCCTGCTCCAATGGCACAGGATAATGGTCTTCCTCTCTTGGTGGGTAGCCACCTGGAATGTGATGTGGTCCTTCTCTGCTGTCATCAGGAGGGTACTGGTCATCATCCACATATGGTCCCCTGTACTGGTCATCCTGATCTCTGTATGGCTCTCCATAACGATCATCATCATAACGTGGCCTGAACTGTGAGGGGTCTTCTTGGTCATCTCTGCGAGGATACATATTGTCATTGTATGGGTCACTCTGGTACTGACCATCATCTAAAGGGGGTCTGTCCTCATTGAGGATGTACTGGGGGTCCCTAGGTCCAGACTCGGGATAATCATTCCCCCTGTCATGCAGGGGACTCTGCCTGTAATCCTGATCCACAGGGGTCCTCCTGTAATCCTCTTCAGGCCTATTACCATAGCCATGTCCCCCACCACGGTCACTATACTGATCTTCATTTAAAGGGGGATAGTTCACATAACTGTCATCATGAGGAGGTCTATAATAGTCTCCTCTGTTTTCATCTAGTGGTGGCAGGTTAGCATAACTGCTGTTGCCTTGTGGAATCTCTCCATACCGGTCATCATAATTATCAGGGGGGTGACTTGGTCCATTATAATGACTTGGCTCATTATCTCTGCAATGTCAAACAAAATTATTCATCAAAATATGTAAATTATTTGTTTGTTTATCAGCAAGTTTGGTTTTATTGCATTTTTCAGCTTAAAGTATTTTACCCAAATTAAAAAAAAATTTCTTCAGTTTGTAAGTGTAAAGAAAAGCATGCACGACACAGTTATTTAATACATTAAAAATCTAAATGGTGATCAAATGTTTAATTTTTTTGTTTTTTCTCTTTAATTTGTCAGTCAATTATGCAAACACAAATACACAAACTTGAGTTCACCATCCTAGAGACACCATCAAACATGGAAAAATTTAAAAGCACACAATACAATTTTAAATGACATTTCATCAATGAAGCACAACTGCTGTATTTTACAGCCCTTTTCCCAACATATACCCCAGCCATTAGCCATTCAAACAGTGTTTATTAACAGACTTCAGACCAACTTTTTCAGCATACAGTGATCATTAACACCATACAGAAATGTATGTGTGTGCCAAATTCCAACGCAAGTGCATGCAAGCAGACAGCACAATACAAACAGGATTACCCCTACCAAGCAAACTCCAGCCCCGCCTCCCTTTTTTGAAAATCAGGAAACAATTCTCAAAGCTTAAAAGTCCATATTGCACAAAGCCAATAAAGCCAAAAAAAAAAAAAAAAAAAAAAAAAAAAAAAAAAAAAGCTAATAATAATAAATAATAATAATAATATTAAATAAAAAATATAAATATAAATATAAATAAATAAATAAATAAATAAATAAATAAATAAATAAATAAATAAATAAATAAATAAATAAAGCGTGCAGCTATTGCCATAAAAGGTGTCCTCTGTCCCAACTGAACTACACTGGCTTAATGGAGAATCCCCAAGACAACACAAGCTGACAAACAAAGATGGCAACATGGCCGATATATCCCACCATGTCAGTCTTCATAGATCAACAGAATGCAATATCCTTGGGTTTTTTCCAGCAAACAAGAAAGATTCTTTGTGCCAAGGTAAGTTGAGCAAGACAGATCTTCTCTGATGTGATGACTGCTATCAAGATTTCAACTGATATCAGAGCATGCAGTGATGAAACAATAACTATTCTGCATTTACTTCCAAAAATAACAGGATGACAGTGACATTTAAAGTGTGATGCAAAAGTAGAATAATGATTGTGGTTTCTGAATATGGAAATATTTCAATAAAATTATCATAGTACAGCATATCTCATGGTGGGATAGAACAAAAAGCCAGCTACCTAAGCGGATGATAATGATCATAGTAATCATTATTGGAGTAGTAAGGATCTGTCTCAGAAGTGAACCTTGGTCCATAGTTTGTTGGCGTTCCTCTGTCCTGGCTTCCTGGTGATGGTGGAGGGTGCTGCAAGGCTGTGTAGTTGGTGTAATTTGATGTGCGCTCATCGTTCTGATAGGAACCAACTGACCCTGGACCTCTCACTGACGCAATCTTTGTACCAGACATCTGTAAATATTTACACACACATATACATAAACTGAAGTTTTAACTCCACTACTTCCCCAACAAGGACTTTTCAATATGCCCAAAATAACTGACAACTTTCCTTTCAAATAAATGTTCAAACTCTAGATTCACTCAAGATATATCCCCAAAGTCAATCTTTTAATAAATTCAAAATATCCAACCTGTTTTCCATCATAATAAATTTCTAAACACTAGATATAACCAGATGATTCTTATTCTTAGTGTTTTTATTTCTCAGGGGTAATAAGCTCCATATTGATTTCTTCTGCAGTAAAAATTCAAAATGAACTTTTCTCAGCAGCATTTAGTGTATGATGGACAGATTACAAAATAAACCACTCAGTCTAAAGAAAACTAGAAGCACATTCAGTCCAATAAAAAGGTTCTTGATTAAACAATCTTTGCTTAAGAAATGCAAAAAAATACAGAATCTCTTTGAACCATTAGTCCACAATATCACGCAGAGATTTGGTTTTAGTTTGACTATAACAGCCAATTCAAGATGACAGAATGTTATAAACAGACCCGCATATACTGGCACACAAGGTTTTAACTTCTCATGAATTTTTTCCAGGGGAAAAAAACTGGTGCCTAATTTTCCATACATATCAAGTATCAGTGTATTTTCCGGGGTATTATTGTATTACCTGTGGATATGGCTGTCCTCCACTATGATATGATGCATGTGACCCGTGGGGGGAGCCACTCCGGTAGGGGTCATAACTGGATGGTCCATTGGCCATTCTGTAAGGCTCATCTCCATAGGATGAATTCATCTGTGAATAGTTAGCGTAATTTCCTGCCCCAGAATGGGTGGAATTGTTGTGGTAACTCTCCATTGGATCTTCACTAGAATAGACAGAAAAAAGGACCTATAATACTGAGATATGACTGTAAATCATGGACATGAAACCACAAATGAATGATAATAAAATCCGATTCTCTCCATATGCCATTAAAGTTAAAATGTCTACCTAGAGAACAGTCATCCTGCTTTTTAGCAGAATGTGCAATCTATACACATAACTGTATGAGAACCTGTGAGTCACTGCTTTCCAACAGATTGCTTTCTAGGTTAAGGAAGCAATTTCATTGGGGACAAACTCAAAATTCCACGATAAATGTTCAGTAAAATCAAAGCATTATGCAAAGATACTCTTGCCCTGCCCATACATTTACACAGAGACCATTACATCATTCTCAGTCATAGCATGTGCACATATTTATGTATTTTGAGTATTTTAATTAAATAAAAAAGCCTTTTTTTCTATCCAGCATGGAGAAACTCCCTTTCTCTAACACAGAGTGTATAGATATCAAATTCCCCTGTGAATGAAATAACATCATTAGTCTACCATCAACTGACACAGGATCACTTAAAAGCCATTAATTCACATGTTCAATGCTCACATCTTTAAAAAAAGTTCTATTTATAGCTTGCTGGAATAATGGAGAAAATTCATAAAGTAGACCAAATTCAATACTTACCCAATTCCTCCCATCAACCCCCTTTCTTGAAGTACACGTCTGAAAAAATCAATAAAACACTTTAAACAAAACAAACCCTTCTTAAACATTTAACTGATGTCTTAAAATATGTGAAAAAAAAACTGCATTCAACATAAAACTGTTATGTGCACACATTAAGAAACATACTAGCTAGATAAAACCACAGCCATTGGATGACCACTTCAAAGAGCCATGCACACCATGAAACCTGGTTTCAACAAAAGCAGCACTGGCTATAGGCAAATGCACTGGGTTATGGCCGTGAAGTCTCTCGGTTGGCTTCTGCCAAACTAAATGTGGTATCATCGATTTGAAAGTTTTCACAGCAACACACTTCTATTTTGCAAATATGTTCATCTGCTACAAGGAAGTGCACCTTAGAATGTGTGCTAAAAAGAGGACTTGGAGTTGGAGTTGTTAATACTGATTATCTTGGCAGACTATATTCAAATTATAAAACTTGAAAAGCATCATCTGGTGGACCTTTTTGAAATGAATAAATTCACACACAGGTCATTAAACTGAATTGTAAGTATACATATACATGGGAAACAACAAAAATGTACAGTTGCTACTAAACAAAAAAGCCAAAGCTGCACTATGACAGTTGTTCAAAGTACAACATTGGAGAAAAGCAGTGTTCAGGTACAAAGAAGCCTTCTGAAGGCATAGGTGCCTAATAATATATAGTTGCCAACACACTTGACCAGTGGTCATTTTCACGCTTAACCATTACCGTTGAGGATGAATCTCCATGATTCGTTTTTTCTCTTCAGCCCTTCAGAAACAAAAGCATATTAAACAACATATTAGTGACTGTACACACAACATGCTGAGTTAGAAACATCATATATACATGCAATTGTGTTAACCACTCTGGTATTGAGTTAACCTGCCATTGTCCAACATTAAGGAGATTTGCTATATGCCCCAAGCACTAACAGATGTCACATTTGTGGTAATTTTATTCTAATTTCATTTGTGTAGAGTGTCACGTACACATTACATGCCAATGACTTGAATAATGATAGGAAAAAATGACACCTTTACCACCTCTAACGGGACTCTGGCATTACATCAGCAGCAACAGGTGTATTAGGCTACTTTATGTATATAATTTCTAATTGCATTTTATAATTCTAAAGTGATGTGAGGAGAAATCCATTAGAAACAGAATATGTGTATCCTTGACTTAAAGAGCACTTTGCTTTTACCTCTACTTTGTTTCTAAAAATACATGAAGTCTTGATTTTGCCTTCAGACAGAAAATGTCAGTGCATGATGATGAAATAATGATTTCACCTGAATAGAATTCTATCATTGTAACCAACATTTAAGGTTACTAGTATGTAAAAAACTACAGAGTAAGAGGATATTTATTTCTTTAATCCTCTAAAGTAAAAACAAGCTACAAAATTAATTTTCTACATGTAATACACAGTTTTTCAGAAAAACCAGATGATGTAAATAAAATTCTCTTGAAGGACAAACATTGCCATTAAGCCTCAAGTCATCTGAAATATGTGCCTGTCGAGCATAATATTTTCAAAACTTATCTGGATTAGTCATCAGACTTTAAATTAAATATAGGGGTGCCACGTTTTTGTTGCTGGGGACACAAAAAAACATGTGGCCTCGAGAGCAGTTATTTTCCCAGTTAAGCTCCTGGCATACACACACACATCATCCTGCAGATAAAATACCTGATTTATAAATGGTTTTGTGTTCCTACTCACTTTACAAATGTGTGATATACTATAGTGACCACCTGTTGCTTTTTTTTTTTAAGCTTTGCACGGGCTAGTCTAAAGCCTCCTTTGATTTATAAATAACATTGCTAAGTTCATGCTCTTCTGTTGTTGTTCACATTTCTTTCTAATTCAGGTTGATGTTAATAGGTGTTAGTAATTTGAAACATGCAAAATTCTATTACCATTCATAGACAAATACATGATATAAGGACCTTTGCATCAAATTGTATGTGCAAATAAACATGGAAATATTAGCTGTCACCTTTAAACATGGTTGAAAAACCACTGTGCCAGACAGATATTATGGTTTTTAAGTCTTTTAAAAGTGAAAACACACACGCACACACACAGTAAAAGTGACACTTACAAACAGGAATCAACAAGTTGTGTTCCACTCATTTTACTATCATCTTGCTCATCCTGACCATCATCTTCATCAAAATGAGAATCTGTGGTTTGTGTTTGCTGTCCTCGCCAATGAAAAGAATCATCTGTACTGCTAATGCTGCTCATGCTAGCCGTCTCACTCCCAAGTTTACACTACAGCCAATGAAAAATGGGCAATATTAAGCCAAAGCAGCAATCGTACATGCGGGATGGAATGCACTGTTGTCATATTAAACCATGCTACTACTGACAAACTGGGTGTTTAGGATATACAATAATCAGATGACATTGGTTTCTCATACAACAATGTTTTATGTTATTAAAACATAAAGGGGCAATAGAAGAAGTCAGATTAAATCATGAGTGGAAATTGTTTGGAAACTTTCTTTGGCATTTCAGTATAATGATGATCCAGTAGACTAAACAATATACTTGGATCTTAGCAAACAGTACAGGAGTTTTCAATGTCAAACTTTTTAAGCATTTCTCAAACTCCTTGTTCTTGTACAAGAGCTTAAAACATGGGTTTAAGTGGTTAAGAAAAAGCCTGGGGTTAAATTCCAATGCTTAAGGTTAAGTGAAAGTCAGATTTAATTATCCACATAAAACAACAAGCCAGGGTGTAGAAAGTCACTCTCAATCCCAGTCCAGTGAGGACCTCGTGCTTTGTGCAAGTTAAAAGCCACCTACCCTCTCCAGCTGATTGGCTACACTTTGCCGTTCAGCTTCTAGCTCTCTGGTTAACTGTTCAAACTGGGCTTCCTGGGGGGAGAAAACAGGGTGCTGTCTTAATGTTTTGTTCATATATACTAAGTTTGCTTTCAGTAATCCAACCCCATTAACAACAGTCATGTGTTGCATTAATCTATCCAACATATAGGCAGTATGTGTATCAGCACAGTTTGTTTGATCTTATTTTGTGCCTGCAGTTTAGGTTTAATAAATCCTTTCTGGTATAAAGCATAAGCAACTTTTAAAATATTTTTGCAAAAATAAAGCATCACTCAAAACACCCCACCAACCTGTTCTTTAACAGACTGTAGGATGCTGGCAGCAGACTCGTCCCCGTTAGTGAGCGAGGAATGTTGCCTATAGGACTGGGTCAATATTGGCTCATGCTGGCCGGCAGGCATTGCTGGACTGGGCAGTGAGGGCTTTACAGAAACAAAACACTAAAATTGTTCTACTACACCTAAAAAAGGAAAAAAGAATAAATAAGCCAATTAGTGCAGTTAGTAATAAGAATCTTAAGCTGCAAGTCTCTGCATCCCTTCACCAATAAAAATAAGTTTAAAGGAAGAGAGTTTAAATCAAGATTAGCACCTTTAATAGGTATAACCTAAACACAGTGAGTCTTATTTTGTACTGTGAAAGAAATAGGGGTCAGCATACATCCTTAATACAGGACAATATCTTGATCATGGTGGCAGTGAAAATAATGAAAAGTGAATTACATTTCATAGCTAGAGACAAATTATGCATTCTCAATAAAATGCAGACCAATAAGTCACTCCCCTGAGCTAAGGCGCAACATATCAGTCTTATAACAATAAGACTGCTACAAACATTCAAATTCTCAGTAGGTTTAATGGCTGGGCACAGGCAATAGATCATCTGCCACTTTTTAAAATATAGTTGAAATACCTGTTTGCACATAAAAGATTCAATACAAGTTAAAACAGATATCTGGAAGTTACCTAAACAACAAATGCATGTATTCTGATACTGTTAACTGGAAATTAAACCATACATTTTGGTAAAATGATGCTACACAAATTACAAAATGTCAACATCAACAGTCAATTTCAATATGGTAATTCAAGGCTGTTGAATTAAGGCAAAAATAACTCTAGCATAAAAGCACATATTTTCTTTTTAATTCAAACTGAATTCCGTTATTTGTTAAAGTTTACAACCAAAGCAAATGAAAGCACCTTGTTTAAACTTTACTGCTCTATAATCTCAAAGCAGCTATGTTGGATCAAAGGCCTTATTCAATAAAGCAGCATGCTTATCAGATGTTGGCTTGGCTCCAGTGTGAAGGTACATTCAGTTAAGGAAGATTTTTTTCCTTAACGGTAATATTACCGGAGTCAGTTTTTCATGTGTGAAGAAGTGGAAACCTATTTGCTTTATGTTGTCAATACATTAGTATTCTAGCACACAGACATTAATGATGTAAATTTTCTTACAAAACTGAAGGTTACCACACTTTGCTTTGAAAAGAAAATAGTGGTGCTTCTGATAAACCACTACACACTAAAAGAAAAAAAAACTAGAGGATCAGAGAGGCGATACCCCCTCCGGATATTGTACCACCAGCTGGAGTAAGCGCAATCGTACAGAAAACCAAAAACAAACAGGAACAACCACCAGTGTTCAGTGTTGTGTTTGACAAGCTCTTCAAAATGCAATAAACAAGACAAGAAATATGCCCCCCCCCCCCAAAAAAAAAAAAAAAAAAAGCAAAAGACAGCACAACTTTTATAAAAATTGTCTGATCAAGCTGAATTTCAAGACAATAAGCTTGTCAGTTTTCTTTGAAATGTGTTATCCGTGTTCCATATATACTGAAAGAAAGAAATAGGCCTATCTCTGCCAGTTTTGGAAATGTAAGGGATAGATGTTTGCAAAGTTCAGTTCATGGTGAAAAGAAGGTCAAAGGTCAATTTCAAATTGACAGTTAGATTGCCAGTATATGACTTCCTATTCAAGTTCAAAAGTAACCATGGGTGTATCTCTGCTAGTCTTGGAGATAAAAGGGATAGAAAAATTGGAAAGTTCAGTGCATGGTTAAAAGTAGGTCAAAGGTCAATTTCAAGGCCACAGTTACATGTAGATTGCCAGTATGTGACTTCTTATTCAAGTTCAATAGTAACTCTGGGAATATCTTTGCCAGTTTTGGAAATATTAAGGCCAGAAAATGTGCAAAGTGCAGTTCATCATGAAAAGAAAGTCAAAGGTCAATTTCAAGGTCACAGTTATATTGCCAGTATATGACTTCCTAATTAAGTTCAATAGTAACTATGGGTGTACCTCTGCTAGTTTTGGAGATATAATTGATGGAAAAATTGCAAAGTTCAGTTCATGGTGAAAAGTAGGTCAAAGGTCAACTTCAAGGTCACAGATTGCCAGTATATGACTTCCTATTCAAGTTCAATAGTAACTATGGGTGTATCTCTGCTACTTTTGGAGTATTTCACATTTTATTTTCACCACTGAATATTGCTCAGATGTGCTCCTTGGCCGTATCGCAAACAAAAAAACGGACACCACTTCCAGTATTGCGCTTGACAAGCTCTACAAAATGCAAAAAACGAGAGGTCTCTAGCATTTACGGTTCCAGAATTAGGGAGAGTTTTCAGTTTCAGCATCTTATGACCGTTTCTCCCATGAAAATGCACCGATTGACCCCAAACTCCCAAAGTTGAAAGGAGTCCCTAATTGCATTCCCTCATCATAATATGAGTGCTTAAGCCTGTGTAGTTTCTGAAATTCGGCACAAATAAAAATGCAAAAAAAAATCTGCAAAAAAAGTCCCATTTTTAGAAAATTTTGGCCCGTTTGACCTTGAAATAAAGGTCAAAGGTCAAATCCAAAGGCATATTTGAAATCCTCATATATGACTTTTGGTCAGACTTCTATAGTAATTTTTCCCATAATTCCTTCAGTTTGGGAGATATTTGGCATTGAATTTTCAAAAATTTTGACAAGGGTGCATTTCCATGAGCGTCACGCCCAGGCCAATGCACCGACTGAGACCAAAAAAACAGGGGGTTCAAGTTGAGATTATATGTAACCTAAATCCCAGAGATGGGGACACAGGTCCGTGCAGTGTAGGAGGAGAAGCGGTAACGGTGACTTGTATCCGGCGCCAGAACACGGAGCCGGCGGAGCCAACGGAGCCGTACGACACGGGTCGGGACTAAAACCATGAGTACCGCCAGCGTACACGCTGGTGGTACTAACTAAGACCAATCTTGAAGGTGATAAATATCTTGCCATTCCTCTATCACACACAGAAGCTACATTATTAAAAGTACGATCATACTTTATACCTAACAAACAGAAGACTACTTATAAAATACCAAGGCAGATCAACTATGACATACGAAGAAGTGACAAGAAGATATATTTATAGCAGCCATGTATCCTGCTCCTTAATGCACATCAAGTCAGGTGAGACAAGTTTACCTGAACAGTAGACCTGGGAACTCCGTGTTCAACAAAGCTAAGCATATACCTATGAGTCAACTGAACTGCGTCACCCAGGTATTTTTTTAAACCACTGGTATTTGCATACTGCATTCTGTTGACTTAACCCAACCTACTCAAGTTGGTATCCAATATAAATCAATGTGACCCAGGCCAAGAATGTCCCCTCAATGACTACAGGAACAAAAGTCTGACATATGTAAATATTTCACAAATCTCTGTAGACAAAGACATAAGGGCCCCTCCTTTAAAAACCTTTTGTATTTCATAAACAGAAATTTTGAAGTTTGCATACAGCTATATAAAGATGTCCTGAAATGTGTTTCATAGCAACCTTCCACAATCTCCTCCACTGGAAATCACAACTATTCCCTTTCTTCCTAATGCTGAAATGTCTTACAAAAGCCATAAAATACAGACAAAAAGACCCCATAAATTTTGTGTCTTTCTTAACACACACTAAAACTAAATGTCCAAATAAGTAAAACCAAAAACCAAATACAAAACAAACTGTGGGTCGTATTAAACTCAAATTTTGACTTGAGTGGACTAGTTCTATAAATTCCAAAAGCTCTGTACATGTTATCATGCTGTCACATTTTTGACAATCTTAGTAGGTGAGTGAGTTGAAGGTTGGTGTTACTTGGATTAATTATGTCAACAGTATGTCTCAGCGTCTTGGTATTATCACATGTTAAGACTTAACCCCTGACACAACTATGGAATGCTTTCCCAAATTGTTCATATATTTTTTGGGAAAGACAGTACCTTTTCAAAGTAAACTACATGCGATCTAAGAGTTGTAAGTGTACTGTAATTTAATCAAAATGCAATCAATAACACCAGACTACTTTGCACTTAGCAATTTGAGTTGAAAAAAATCAAGATTATTGGAATGTTTTAATTTTTCTCTTACTAGAAAACTAATATCCACATTTAATATTTTTCATCAAAAGTATATAATACAGGTTTTAAAAAATTGCTTAGTAATTTTTAGATTTCCTTTTATAATGTACAGGAAAACATGTCCAGATATTTAAAACTGAACATTAAGATTGAAATGGGTATAAATCATTGAAAGAAAATTTGATCCCGGGACCCATATAGGATACTTTTCAGTTAAGTAAAATTAAATGAACCAAACAAAAAAGTAATGACCATTCATATACGTACTTACAAGGTAATGACTACAAAACAAAAAGAAAATCAAAGTAATTACCTCACTAATTTAGATATCAATCTGCATAGAAGCCCAGACTTGGCATCAGATATATTCTACTTGAGGCTGAATTGAAGTGTTAAGGGTACATATACAAAGACAGGTTTATATCGTATCCAGTTTACCAGCCAGAAACAATATATTAATTGAAAGCCACATCAATATCTTCGGGCTGATGTATTGCTTGAACACAACTTAACAAGCGAATACAGTTTCTCAATTACATTAGAGCATCTAAGGTCTAGGGGCACTCCACCATGTCAGTCTAGCATGTGTTGTTACAAACTCAGTTTTGTATGGTGATGACATCACTTCACCATAACTGCACAGGGACAGGGAATTAAATCTTTCAGATGCCCTGTACATTGTTAACAAACTGCATATAGCATTGGTCACCCCTGTGATGACCACTCTTCTATTACTCATACCAAACCACTGAACGATACCAAACTGATACTTTCTCAAAGATGTATGGTCTGTGTATCAAATGGGTAAATAAAATCACTCTGTGTGTATTATATAACACCAAGAAATAGGGGGCTTTCTCAGTCTATATATCAATCCTTTACAATGTCTAATTCATTAATAGCCAATGGCCTTTGCAGTATTGGCCTGCCATTTTCAATATATATTTATTCAACCCTGCATTTGTCTGGGTAAAGCAAGTAAGTGCTTATTCATTCAGACCTTTTGTACATACAAAGATTTCCCATATAATGAACAGAGGTGCTGGATTTTGTTTGTGACTCCTTCGGTGAAATATTTTTGTAGGCAATAGAGAGAAATGCATTGCAATAACTGCAGTCAGCATTTAAGTGCTTAATCCCGTACATAAAATTGGCATGAAAAAAAGGAAAGGAAAGCCAACCTGTCGCGCTGATATAATTCACTATTTGTATGTGTGCGCTGGGCAACTAATCATGCAGGTAAAGTGAAAACCACAAGTCGGCTGGGAATATGTCTGATTACAATGTAATATGACTCAATCATTTTTTCCAATGAACAGCTTTTTAGTTGGTCTAAACTCTAACAAGGCTCGAGGCATTGCTTCTACTAACTGTAACTCAAAACCATTTCCTTTATACACTGGTTTCTTAGTTCCAGTTAAATTTCAGACATTCTGGGCATGGATTTTAGGTGCAGTGGAAAGGGAAAGAAAAAGTCTTAATAAGCATAAATAATTTTAACATGAAAATTACTTTTCCAAAAAGACAAGATTTTCTATTCTTCCATAGACCTTTATCACACTACAAAGTTATAATTATATTGGAGTAAATAATAATCAATCTTTATCAAAGTTTGCATTAATAGGTAACAATACAGGCATAAGGGCACAAAGCACAAAGAGTCAATTTGTATAAATCAAGCCATTTCCAATGCTGCACACACCTATCAACCTGCATGGTATAGTCTAGTCAAGCACAGACTGGGTCAGACTACCCATTATCCCCACCACTGAGCACAATAGAACTGACACATCCATTTTATCTCTGGTTATCCTGTCATAGTCTGATCTCTAACAAGACAGAAACTGCTAGAACTACAGGGAGAAGGTTAGCTAGAAGTATGCAATTGGTTACACCCTGTTTTGATCATCTTACATTACAGAGAGAACACCTGAAAACTTTGACTGTGTTGTAGCATTCCACACTTATCAGTATGTGTTACTTGCCAACACAGACATGAAGTTCAGAGTGTGATTCAGTGCTGAAGTGCTGTAATGATAATCTCAAGTGATATCTGGCACAGGTCTATTTAGCAAGGCCTTTAACAAGCTGTATTTAGATATATCAAAACCTTCCATCTCCAACCACACACAATGCATTTATCCTACAAGTGTACCTTATACTTTTAGATCCAATTTATGATTTAGCAAAATGGAGAGATCTTTTGGTGACTTCTCCTGACAGATTGCTGATATGACTTAAGGCTGATTCCCATTGAAACTATTGTTCTACGTAGATCGATCCAATCCTAACTACAAAGATTGACTCTCGCTGAATGCAAGCAGATTACCAGATTAACATGCCTCCTCTTGTTCCCAACATACTCATATAATCACCAGTTTTTCTGTATCTACTCAATTCCAGAAGTAGGTATATTAATCCGATTACATTCAGCGAGAGTCCCAGCGGAGTTGGATCGGTCTACGTAAATCGATAGCTTCACTGGGAATGAGCCCTCAGTCTGGCTTCAGAGTACAGATAATATACGTGATGCAAATAATGACTTATATTTCTTTCTGTTTTTTGTTTTACTTGTTACCATACCAAGGACAGAAACACCAGTAACTTTTTAAACTTTCAGTGAATGTGGGTTATGCAGCTCTACAGCCACCTGTCCTGAAATTCAAGCTTGGGAATTTAATTTTTAACAATTCTGAAAAACACAAGACTCCTGATCATCTGCTACTGAATTCCACATGATGCCTGAGAAGTTGAGATATCAAATGCCCTGCCTATTCTATTATGTTATTCTGTTTCAGTAATTTACTAAAAGACATGTCTATCACACTGTTCAACTGATCTTTCACCTTTGCCTATCTAATACCATTCCCCACCCTACTGAGATGAATTTGAACATTATGGAACATATAATAAACTGAAACCTGGTCTAGTTGGCAAACAAATGTAACTGCTTGGAGAAAACCTTCCTGATTCCATTTCAAAAGCAAGTTCCTCTGACATAACACCATATTTTCCAAGTAAACACGGAACTGAAGCATGCACAATTAAGCATGTTTCTGTTTAAATTATGTGACTTTCAACCTTTGCATCCACCTTAGTGGTAAAATATAGAATAGGTGAAACTCTGTACTTTGAAAATATATACTAAGTGTTAACACTGCTAAACGTAGCCAAAATCTTCAGTAGTCTCCCCACATGATGGCTCGTGATTTCAGGTGTGTCTTCATGTTATTTGCCTTCCACCAGCTGCTTACTCAAAAGCTCAGCCAAAAAGGAAATATCTAACATTTCCTTTCAGTAAACCTGCACACTCTCTAACATGTGCAAAGTGAAATAACCCTGGTGCACACAGTATTTTATGAAACCAGTACTGCAGACATACCAAGCAAATAAGAATTTTAAAATAAATGAGTATAACAGCAAATGTAAAAGAGTTTATAATACTGTGTATGCTACAAAACAAGCCCTGTCACTCAATTGCTATCGATATATATAAAAAAATTGATCTTGCTGCATCACAATCAATTTATTTGGGAACAGAATACTGGTGTTTTGTTGCCCTCCTATTCATGGCATGATGTCCCTATAACAGCAGCATTGGGGGTGAGCAATAAAACTACTGAATAATGCTATCACTTCCATAACAAGCAATCACTTAATAAAAAACTCCAATATCCTGAGAAAAACTCCTCTTCACTGCTGCCAATATCCTAGTTTAGTCTTCCTTTTAAAATGGAGTTGCCTAATCCAGAGTGAGATATCTCTTTGACAATGCTGCCACATACTGAGCAATGTTGTAATGTCCTGGCCAAGGTGACCCCTGTCCAATGCTGTTTCATCAAGTTGAGTGTTAGTATCTATTTCAATGCTGTCAGTAAGCGATACTTATAGGCAAACTGCCCACTAGCAGTTCTTGTATCCCATGAAATATACATCATATGTATCCACACAACATGAGCACTCCACCATCAGCCATTGGCACTGCTGTTTGTGCCTTCCACTGCCATAGAAAACCATGATGTCCATGTCCAGCACTCAGACATAACACTCAATGCTGCTGCTTTCATTTGACGGAAATGTACCTTGAGGCACAAATTCTGTGTCAAGCTCACATAGTTGTAGAGTAAACTTGAAGCAACTATGTTTCCTCTATAGACCACAAAATGATAACTCTTCACTGTAAAGCATTATTTTGAAATACTCACCCCTACTGCTTCATCCAGTACACCTGAAAAAAAATAATAAAGCAATATTAATATTTGAGCTGAATGTTTCAATTTGCACTCTAAATCTGTGTGCTATGAATAAGGAAAATAATGAGCAGGTTGGATTGAAAACAATAAACCCTGCAGCAACAAAACCCCATAATTTACATATGAATACTGAATTTATGGCTCAGATTAATTACCACCCCTTCCCAGAAGCTGATGCCAGTCATGTAAACTGCTTTCAGCGCTTATATGAACTAACAGAATTTGAATGCTTTACCACTTTTACCTGGTTCATAAAGTGATGATTTCAGCAATAGTTTACATGTTTATAAGTAAGTAAATGTTCTTTTAAAAATACTTTCAATACAACTTAAATTTTCTTAATCTACACTACATGTATACAAAGGAAATTAGGCTATACTAACAGTCAGACACATTCCTTTTCCCCCCCCCCCCTTTGATTGAGGAACATTTCAGTCAGAGTCATTGTATGGGGAGAACTGATCTAGTTTGTAAAAGAGGTTACTAGCGTGTATTATGAATACAAACCCTGCAGCAAAGTGTACAAATGCATGTGCAGGTGAAGACAGACAATTATCCAATCTTTAACTTTTTTATAACAGGTGTATTTTATATATCGCAGGGACTTCACTTAAGATAATAACTGTATTGTATCCTTTCATCAGAACTTCTCATGTATGCCCACTGGGCAAAAATCATGATTTTTTTATACAAATCTCAATTAGAAAGACGATTGGCTTCATACAAGTGCTACACTAACATAATCTGTCAAGGTGACTCTGACAATAGCCTATAGGTCCCTTATTTTCTCTATTGGATTAATCAAATTGTGATCGACTTCAAATTCATTTTGTCCAATGGTAAAGACTGCTGCATGAGATCAGATAACTTATTGCTGATTTCACCTTATGGTCAGTAAAAAAGGATATAATTAAACTTCAGTGCTATGCTGGACTTGCCTCAATCTGTCTGACAGAATACCTCAGAATTCCATCATCCAAGCATAATATGTGAGTGCTCAAGTATGTGTTGCAATCAGATTCAAACATTTAATATGAAAAACGTCTTTTACTGATAAGCCCAGCAGGTAAAGGTACTGGTAAGTTGGAGAAGGTTTATCTTTGGCCTGACACATGGTAAAAACCACAGGATTAGTCAGAAAGGAAATGATAAACAGACAAAGACTTTTCCTGAGCAATGAACCTGTCTGTAGCATTCCACCGAAGTTTGAATATATAAATATATGTGTGATTTAAAAAAGTAACCATAATTCTTTAAATTATAGAAACTGAAAGACGGAACACATATTTTATTCTCAGTAAGGGATGAACATTGCAATAATTGCCCATCATTTTCTGATAACATTACCTAATTCATTGAAACTTTCCTTTTTGCCACAATTTAATTGCTATGAAAGTATGAAACAGTTACTAGTATAGAATACAGCTCATGGTGTGTATGAAGAGAATTATCAATCTTGGTCAGAACCTTCAGGTATGTTTCTTGGTGTAATGGATATTTGTGAAAGATATGAAACATTTAGCTTTGTAAAAAGAAGGATATTAATACTTAAAATATCTGAAAATCTGTTAAATTACCAAAATGGAAAAATCAAACCAATGACAACTAAGTAAATTGAGAATAAGCCAAAATTTTCAATTATTAATCCTATTTCAAAGACCCAGACACAAATATGTTAAATGAATGTAATGGAAATGTTACAATATTTTTCCTGTGAAAGTAGGAAACATCACTGACACCTCGGGTGGTCGTTGGTTTAACTTTAAAGCAACACTGTATAATTTAAAACTAACCTATAATTCACGATGCGTGTCATATGCGCTAACATGATGAGCGATATCAAACTTCTACGGCAACACAAAAAGACACATACTATTTCACTCAAGTGCAAACCTAGTACAATTCGCACAAAGCGTCTACAGAATGTGGGTGGAACACTCCTACTGACCGGCAAAAAAACGCATTGTTTTCGACGGCCATGTTTTGAATATGGCGGATGTGACCCAGAATCCAACCATAACAATTTAAAGCTGTTAACTACCACTTTAAATACATAATTGCAACATTTCCTCCTTCGGTAAACAATAACTTAAATATAAGAAACTAATCTTTTTAAAAAAACATTCATGCAAATTCCTTACGAAATGAACTTTGATGAATAATAGCGAAGGACCCACGCTTCGAGGAGACATAATTTCAAAATTATGGCTGTTTTAACTTCCAAGCAACAGGATAATGCTACATGTCAAATAAAAAACGTTGTTTCTTAAAATGAGAAATAACCACAAACTTCAATGGATTCATACCTGTTGTTGGGAAAGCTTTACAGGTTTCCGGGTGTCCACCATCAAAGTTTGTAAATTTACAACCGTTCGACACGCTAGACGTCAATCTTCCATAGACACGCCTCGTTTTGGCTGTTACTTTAACATCACTTACTCCCTCTCTCAGACATAATTAAATTAACTTCAGTTAACACACACAAAAGAAAAATTGCCAAAAAGAATAAAAATGGTGTCATAAAATAGAAAAAAAAACAGGAAAAAAGTAATTAAGTTTAAAAGATGTTTGGCATCCTTTTAATTTACCGGGTATTACATCGTACACGATGAACCAAACGAGGGGTAGAATAAACACCTATGGGTACCTGTTGCGCCATCTACCAATATATTCGCTACCGTGCATGCTTCGTGAAAGGTAAACAAAGATCACAAAAGGAAATCGACTCTGGTATTTGCGAATGCATCGCAGATATTTGTAATATTTTATTTTATCGATTTTTAAAGTAAACATTAAAAGTTAAGATGAAAATGATATTATCCCCATCACCATGTATATTTTTTGGACCAATCATACAGAATTATAATGCGGTGCATAATAATTATCACCAAATTACTAAATTGGCTTTATAGTCTTTGGTAAACATTTTAATATACGTATTGTTTGACAAGAACAACAATGATAACAGTATTTATTGTTTACTGCAATTTCAATTTTACTATGTAAAGGAAGCGTAAAAAATCATTGAAGGAGTAGGAAACGCTGCGAATTTTTTTCCATATCAGGTGTGTAATTCCCCTAATTGTCGGTGTTAAGACCTGTTAAGAGTCCCTACTCGATCGTCCCTCTTTTTGTCTACGGCGGCCGTTAACTAGCGTGTTGAAAGCAAATTACAAGTGTGCCAGGTGTGTGTGTGTGTGTGTGTGTGTGTGTGTGTGTGTGTCCGGGGGGGGGGAGACAATGCAGGGGAAAACAGTAAATAAGGGGGTCTTTATAAAGTGCTGACCTTCCAGATAAGACTCAGTTTCGTTTACTTGTTACAAAGCACTCGGTGTTTCTGGCTCTTTATGCAAAGCGAAATTAAGACTACATGACGTCGTTGCTGACCTTTAGCACGACCTCGACCCACATTTCGAAAGGAAAACCACTTCCTGACTATATCATTACTGGTAGGCGGGCGGTAATCTATATTTTTGCACTACAATCCTAATAGTATGATATCAGTGGACACAATGAAAAACTGGACAAAAACTTTTGACTGCCATGATTGTCTAGATGAAACTTAATGTTGAGCAATTCAAGGCGAGGGGAGAAGCAGAGTAATTTCTTTTTCCGTTATCAGTGTACATGTGTACACACTGTACATGTACTGTCTGGTAATGTACTTGCACAACTAAAAGGTCAAATATATATCTTAGCATTTCATATAGTATATATCGTCGCTGTTATGGTGATGCGAGCTAACAAAATGTTGCGCTTCCCAGAGTATTTAAATGAAATGATCGAGATGATTTGCCTGTTGTTAAAATATGATAATAATTTACTGATATATGATAAATATGATACAAAGAAGTATAAAATCAACTGTAGAACTGCAGAAGTTGCAGGCATTAGCACTCTTATTGGCAGTTTCTGGTCTGCACTTGATGTACTTGACATTTCATAAAACAAATTGCACCTCTGCAACCATTTCAGAATTTGGATCTATACATGTACTAGTACTGTACGAGTACTTTGAAGATCCTTGGTGTACGAGTAAGTACATGTAGTTGTTGTTCTAGTACATTTTCGACCTACTGGCAGTAAATTATATGCAGCCACTGAGTTTCCATGGCATCTTTTCTCTATTTGATTTATTTGCCTGTAAAGGCAAGTGAAGATGAAGTAGACCACAGAGGTGGTCCAGACCTTCACGACCATGTGTCGAAATCGGAATCAGAACCAGCATTTACAAAACCATTTCATGCAGTCAAAGAGAGGACGGAAGATGAATTAGATACTGCCTGTGATGAAAATACTCCACTCATGTCACTGACATCTAAAGGAAATTCTGTATCATTTAATATATGTGATGATGGAGAGTCTTCCAGTCTGACTGCACCAGAATTTGTGCATGACAGTAAAAATGACAGTCTAGAAAAAGTTGGTCCCAGTGTCAGAGAACCTGATGTTGGAAGTTTTGTGTCACCAGATTTAGATAAAGCGAAAACCTCCGACATCAGTCCTATGGGAAGGGAGGTGCAGCAGACAAAAGAAGATCCTTCTATCCAACCTGCAACTGAAGTACCTTCTGTTGGAGAGTATTCTGCAGTTACAGATAATGCTAAGGAAGATGAAAATGATGCAAAGAATAAAAAGAACTTAACACTAGATATAAGGTTAGCTTCAAAACCTCAAAAGAGAGAGATTAAAAGTGAATCTGACGTGGATCATGTTCAGCCAGAGGAGTTCAATGATCCAGATGAAGATGTCTTTGGGCATCCAGACAGCCATGAAACCCTAGAAACTGAACAGGAAAATAACTTGGAATCACCTACCTATAGGCAAAAACGTTTAGATAGTCAAATGTCAACTTTTGCAGAATTCTCAGGGGATGGTAAAGAGGTAAAGATAATTTTCCTATTTTGAAACAAATACTGTCTCTAGTTAATACCACAAAGTGTTATATGTAAACGATTCCATTTTTTCAAAAACCAAGGTACTATATGTACAGTAGTATTATCATTTTCTTGTAAATCTCTATTGTTTATAATGTTTTAACTGCTTGATCATGTCTTTTTATTTAATTATTGCCATTTGTGTTTCATGTTATATGTCAGTATCTGACCACCTTGTTGGAGGAATTGAGGATCAGAAATGCAGTGTGGGGTCTGACAGAAGATAAAAAACTTTACCAGGTTTGAGCATTACTAGTACATGTACTTGTATGAAAATACTATGAAAAGAACTAGGTTTGATAGATATTCATAGATAGTTAAATCATGTTGTAGTGTCTTTTTTGGGTGTTTTTGCTGTTGTAACCTAAAATCAAGTGTGTCAGTATTTTAAGATATCAAATATGAAAGATAAATTCTAAATCGTGATTATTTAAAGATAATAATAAATTTAGAAGTTTTGTTTACCACTGTTTTTTTACAGATTTTTACAATATACTATTCTTCCTTCAGTTAACAATGACTATATACCAGTATGAATAAACCTTTTAAGAACTTACATGATTTTTTTAGGAAATGATGTTTTATAAATGATGACCATAAAGACATGCCTTCAGTAGGCAGTCATTTAAAATGGTTGTTTTTATCTCCAAGAAGCATTTGCAAGAGTCTAATTCCTGCTCAGGGTCTACAAAAGGTTTGATGTAAAGAATACCTTCATGATAATCAGGATTTTTAAAAATTCTTTTACAGGTGACATTTGTTGAGGAAGGGGGTGAGAGATGTGAAACCATCATGAAATCTCTCCAAGATGTGGGTGTGGGATCCACCATCAAGATGTCTTCTATCAGGTAAGTGCAGGTATTTTATGGCTTCTGAAATCTAAAATTTCCAACAGTTGTTATATTTCTGTTGATTATTTAGAAGGATGTATATACAATTTTTACAAGATATTGTATGCATACATCAGAGGATTATGTGCAAAGTGTTTACATATTTTACAGCGCAATACCAATTTCCATTCATCTGGACGAAAATGCAGAATACTCCAGTGAAGAAAGTTCTCCTGAAAGGTAAGTGTATATAGATTTTTTTACTAAGTAGTTTCTTAGGTACAATTATTGTACTGTTTTATACTTAGTTTGCTTAGGTTAAGTATTTTATGATTGAGAGTAGGTGTTTTTCAGCTGAGGATTAAGTGTCAGAATGATGGGAATACACTATAATTTTGTTGATAAGTGTTGTGCCAGCATGTTTGAAGTGCAATTACTGAATATTTTCATTAATGTAACTATTGTTGTTTCTTTTTCTCAGATCAAAAGAAGACATTGAAGGGAATTTTTTCAAATCTATCAAATCAAGGTTAACAGTAGCTCAGGTGAATAGTAATGACCATGCTGATAAATTTTTTTCGTGAAAATAGAAAAAAATGAAAATTGTTGTTCATCATTATTTCAGACAGTTTCCATCCAAAAGTACCCTGAATTGTAATCTTTTATCTGTCCATTTGTTTTTCCACTGACTTAAAAGCTGCATCTTTTAAGCTGCAACCAATTATGCATATAACCATTATCAAGTTAAAACTACTATTACATTTCAGGTTGTAGAACAAATAAAAGCCCAGGCGGCCCTTACCTTTGACTATGTTATGCTGATCATACTTGCCAGGTAATGTGATCATGCAACTCTGTTAATGATTCAGTAATTATAATAAAGTTCTTTTGATTAAGTTACAGTTTTACCTGAAGCATTTTTTTGTAAATTAATACTGTTAATGGTTGATAACTCTTGCAACATGATATGTTCTGACCAGTAGTATTAGAAACTGGATTAAGTCATGTGGCATCTTTTTTTTCCCTTGCATTGCATCTTTTTACTTATGCATATCCACTGCATTAGATTAAAATAATTTCTATGATTTTGCATAGTTAAAAAGCTAAGATGTTTGTCTACTTATTATTGGGACACATCTTTGCTGTGGATAATAGGAGACTTTGAAATGATGGTTGATATTCCATAACAACTCAGAGATTACTAAAGGCCTGAACAGTTGTAACCCATGACATATTGTAACCCATGTTATAACCACTTGTTTAACCTGCTTCACACCAAGTTTATTGTATGTTCTCATCTTAGTATAATTGCAGGCTTTGGCTTATTAGAAAACAGCTCTGTTATTCTGGTAGCCAGTATGTTGGTCTCTCCTCTTATGGTAAATACAAAATATCTGTAACAGCATTTCATTGTAGGATGTATACTGTGCTTTATTATTAATAAGTTTTTCAAAATGAATGCTATACCAAAAATGATCATTACTGTAGTAGAGACCTTCCTTTTTTATGTTGGTTAGTGATGCTATGTTTTAAAAAGGAAGTAAAATAATCTGAAAAATGTTTAAGGCCTAAGGTATACTTTAACATACTTCCATCTTAATTATTTATTTTTACCAGTTTGAAGTAAAAAACTACAGCGATAATTGATTTTGCCTATTAGTAAAAACAAAAAAGTATATTGTTTTTGCTAAATGTTACTAGATCTGAAAATTTAAAAATAACACCTGATCATGACTGTAGGGTCCTATACTAGCAGGGACATTTGGTTTGATGGTTCAGAATAAAAACCTAGGTCTTTTGGGGATCAAGACAGAACTTGTTGGACTAGGCCTTTGCATTGCATCTGGTGAGTGATACAGAAATATGTAATGGACTTTCATTCATGTAGAAAGTTTAAGTGTACTTTCTGGGATTGGAACATGCAAATGAAATTGAATGGTTCTCGTTCATGATTCTTTTAAGAGACACAAAGTTTGGTAAAAAAAAAACATTGATGTCAACTGATTCGATTTTTAAATAATAAGTCAATTGATATTGTTTTGTTCATCTTGTAGGCTTTGTTTTGGGTATAATAGCAGGTGTTGTGGGTCCTACATGGGGGGCTGTGCCTCAGTACCCGACACCAGAAATGGCTGTGAGGTAAGCCGTAGTTTAACCAGGTTGACCACTGGCTAAAACCATCTGAAAGTTGCTTCATGCATATTAAATCAACTGGCATTATAATAGTAGTAAGTACAATGGGACACAATAGCACAAAAGATAAAAAATGCTGGATTTACCAAATTTGAAGTGGATACAGACCAAAAGCCATGAACATCTTTGGGGATATTTTAGTCTGCTGTTGACAGCTGAAACTAATTATTTTGTCCATGACATTCATATTACTTCTCTTTAATCACTAACTTTTTTCACACCAAGATTAATTCTCTAAGAGACTATTTTAATGGTGCCATTAATGGATAAAATATATATCGGTTTCGCCATAATTACATGTAATGTGATTAAAAACAGTTGAGCATATTTATTGTTTCCAGAGGGTTTTAAGAGTACATTACAGTTTGTATTTTTAGGGGCCAGGTGAGAAGTCTGTGGTCAGGTGTGTTAATTGCTGTCCCATCAGGTGCGGGGGTTGCCCTCTCCGTCCTAGGAGGCAATGCCGGATCCTTGGTTGGTGTAGCCATCTCTGCCTCTCTCCTGCCTCCAGCCACCAATGCAGTAGGTGACATGGGTGTGATGCTCTACCACATTATGAACCTGCTCTGCATATGCTCTTCATGCATTATTTGAAAATTTCCTATTATGTTGTTATGTACCATTAGTTTAGTACAAACTTGATTGAGAAATAGCTGCTCGAAAAATGTTCTGTAAAAGTTTTGTTCTGGTGTTTGGTATAACCTGTTTAAACTTTATTGGAAGGCTATGGCCTTTATAAGAATAAGGATTGTTTTTTCTATCTATCCACACTAAAAAGTTTTTTTTCTGTCCTTTGTTTTGAATAGAATTAAAAAGCTGTAGCTCTGAATCAGTGTGTTTTTGTTTTCGTAATTTGTGAGTCTTTTAAATTTTTTGTAGGGCATGCTGTGGGCCTATGCCATTGTTAGTGCTGCAAACCCACCTGCAGTAGCTAGTGTAAGACATTGATTTTGCATGGTTATTTGATGCTTTTCCATTTCATATTTAAAAAATATATGAAAAATTATTTTTTTTAGACTCTGTATACAATGAATTTTTAATAGGACTTTTTTATAGTAAGTTGTATTTTTTGACCAATTTTTACTTTTTGTTGCAATTTTAAGATGCCAAAGAACAAGATATCTGGATTTGCAAATTTCCTAATATAAATTATGTGTTTTATACCATTAGGAGAGCAATATCACCAGCCCTGACTCACACCTCCAGTGTCCTCCATTTCTTGATAATGAGTATGAGCCAGTTTACAGTTGCTGGATGGCTTCAGAGGCTATTGTACTAGGAACTGTCAGTTTAATGTTAACACTGCTGAATATACTGTGTATTTTTCTCATGGGGATAGCTATACTGAAGGTGAGGGAGACTTTAGGAAAGGGGGGGGGGGTGAAATGAGGGCACTGCTCTTTTAATTTTCTTCTGCTTAAGCTAATGTAAGATCATCTAATTTGCACATATATATGTCAAAATGCAAAGCCTGGGTAAATTTATATCAACAACAACAACAATTACAGTGTTTTTCAATTTTAGGTGAAAGAAGTTGTTCCGAATACTGCAGCAACTACAGCAACTGATGCTTTCTGGAAAAAGGACATCAAGGTATTTGCTCAATAGTCTTTGAAAATTAAGGCATTGATTTACCTTACAATTTTGGCAAACAAAATTTACAATTAAAAAAAATTATCTTAGGAATTGCATGGTATCAGGTTTTGAAATTTAAGACTGTTTGATGAGTTATTTTACTACTTTTGTCATTACAATTGTCTTTAGTATTATTGTAATGTATTTGTCAGGTGAATCGTTTTTTTTTTCAGGTTGCTCGAGACTCATACAAAACCATGAAGCCAGGAGAAGAATCAACCAATAGATTAGCTAAAAACTTTCTCCAGGAGTGGCAGGTTGGATTCTATCTTATATACTTTAAATGTTGGAAGAGCATTTTTAAAGATGTTGACTTTTTGTATTTCTTAAATAAAATGTCTATATATTTAATTTTTACAAATCTACAGTAAGCATTTCAATCCGAGTCTCACATAACTAATTGCTTTGCTTCATTTTTGATAATTCTTACCCACAGTTTTCAAATATGTCATGCTTTTGAAAAATATTTTTCAGAACTTAAAGAAAGAGATAAAGGCTGAAGATCGGCACAGGCTGAGGGAGATGTTACATGTAATTACATTGAAAGTGTCTTTACATTAGATTAAAGTTGATGCAGCAATATGATGCGTGCTTGCTTGAATGTGAAAAATAGTAGAGTAAATGTGTGAAATTCTGTTACACTCAAACATCTATATTGTAATTTTCTATCCACAACCACTTTACCTTTACTGCTCAATATAGTTTTAAAAAGATGTAACATTATAATATTCTTAATATCAAAGATTTTACATGAAATATAATCCAGGTGTAAAATACTTGAGTATTTTATCTGGTGCATTTTATCATTTATGATCTACATTTGGTATTTATGATATTTTTCTCATTTGACAGCATGTCTCTGATGGTGCTGAGTTTTCAGAGATCCTTGCCAGGGCTCCCCAGAATTTGCGTGCAGCTAGTAGGGTATGTGAACATTTTGATAAATTTTGTTGAAAAGAAGCTTTTTTTGAAAATAGGATATTACTTCATTTATTTCACTGAATTCCACCCAACCCCCCTTGATATAGTACTTATTTATCACTTCTTAAACTGTGAAAAAAGATATCTATTAATCTTATTCAAACAGTTTTCTATTAGAAGTATGGTAGATGTTTAGATCACATTCAGAACTGATGATCCAAAGACTTACTGATCTGCCGACTGTCAACCCCACTTAAAAGCAAGCTACCTAATCCCCTAATGGTCTCCCTGCCTCGACACGCACCATTAAGCAGATTAAATATTAGCTCAGAGGTTTAATTGCTAGGTCCCTGCAGCGACAGCGCATGTGAAGGCGGGCAGACCATCAGTGATTAGTCTGTATTGCTTTTAAGTGGGTCCGCCATATTTGATCCACGGATCTGTTATTTCATGGCTCAACTTGTTCTGAATGTTCTTAAAGGCCCCATTCAGAATAGATAATTCGAATACTTACTGATCTGCCAACTAAATACGGCCGACCACACTTCAAAAGTGATGCCGCTTATTCTCGATGGTCTCCCCACCTCCACACCCGCCATTAAATGGATAAAATCTCAGCTCTGAGGTTAAATTGCTAGGCCCTTGCAGCGACAGTGCATGATGTGGAGGCAGTGAGACCATCGAGAATCGGCGCCGTCTCTTTTGATGTGTTTGGCCATATTTAGTCGGCAGATCAGTTAGTACTCGGATCATCCATTCTGAATGGGGCCAAAGTTTAGGAAAGGGGTTGGGGGAGAGAAGCATGTGAGACTTGGTCTGATCTTTGCATCATTATACCATGTTTCAGACAGTTGCACGTCAAATATCAAATCATATTGCTGAAGATTGTCAAGGGGAAGGTTTTGAAGATCAGGATTCATACCACCATACAATCCATTCCTTCATGCCTGATGTACACTGTCGGTCTCCTATTTCTTACTCTCCAAAAGTTAATTATATAACAGTACATTATCCTTTTAATTGGCCAAGAGTAAGGAAACAACATAAAAAGAGGGCAGCACGTCCTGCTAGTCATGAGGATTATGTCAGTGGAGAAGAATCTTCCATCAGAGGGAAAGAAGAGAGGTTTACAGTTACCAAAGTGGAAGATCCACTACAGGAACTACCTACCTAGTTATTAACTACCTATTCTTCATTTGACTTAATCAACAAATATGTTTACATATTGCATTTTTGTTTTAGAAAGCTGAATTTGTTGAAATATAATTACTGGGATTGTGAACTTTTAAAATTTCATTTATTGCTTCAAAATCACTTTTACTGCTGATTTTGTTTTAATTTTTGTATTTAAGGACAAAGGTTAAGCTAGATTTTGACACAATATCATTTTCAGGTCTTTCTTTGGCTTTTTATTTGAACTTTATGGTTTAGAAATTTGCATGAAATTTTATTTCTTTTTGATAAGGATTTTAATTTTCAACATATTTTGTAACTGCAGTGCATTTGTTCAAAGGATAATGTCTCTCAGGGCAATATTCACTTATTTGTTTTTTGTTGTGATTTTTCATGATCATTAAGTTTAGAGTAAGTGGGATAGAAAGTTTAAAACACAGAGTAAGAATAAATGTGATGGAAATGTTGGCACATTTTCTTTGTAGTGTATTTATTTAAAATTGGGTATTTGTGCATTTGCTATTAATTTTGCATCTATTTTAATGGCACAATATACATAAGTATGTGTGATAGGAATTTAAATGTTAATGTCTCCAAGGGGGTATGGCGTTATTTGCATGTTTACTGTTTTTCATTTGACAATCTTATATTGGAAAGTATAGGTAAATAATGCAAGTCTGATCTAGATGGATGCCCATTGGGTCCAGTAAAGGTCAGAGCTGTTATAAGCAGTCAAAATGATGGAAGTGTTCAAATTAACAACATTAACTTCATTGGACTCTGAATCTCAGGGCATTTGCATCAGGGCTACACCAAAAGTGTACTTCTATATTGGTTTTATTAAAAGGTTGCAGAGTAGGGGATTATATTAAATTTAATAGTTAGACGTCCTATCCATCATTTCAGCTTTGTGGGAGCAAGACAATAGATGATATGTAGAAAATATTTCCCTGGTAAGAGGGTACAGTAATGAAAAAATTTAGGTGAAATGGTCAACTTTGGTGTTTTCACCTATGACTATAGATAAGAAAACTTTGACTATTTTTATAAGAACAATGCTGAAGTCTTCCCTTACAGTTGCTTAAAAGTAGTATGCCAAAACAAGTTGTTTCTCAATCTTGACATGAAAATCAGTTCATGAATACATATGGATAGTTCATTGCCTTTGGTGTAGTAGCAAGTAGGATAGTTAATTTTATTCTGTTAGGGAAACCAAAGATGTCTTGAATAATGTTACCAGTAAATGGATTTAACTCTGTCTTAAAAATTGATTTTTTTTGGACAGACATTGTGCCTGGACATAACCATTGCTTGCATCTGTTGTAGTAGTTAGTGTTAGTATGGACTTTCCTTGTAAGCATTGGATTCTTTTTTTTTTTTTTTTTTGAAGTAATGCAGTTTTTGTGGTGAAATTTTCATTTACCACATATTGGCATTTTCACTGTAAGAATTTTAAATTGCATGGGTCTGAAGCCCTATGCTAGTTGCATTTGTTGAATATACAAGTTACCTGTAGTACATAATCAAAATTGGTGGTAATTATTCTGTTCAGAACTATGTAATATTGCATAAAAAACATTTAATATACTCTGCGTATACACAATAAAGGAAAACAGAAATTTATAATTATCAAATTTACAGGTCTAGAGGTCATTTGGTTTAGCACCGATTTGAGCAACTTAGAAAAGTGGCCATTTTAAGGAATTGCAATAAAAAAGTGATTGACATACATTCTTTATTTCTGAAATAAAAAGCCCTGATGTCCTACATAGCTGCTGCTAAGTGATTGTTAAACCAAATAAACTGAAATGTGTGCAATGTGGTACAATGCGCTAATGGTATGTTTTCTAAATAATTTTAAATTCTAAAAATCTATAAATTGACAATCCTTGCAGAAAATTTCACCATGATGTTACTGAATGGACAAATGAATATCATATTAAGTGATATGTCCAGCAGTTAGAATAGCAACATATTGGAACTAAAAAAAAATCCTACAATGATGGCTTATTACAATTTACGTTTCCACTATAAGCAAACATTACAAAACTTGTTTAATATCATGATACAGTACTTTCCACATACAAACCATCACATTCATTATATAACAGTAATTATAATTTACAAATTTTAAAAAAAGTACATTTTGTAAGCAAGCTAAGAAACTATTAAATTTTTGAAAAATATTTTTTGTAAAAGATAAAAATTAGATTTTACATGTTTTTTATATTTAACAACCTACAATTTCATTCAAATTACACAAATTTCAATATTTTGTGTGCAGGCAATGTGTCAAAAAGTATTAATTTGCATTTATTGCATTTGGGGAACAAAATATTTTCATTTGATAACAAGCATACCTACATGATTACATTTACATAAACTGGCCAACTGCCATCAAGGGGATCCTTTTTATTAATGTGAGAATTGTCAAGGGCCTTGTTTATGTACAAAATGCATTTTGTGCTTTTTTGATAGAAGAGGCACCAATACAACTGGCAAATAAAAGCAGACTAGCATCACTTATGACCATGTTCAAATTGGTTTTTCGCTACATAACTGGTTATTGAATAATCCCACTGAATCAAGTAAACAAAATTGTAAAACTTACTGAACATGTCAGCCACGTTATGCCAACATTTATATTGGTTTTTCTTACCATATCTAATGAGATTCAATAGTAGGGAGTATTAAGCAAAATCCCTATATTAATATGCCCAAAAAATATTGCTTATTTATTTAATTTACTGTAAAACCTTTATCTGTACAAAATCTGTTTATTATCATACCGAGGAAGACTATCAATGTACTTGGTTTTGCAATCTTTTTCATCCACATCCAACCCAAATTCTGTCAAAAGCACTTATGCATCTGAACAACAAGATAACAAAAATTATCAAGTCATATGTATTTGAGTATGAAAATACATGAAATTAAATAAAATGAAAACTATTATAGCATTTAAACTCAGATCTTAAGTCAATATTCATTTAAAGGATATTTTGAGGTGACTTCATGCTTTAATAAGATAGTAGATCAAATATATTATAAACTAGTCACAGACAACAGATAGTTCAATTATATCTGACTGACACTTGGCATCTGGTACACACGTAAAAATGCAAAATATATTAGCAAAACCTTGTTCAGTTCCTTTATATTTGCTACTTCTACTACAAAGGGTGTCATATTTATTTCATATCAGCTGCCGTAGAATAAAATCCACATTACCACTAAAAAATCCATTTGTGATCTCAGACATTCTGGTAGCAGCTACACTCCACTGGACATAGATATGTTAGTTACACGTTTTGCTACTGAAGAACCTTTTTTATTTCAATTTCTGTAAGATGTCTGGCAAGATAACTAAATCCTTGCAGTCTCTTGCTGCTGATCGTCTGTCACATCTGCCTTTCCCCCAGGAGATGGTTGTTCCCCACGCAGAGGTGTAGACTCACGGGCTGGCACGCCTCCATCTGTCACATCTTCACCACCACCATCTCGACGCTTGTTCAGGGCTGCAATAGCTTCACTGCTGTTCTTCACAAATTTCTTAAATGAAGATACCAAAATTGTTTCTTTCTTTTCATATTTGCTTCATATTTTTTATGCTTTGTACATATGTGCATCTTTCTGCAGTTGGGCACATTTTTGAAATGCCTAGAACTGATTACAATTCAGCCACACTTAATAATTAAGGGCACATTCCCATAGATTTTAGATCGATCTATCCCTATGGGGAGTCTCACTAGATTACTGTCTGATAATCTGGCTTAAAAGTCCGTCCCGCCTACTACAAGCTGTAAGGGGGTAATTAACTTTCGTGTCCGCTTGGCTGACAGCTATTTAGTGTGAACCCCCAGGGAGTTAGGCCGATCTAGTTGGATCGATCTAATCTCTGGGAATGGGGTCTAAGACTCAATCCTCCAGACAACAATCAACCTTAAGAATTTGACTGAAAAAATCTGACACAAACAAGTTATTGGTTCCTTTTGATGTTACCCAAGTGATCATCAGTAGGTCCCTCATGCCAAACTTGTTCAAGACAGAAGGATAAGATTAATGGGCCAAGGCTTACCATAAGTGAGGGGTCCATGTAGTACTCTCTGCCAGGAGTGACACCATCATTGATCTGGCAGTCCTCACAAAAGCACAGGAGCAAGGCATCAATAACCATCTGAAAGGACACTTGGCCAGTGAGTGGGTCACTTTTAATAGTTTTCTTGTACAGAGGTCAAGTTTGCTTATATGGGCATTATTACCTTATGATACATGGCTAGGATCCATTTTGCATGTGTAAGCAGCATGCTAAAATGGCCATCAAAAAAAAAATTCATATCACAAAACCACAGAAGTCTCTACTTATATGACAAAACCTTTTAAAAGTGGTATGTTCCACTGTGTTGTAACAGCAAACTTGACCCCTGGAACAATTCTAACAAAATCATTAAGAAATCATTAAGAAATATTAAATAGTCTTTAGCTTTAACCAAATTCAAATTCCAAATTCAGAGGTGTTATTTAAAAAATGCACTGGACAGATATTTCTCTTCTCTGAAGTCAGAACAAACTTTCATAACTGAGGATCACTTCTTTCATTATGACAGAATTTTTAATAAAGAGCTATGACAAATATTTTATAGCGTTTTCTTAAAATAAAAAAAAAAAAAAAAGTAAGTGTGATACAAAACATTTATCACAAAAATTATTAAAATTAAATAATAATAATGGATAAGTGTTAAGCTTTTCGAAGTTAATAGTGAGGAATGTAAAATGTCTGAATGTACCCCAAAACAGCAAAAATAGACAAGAAAATGAAATCCACCCATGACAACAGGATAAGAAAATACCTTTCACCTTAAAAAAAATTGTAAGTGTTCTCTTTTACTTCAAATGCTAAACTTACCTCATATATACTCAAAAACCCATGGGCAATAAAATATGAGAACACAAATACAAGTAGTACGGGAATGAAAAAGTAGTGTAGATTGGGATCTCCCTGAAATGAATGACAAATGGTTAACCCTATGGCATCTTTTCAATGTCTTTGGAACAATTCATAAGACATAGCAGTGCACGTGGATATATATGACTTCATGTTTGGGCAGATGGTTAAGATTTTATATGAGAAAAAGTAATAGATCAAACACAAAGCAATGGTCCCAATAGTCTGAAGTCAAATACTCCAATATTAGCAATGCAGCTATATCCTATGAACCACGACATAAAGACATCAAAAAATTGAAGAAAATGAACCCACACCCAAAACTTCCTACGAGAGCCTACGAGGGACAAGGAGACTGCCACAAGAATGCATAAGCATGCCTGTCTGAAAAGTCATGTATACTCACCTCATACATACTTAATAAAGAATGTGCAATAAAGTATGCGAACAAGCAGACTACTATCACAGGAACGAAGAAGTAATTTAACAGAGGGTCACCCTACAAGAAATAAACACGGAAGAAATAAGATACAAAAAAAAAAAAAAGATGGANGAATTAATCAACAATTATGTTTATTGCATTTATGTTTTAGAAAGCTGAATTCGTTGAAATATAATTACTGGGATTATGAAGCTTTTAAAATTTCATTTATTGCTTCAAAATCACTTTAACTGCTGGTTTTGTTTTAATTTTTGTATTTAAGGACAAAGATTAAGCTAAATTTTGACACGATATCATTTTCAGGTCTTTCTTCAGTGTTTTTATTTGAACTTTATGGTTTAAAAATTTGCATGAAATTTTATATCTTTTTGATAAGGATTTTAATTTTCAACATATTTTGTAACTGCAGTGCATTTGTTCAAAGGATAATGTCTCTCAGGGCAATATTCACTTATTTGTTTTTTGTTGTGATTTTTCATGATCATTAAGTTTAGAGCAAGTGGGATAGAAAGTTTAGAACTCAGAGTAAGAATGAATGTGATTGTAATGTTGGCACATTTTCTTTGTAGTGTATTTATTTGAAATTGGGTATTTGTACATTTGCTATTAATTTTGCATCTATTTTAATGGCACAGTATACACAAGTATGGGTGCATTCCCAGAGATTTAGATCGATCCAGAGATTAAGATTTAGATTGACCTAACTCCCTGGGGGTTCACGCTAAATTGCAGTCAGCAGTGTGCGCACCATAGTTAATTACCCCCTTGCAGCTTTTAGTAGGCGTGACAGACGCTTAAGGGGACTCATAGTAAAAGGACCAAAGTCATAGAAACAAAGCCCTGGGCTTATAAGTTTTTATAAAAAATTCAAACAAACTTCCCAAAAGGCCAATTAAAGACGGGGATTAAGTACAGTGTCCAACGGATGACGCTATAGCGCCAATTTTAGGGGGAAAATGCCGTTTTCGGAATTGGGATTTTCTCTATAACCAAGACAGCTATTCAAGTGATTCAAAAGGCCTCATAAAGCTGGGTGAAAGCACTTCAGCGCGGTACCAGGGAATTGTCTTAAACTATTTACTTTTGATTTTATCATCTTTTACGTTAAATTACCCCATATTTCAATGGGTTATTCACTTCAAAAGACGATAACTTTCAAACAAACAATTTTCTCATAAACCCCTGACATCATGCTGTAGTCCACATTCCCAACAACAATAGGTGCAACTTTTGTAACGATCGGTTGCTCAGATAGTGAGATATACTTGGCAGCGATTCACTTATCTCGTCAATATAGAAAGCTGTTAAAACAGCCAAAAACGTTCACAGGTTGGTTATCAGGGCTTATTAGTCAAATGCTTAGCTGGAAAATTTACCTGTTATCGGTTATACGACCAGATGGAACCATTGCTTATTGTCGTCTAAAGATATTTTGTTTGGGTGCTTTGAAAGGGCAGAAAATCGTGCTTTTGTTACATTTTCCGACCACTCGTTAGGCTTGTAAGCGTGCCGCCATTTTGATTGACAGCTCTGGAGCGGGCCCTAGCCTAGTGATGCCCAGTAGGGTGTCAAGGATATGTAGAAGGAAGCGCTAACAAAGGCGATTACGTTTAACCGCAATTAAGAGGTGTGAAGTTGCATTTGAACGTTTCAATGGGTCTCCCTCGGCAATCGAGTAATTTTACCTGAGAGATTCCTTTTCTGTTATCGGCAAAGTGATCAGATAAAACTGGGTGACNGCCAAAAACGTTCACAGGTTGGTTATCAGGGCTTATTAGTCAAATGCTTAGCTGGAAAATTTACCTGTTATCGGTTATACGACCAGATGGAACCATTGCTTATTGTCGTCTAAAGATATTTTGTTTGGGTGCTTTGAAAGGGCAGAAAATCGTGCTTTTGTTACATTTTCCGACCACTCGTTAGGCTTGTAAGCGTGCCGCCATTTTGATTGACAGCTCTGGAGCGGGCCCTAGCCTAGTGATGCCCAGTAGGGTGTCAAGGATATGTAGAAGGAAGCGCTAACAAAGGCGATTACGTTTAACCGCAATTAAGAGGTGTGAAGTTGCATTTGAACGTTTCAATGGGTCTCCCTCGGCAATCGAGTAATTTTACCTGAGAGATTCCTTTTCTGTTATCGGCAAAGTGATCAGATAAAACTGGGTGACAGTAGTAGTTCCTAACTGATTATCCTGGTAACTGTGAACTCGGGGGTTGGGGGGGGGGGGGTTAAATTTTTTCAAGAAGTCTTTTTGTGATTTTTATTTTGGGTACATTTTGAACTCTTTCTTCCCGCTTGATCGGTGATTTTGACATTGTTTTTCTCCAAACATCGCAAAATGCAAGTTAACATGCGTTTTTATTTTCATTGTTATTATTTTAAGTATGCTGTCAACCCTTGCTTGGATTTCTCTCGTTTGGCCATTCACATCAATTTTGTGCGTGTCTCTAAAGCTCCTTGATTTCATTTATTGGAGAATAAAATGATATTTTGTCAACATTAGTTTTTACCTTCTAAAAACGGCGTCCAACAATCATTTCCAGTTTCGTAACGTGTCGCAGATACGCTCGCCGATATATATCGCCAAAATTAAGAGCTAGGCTAAAAGTATCGTTTCTAGCTTTTTTTTCTTTTAGTAATAAATTTTTCGTACAAATACATTTCTCAATTAATTTAGACGGTCCGATTTATTCTTTTACCCATTTATTAGGTATACATAAAAAAAAGAAAGACGAATAATATTAAACATTTCATGATGCTTTTATTTGAGCTGTACATGCGCCAATGGCTGTAACTGTCTTTCGACCAACACATCGTCGCCGCCACACACACGAAAAACGCCCGACTTGAAGGCACTTTCTAACAACTGTCCACTGTGCCAAAGCCTGTAACCAGTAGCTACTGTTTCTTCCTCACGATCACTGTCAGAAGACTCGCTCACTCCAGGTAGATTCTCTCTCTCGTCATCCGACTGGACAAATACCAGTCTTCCTCCAACCGCCCATATACTCTCAAAAATTTCTTTTTTTCCTCTGGAAATGGACTTTAAACACGAACTTTTCTCTTCCCCATAGCGTACTCGACTTCTTCACTGCTTAGCTGATGTAAGACTTATGACCCATCACCGCACACGTAATCGGCTTATAACTCGTTGACTATGCTCCGCCCCCCTCATGGCAACGGCCCTTAGCAACAGAGTTGTCAGCCTGACTGGGGCGCGTGCCGGTTGAAAAACTCATCAAAAGACACAGTTTGCGGTGCAAATTCAAAAAAAATTATTACATCCAACGTTAGATACTTTTTTGATTAATAGAAACACACAAAAAACTCAAAAACATGATTTTAAGCGTAGTTAACCCTATTACCCACCTTAAGCCGGCTAAGCTGACAGTTATCTAGTGAGACTCCCCACAGGGATAGATAGATCTAAAATCTATGGGAATGGGGTCTATGTGTGATAGGAATTTAAATGTTAATGTCTCCAAGGGGGTGGGTTGTTATTTGCACGTTTACTGTTTTTCATTTGACAATCTTATATTGGAAAGTATAGGTAAATAATGCACTGATCTAGAAGATGGATGCCCATTGGGTCCAGTAAAGGTCAGAGCTGTTATAAGCAGTCAAAATGATGGAAGTGTCTTCATTGGACTCTGAATCTCAGGGCATTTGCATCAGGGCTACACCAAAAGTGTACTTCTATATTGGTATTATTAAAAGGTTGCAGAGTAGGGGATTACATTGAATTTAATAGTTAGACGTCCTATCCATCATTTCAGCTTTGTGGGAGCAAGACAATAGATGATATGTAGAAAATATTTCCTTGGTAAGAGGGTACAGTAATGAAAACATTTAGGTGAAATGGTCAACTTTGGTGTTTTCACCTATGACTATAGATAAGAAAATTTCGACTATTTTTATAATAAGAGCAATGCTGAAGTCTTCCCTTACAGTTGCTTAAAAGTAGTATGCCAAAACAAGTTGTTTCTCAATCTTGACATGAAAATCAGTTCATGAATACATATGGATAGTTCATTGCCTTTGGTGTAGTAGCAAGTAGGATAGTTAATTTTATTCTGTTAGGGAAACCAAAGATGTCTTGAATAATGTTAGCAATAAATGAATTTAACTGTCTTAAAAATTGATTTTTTTTTTGGCAGACATTGTGCCTGGACATAACCATTGCTTGCATCTGTTGTAGTAGTTAGTGTTAGTATGGACTTTCCTTGTAAGCTTAAATTGGATTCTTTTTTTGAAGTAATGCAGTTTTTGTGGTGAAATTTTCATTTACCACATATTGGCATTTTCACTGTAAGAATTATAAATTGCATGGGTCTGAAGCCCTATATGCTAGTTGTATTTTTTGAATATACAAGTTACCTGTAGTACATAATCAAAATTGGTGGTAATTATTCTGTTCAGAATTACGTAATATTGCATAAAAACATTTAATATACTCTGCGTATACACAATAAAGGGAAACAGAAATTTATAATTATCAAATTTACAGGTCTAGAGGTCATTTGGTTTAGCACAGATTTGAGCAACTTAGAAAAGTGGCCATTTTAAGGAATTGCAATAAAAAAGTGATTGACATACATTCTTTATTTCTGAAATAAAAAGCCCTGATTTCCTACATAGCTGCTGCTAAGTGATTGTTAAACCAAATAAACTGAAATGTGTGCAATGTGGTACAATGCGCTAATCGTATGTTTTCTAAATAATTTTAAATTCTAAAAATCTATAAATTGACAATCCTTGCAGAAAATTTCACCTGTTCATTATTTAAGTATCATACCATGATGTTACTGAATGGACAAATGAATACCATATTAAGTGATATGTCCAGCAGTTAGAATAGCAACATATTGGAACTAAAAAAAAAATCCTACAATGATGGCTTATTACAATTCAAGTTTCCTCTATAAGCAAACATTACAAAACTTGTTTAATATCATGATACAGTACTTTCCACATACAAACCATCACATTCATTATATAACAGTAATTATAATTTACAAATTTTAAAAAATGTACATTTTGTAAGCAAGCTAAGAAACTATTAAATTTTTGAAAAATATTTTGTGTAAAAGATAAAAATTAGATTTTACATGTTTTTTATATTTAACAACCTACAATTTCATTCAAATTACACAAATTTCAATATTTCGTGTGCAGGCAATGTGTCAAAAAGTATTAATTTGCATTTATTGCATTTGGGGAACAAAATATTTTCATTTGATAACAAGCATACCTACATGATTACATTTACATGAACTGGCCAACTACCATCAAGGGGATCCTTTTTTTATTAATGTGAGAATTGTCAAGGGCCTTGTTTATGTACAAAATGCATTTTGTGCTTTTTGACAGAAAAAGCACCAATACAGCTGACAAATAAAAGCATCACTTACGACCATGTTCAAATTGGTTTTTCGATACATAGCTGGTTATTGAATAATCCCACTGAATCAAGTAAACAAAATTGTAAAAACTTACTGAACATGTCAGCCACGTTATGTCAACATTTATATTGGTTTTTCTTGCCATATCTAATGAGATTCAATAGTAGGGAGTATTAAGCAAAATCCCTATACTAATATGCCCAAAAAATATTGCTTATTTATTTGATTTACTGTAAACCTTTATCTGTACAAAATCTGTTTATTATCATACTGAGGAAGACTATCTTGGTTTTGTAATCTTTTTCATCCACATCCAACCCAAATTCTGTCAAAAGCATTTATGCATCTGAACAACAAGATAACAAAAATTATCTAGTCATATATGTATTTGAGTATGAAAATACATGAAATTAAATAAAATGAAAACTATTATAGCATTTAAACTCACATCTTTTAAAAGATATTTTGAAGTGACTTCATGCTTTAATAAGAAAGTAGATCAAATATATTATAAACTAGTCACAGACAACAGGTAGTTCAATTATATCTGACTGACACTTGGCATCTGGTACACACATAAAAATGCAAAATATATTAGCAAAACCTTGTTCAGTTCCTTTATATTTGCTACTCCACTACAAAGGGTGTCATATTTATTTCATATCAGCTGCCGTAGAATAAAATCCACATTTCCACTAAAAAATCCATTTTTGATCTCAGACATTCTGGTAGCAGCTACACTCTACTGGACATAGATATGTTAGTTACACGTTTTGCTACTGAAGAACCTTTTTTATTTCAATTTCTGTAAGATGTCTGGCAAGATAACTAAATCCTTGCAGTCTCTTGCTGCTGATCGTCTGTCACATCTGCCTTTCCCCCAGGAGATGGTTGTTCCCCACGCAGAGGTGTAGACTCACGGGCTGGCACGCCTCCATCTGTCACATCTTCACCACCACCATCTCGACGCTTGTTCAGGGCTGCAATAGCTTCACTGCTGTTCTTCACAAATTTCTTAAATGAAAATGCCAAAATGGTTTCTTTCTTTTCATATTTGCTTCATATTTTTTATGCTTTGTACATATGTGCATCTTTCTGAAGTTGGGCACAATTTTTGAAATGCTTAGAACTGATTACAATTCAGCCACACTTAATAATTAAGGGCACATTCCCATAGATTTTAGATTGATCTATCCTTATGGGGAGTCTCACTAGATTATTGTCAGATAATCCGGCTTAAAAGTCCGTCCCGCCTACTACAAGCTGTAAGGGGGTAATTAACTTTTGTGTCCGCTCAGCTGACAGTTATTAAGTGTGAATCCCCAGGGAGTTAGGCCGATCTAGTTGGATCGATCTAATCTCTGGGAATGGGGTCTAAGACTCAATCCTCCAGACAACAATCAACCTTAATAATTTGACGGAAAACATCTGACACACAAAAGTTTTTCCTTTTGATGTTATCCAAGTGATCATCAGTAGGTCCCTCATGCCAAACTTGTTCAAGACAGAAGCATAAGATTAATGGGCCAAGACTTACCATAAGTGATGGGTCCATGTAGTACTCTCTGCCAGGAGTGACACCATCATTGATCTGGCAGTCCTCACAAAAGCACAGGAGCAAGGCATCAATAACCATCTGAAAGGACACTTGGCCAGTGAGTGGGTCACTTTTAATAGTTTTCTTGTACAGAGGTCAAGCTTGCTTATAGGGGCATTATTACCTTATGATACATGGCTAGGATCCATTTTGCATACATAAGCAGAGTGCTAAAATGGCCATCTAATAAAAATTCATATCACAAAACCATAGAAGTCTCTACTTCTATGACAAAACCTTTTAAAAGTGTATGTTCCACTGTGTTGTAACAGCAAACTTGACCCCTGGAATAATTCTAACAAAATCATTAAGAAATATTAAATAGTCTTTAGCTTTAACCAAATTCAAATTCCTAAGAGGTGTTATTTAAAAAATGCACTAGACAGATATTTCTCTTCTCTGAAGTCAGAAAAAACTTTCATGACTGAGGATCACTTCTTGTATTATGACAGAATTTTAAATACAGAGCTATGACAAATATTATATAGTGTTTTCTTTTAAAAAAAAAGTAAGTGTAATAAACAAAACATTTATCACAAAAATTAAAATTAAATAATAATAATGGATAAGTGTTAAGCTTTTTGAAGTTAATAGTGAGGAATGTAAAATGTCTGAATGTACCCCAAAACAGCAAAAATAGACAAGAAAATGAAATCCACCCATGACAACAGGATAAGAAAATACCTTTCACCTTAAAAATAAATTTGTAAGTGTTCTCTTTTACTTCAAATGCTAAACTTACCTCATATATACTCAAAAACCCATGGGCAATAAAATATGAGAACACAAATACAAGTAGTACGGGAATGAAAAAGTAGTGTAGATTGGGATCTCCCTGAAATGAATGACAAACGGTTAACCCTATGGCATCTTTTCAATGTCTTTGGAACAATTCATAAGACATAGCAGTGCACGTGGATATATATGACTTCATGTTTGGGCAGATGGTTAAGATTTCATATGAGAAAAAGTAATAGATCAAACACAAAGCAATGGTCCCAATAGTCTGAAGTCAAATACTCCAATATTAGCAATGCAGTTATATCCTATGAACCACAACATAAAGACACCAAAAAATTAAAGAAAATGAACCCACACCCAAAACTTCCTACAAGAGCCTACGAGGGACAAGGAGACTGCCACAAGAATGCATAAGCATGCCTGTCTGAAAAGTTATGTATACTCACCTCATACATACTTAATAAAGAATGTGCAATAAAGTATGCGAACAAGCAGACTACTATCACAGGAACGAAGAAGTAATTTAACAGAGGGTCACCCTACAAGAAATAAACACGGAAGAAATAAGATACAAAAAAAAAAAAAAAATGATGGTTAATAAGAAACACACAGAGAGCAATTTCATTTTGGATTTGTGGTTGAATTGTAGAAATCACACAGGAAGAAGAACACCTGCAAGAAGTCAAACTATCAGCACATCTTTTGAAATTGCACATTCTGATGTAAACGCTTTATTTTGGTAAAAACTACAATATCTTGTGCAATTAATTAACAGGCATCTACAATTCATCGTACAACAAACATGGAAGCCTTGACATATTTTTCTCATCTTTTTTGGTAACCACAAAAAAGTTATGTTTAAACCATTAACTTATAACATGTATTGATATAAAAATTCTTTACAGCATATTAATTTGAAACAATTCACACAATTGAGAAAAATATTCCATTGCTTCTGAAGTTACAACAGGTTCTACAAGCACAGCATAATAAGCAAACACACATTTCTCATTTAACATTTGACATCAAACATCACTATAAAAATCAAATACTGTGATTAATACATATTTACATCTACTATTCAATAAAATGCTGAACAAATTTTTAATAAACAATCTTATACGAAAGCAAAATATCATTGAAACATATATCCTCAATAAACTACCCGCAGAAGTTTTCTAAAAAATAGCAATATCTATCCTGCAGCAGATGGTCACACTACCTTGAACATAAGTATTCCTATAGCCCCTGTGCCAGTCATTACTGCCACCTTGCCCAGGAACAGGATGAAGTCACCAACACTGTTAATAGCTGCCACACGCAAGACATTGGACACTATAGTGGTGAAAGCCTTCCTGGCAGAGGAGCAGAAGTTGGTGCCCCTTATGGCTAGGAAAATAGAGTGATTATAAGAAATTTGAGACTAATAGCTCGAAAGAGGCAAAATAGCCCAGATTTTGCCTTCCTTTCAGATGCAAACAAAAACCTTGAAGTTTCCTAACAAATAACTCAAATAACTTTATTGAGATTAATTACTTGTTCAAACTCTAACCATGCTTCAATTTCCTTACCGACAATAGTGTAAGCATTCTGATTGAGAAACTTCAGGCACTTCTCTAGACACCACAAACAACAGATACAGCATTTCAGACAGTACTGAGCACACTTGTTCTGGCTGCCATTGAGCCTGAAACAAATAAATAGTGATGAAATGGCACATTTCAGTCCAAGATATGTTTTAATTTTCTCAAAAATATTTGGTAACATCTAAAGACAGAACTGTCAATGGTATTCAATTGGCATCACTTGCGCCTTTTGAAGTACCAAGTTACACCAATTCACCTACTTTTCGTGTAGATACATGAGAATCCACCTAGGCAGCTTGACAAGTGTGATGATGAAGGCCCCAAATGCCACAGATCCCATATGATGGAGAATAAGCATACAGACAGCATCACCCAAGGGGTTCTTCAGGGTCTTCTTGTCTCTGTAACAACATGCATTGCAGATGAAACAGTGTTCTTAAGTTAATATAACATGGCTTTGATTTTGACAAATGATAGAAAACTGGATTTCAGAGAGGTGTTTAGAAATATATCATTTGATAGTTATAAAAACTTGAAATAATTCTTCAATTCTAAAAAAAAATAAAAAATAAAATGTACACCTATAGTACTTTGAGAAATAATCTAATAAAGGTAACATACATGTTGTGACTGTCATTTCCTAAATTCAGCAGTATTTGTTGAATTCCCCTGAATCCCCTCCCTTACCTGGTGAAGTACCACTTAGCCACAGCCCCAGCCACCACCAGCTGTTGACAGGCAATAATGAACTCACTGGTCCATATCAGGCCCACCAGGTGGTACCACCACATGTACCTTACTGGCTGGCTCTCCTCATAGTTCACAAAACCTGTGTCTTTATCCAACACAGCAGTGCCTGAACAGAGAAAAGGGAACTGGATAACGATGCAACAAAAAGAGTATATCATCACATTTTCTTTGTTTTTTAAATATTTTGATAGCATGTGCATTAATATCATTTTCATTGATCTATTGATGATTGTAGCTAATTTTATCTGCAGATATTTATAAAAAATTAATAGAATAATTGCAACAACTATGTGTGATCCTTCCACATCTTCATGTCACTCATGTATCACTCTTATACACTATCATTCTACCACATCCCACAACAATGCTGATATGTATTGTATATCATCTTACCAGCAGTGGAGATATAAGCCAGCACTACCACCCAGTACACGTAAAACAAAATCAAGCAAATGAAAGTCCACACTGGTTGCACCAGAATCATGGGCACAGCTACAATGCATTTTCCTGCCTCATTGAAGAGAGCCACCGCCAGTGCTATACGCTTCCTCAAGACCAAAATTACCAATAACAAAATTACCTGGAATAGAAACTTAAAATACTCAACATTCACTGCAAAACTCAAGCAAATAATTTCAAAATAAAACAAATGTGTACATAAAACATCTTTACATTCAATTTATTTTTGTGACCTTGTTGTTAAACTAATACATCTTAAATGTTCAGCACATAAAAGTTGTAATAGTTATAATCATTTCTTTTTAATATATGACTCTCACCGTAAGGATTGTTGCAATTATGGAATACGCCAAAAATGCATTTTCACTGTCAATTTCTATCTGCAGGAATGGAATTTCATTGGCAGTTTTCATATCCATGGAATTCTTCTTTTCAACATAAGTCCACCATAGAAAACCAGTGCCCGCTGACATAAAAAATTTCATTATTTGCATGGCAAGGAAATGCCACTGTGTCTAATTCTGTACTTGACCACTAGTTTTTTTTTTTTTTTTTTTTTTTGTTGTTTTAACGTACACTACACTGCTATGGAGTTGCATTTTAGCTCTTTTGATAATATAAAATGTTAATATATACATATGATTAAACTTTAAAAGGAGAGAGAAAAGAGAGAGAGTCGCATCATGACCTACCTAAACTGCCTATTATGGCCAGAGCAAGAATGACCCACACAACTACAGATGCAATAAAACGTATCAGGACAACCACTGCTATGGCCAACACTGGAATCATCAAGCAAAACATGCTCAGCATAACTAATCAAATATCCATCACATCACTATTCCATATTTATTAGAATTCAATTCTCTTTAGCAAAATAATCACCAAAGCAATTCTGACTGATAATAAATTGAAATAGAACTGCATTACACACAAAGAAGTCTATCATCATGATATTAGTGTTTTGCGGTATACTTACCAAAGGCTATTCCTGCCAGCAGCAGCATAAGCTTCCAGCTGGCATATAAGTCAGCAATGACATAGCGAAAGATGTCAAACTCATTGAGGTATCCGAGAACAGTTTCTTTGAGGTTGCTGGTAAAGTTGGAAAAAGAGGCTGGGATACATCTTGAGAGAATGTCAGCACTGAAAAATAATGCTTACAATGTACATGTATTTACAATAAGGAGAGTATATCAAAGGTAACTGTGAATGAATGAACGATTGAGTACATTCAGAGTCTATTCTTTACAAAAATCTAAATTAATAGAGGAGGCCACCACTGAGCTGCTCAAAGCTTTTGTCCTGCAGCAGTATTATCTTTGTTTTGAGAATAATTTTTTT